CTGTTTGAAATGTTTCAAGTCTTTGCAGAATGGAGAAGTCCTGTATGGTATATTTGTACTGCCTTTATCCTTTATTCTAGAAAGGTGGTCACAGCATGCTGATGAGAGTGGGTGTTTTCCACAAAACTGCTGTGTTTTCCACAGTAACAGATGTAATCAAGACTTACAATTGAAACTTGACACACAGGTTCCAGTCCCATTTTTATAGACAGGGGCTTGTCTGGGATTTGAATCCAGGACCTCTTGCACCCAAAGCAAGAATCATACCCCTACACCAACAAGCCACAAATACATAGTAATAAGGAAAGTGAAAAAAAAAAAAAGGACAATTATCGTTCATCATACAACCAGTAAAAAGGAAAGCATATAGGGTGATGAGAAGTTCCAGCTGTTGTTAAGCTGGTCAACAGATGTATGGTTCAACTAAAATACTGCTCCTGACTCTTCATGTCCAGTTCATAGTGTCCACTAAGTTTAAGTCAAATAAAAGGATTGATTAACATTTTTTAGGCTTGTCTTCAAACTATCGGAACAGTTTTATGTAAAAGCCATGCTGCCTTATTTAGCAGTATTGTGACGTTTCGGCTAAAGAGAGGTTTCATGATAAAAACAGGATGTCAACTCATTTCACCTTTGATGCCAAGTTTTAAAGCTGAAAAAAGTTGCCTTTAGCAGCCTGACTCAGTCCTTATGCAATTGCGGTGAACACGCAGACCTGCTGCCTGCCTCCAGAAATCTAAAGCGAGGCAAATGCTTCCTGTGGACTATTGGCTTTTTTTGTCTGTGATGTCTTAGTTTTGGTTTTCTTGTGACCCCTGTAAAGTCTGCAAAACTATAACCTTATTATTCTTTGATTACAGACTGTATGAAAGGTTAACATGTCACTGTCACTCCAGTTTCTCCATAAAATGCTGTCTATTCAGGGCCAGACTGACCAAGACCACTTTTCTCCAAGCTGCTGCCCCAAAAAAGGGACTACTGCTGGTTAACCTTTCACTTTGGCTGACCCTCATGTAGTCTGGACTCTGAGCCAGGTCCATCTACTTCACTGACTCCACTTTCATCACTCTGACACTGAGAGTCTCATTTACACAAGATGCCACGGTCCTCCTGGATCACAACAGATCTGATCAGGATGTAAACAAGGCTCCAAGATAAAGACATCAAAGCCTCTTGTAGTGCTGCTGTGCTGCGACCTCTGACCTCTACTGCCATCCAACTTCAAGTGTTCTTCAAAGGAGGAATAACGTCCATTTTATCAGATAGATTTACTCGTCGTCCTTCTCTGTTGGATCAAAAAGCTTCAGGTTGTTTCATATACTTTCTCATTGTATATCACATTGTGGATGTAAACTCATGTCAGCTGCTCTGAACAGATGACAGGATATTGTCCCCTCAGCTGGCAAATGAACGCTATAACAGTGTCTGTGCTGTGAGAAGTGGGACCCGAAAAGGACATTAGCAGTGAATGGTCACCTTCCGTATTTATTTTATTTTTCTTTGATGAAAGCCATTGTGTGACGAACAAAGCAACTTTCAGCACATGGTGTGCTTTTCATTTCACTCATTATGACACTTACCCACGTAGTTTCCTTGCGTCTTAGCTCCCCTCTAAACAGTGGTGTGTGCAGAGGGGCAGTGGGGAGTGGCGTGGACAGAGGCACTGCTAGAAATTCTGGGTTCCATCAAAGAATTATCACACTGGTTCCTACTAATTCATTAAGTGCTCTACTTTCTTTGATTCCTGTCACTTATGGGCCCTCAGACACCCTTAGTGAAAGGGTGTCTGCCTCCTGGAGCATGACTGGATAGAGGCCTGATGACTGAAGGCTCTACCTCTCATGCTTCTTTCAGAGACTCTCGGCATTGGTCTAAAGTTGTTTAAATTTTTAGACTAGAAAGTGAACTCGGTTTCGGGGTCACAGCACAGCTTATCTGTCTAAATCTCTGGTGGTAGATCAAGCAGGGGTCAAACTTTTCACCAAGTCTGCAGGGTTCTCTGCAGGGACAGGACAACAACAGTCCTGACCTCTGCTACGAATAAATCAATGAATAAAAAACAGAATGAACTGCAGTAAAAACCACCAACTAGTGCACATTTAATAGGTAACTTTTACACACAGACAGAGCTAAATGCAGGCTTGTTGAATTTTTATATTTTTGCAATACACCACTCAGCAAGCCACTTTATTTGTGGACACATACAGCTGAGAGGTTCAGTCTGGAGTCTAAATTAAGTGTAATGATAGCAGCCGACAGCTAGCAGCATCCCCATCACCAATAACTGAACACATGCATAACCCCAGAGCCTTAATCAGACATGTGATTGACATTGTGAATAAAAACAGAAAATTATCTTCCCCACTGGATACACACAGGTTTTATTTTCATGTCACAAAGGCAAAGAGCTAAGGTGCTAAGGTACTAAATGTCGAAATGTCGTGGATAATGTCGAAATTTATTAGATAAAAAAAATTAGGATTTTGAGATCAAAGTCAAAATTTCAAGATTAAAGTCGAGAAATTTGAATTTTTTTAAATTCCTAATTTAATCTCGAAATTTCAACTTCAATCACGAAATGGAAATTTAAAAAATCTCGCTCCTGTTGTATTTTTTTCTCTTGTGGCTCTAATTCTCTTTCATGCGAAGGAGGCTCAAAATGCCAATCCTTTAACTTCTTACATGTTCTATGGTTTCCTTCCCCTACAGTATCTTGTTTCAACCTTGAACTGTCACTGGACTGGATTTAAACTAGGATTCTTTCCCTCAAATGCAGCACAAGGCTCCCTGTCTGTGGTCATTTCATCCCTCTATTTCATTATCTTTTTTCTTTTCCTCTTTAGTCCCCCCCCCTTTTTTTAAATTAGGAGCCCCATTTACATCCACAAGATGGTTGCTATTCTTCCACTCAACCACAAAAAAACAAAAAAAGGTTAACAGTTTCAAAGATATAAACACCAAAAAATTTAATAAATATATTAAGTGTCTCTGCAAATAAACAGTAAATATTATTAACTTACACTAAAGGTTTATAAAACAAAAAGTTTAAGAACAATGATCATGTAACAGCAGTCATGAGATATTCATCAGTTTTTGACTGGTCTCATGTTGGTTGATTCAGCTGTAAAGTTTGTCATTTTATTCAAATTCAAATTCAAATTTAACTTTATTTATATGGCACTTTTCAGACAAAAATGTGGCTCAAAGTGCCTAACAGAAGCTAAAAACAACAATTAAACAACAATAGAACCCAACCCTCCCACCCACACACCCACCCATGGACCCACACACACACACACACACACACACACACACACACACACACACACACACACACACACACACACACACACACACACACACACACACACACACACACACACACACACACACACACACACACACACACAAGTGCACACAGAGTGAGAATTTAAGATATGTTTTTATAGAGACATGGCCTGACATCGGGACAGTGTGTGAGGAAAGAGCTACCTTTGGGAAACACTGGAGATTAAAGATAAAAAATAAAATCGAAAAATAAATTAATTAATTAAAAATGGTAAAAAGAAAGACTAAAACCTGATGGACTAAAACAAGAAAATAAAAAAAATGGACAAATAATTAAGATCTCTTTTCCATATAAAAAGGGGTAAAAGAAGTAAAAACCTCGAAGGCGGGAGTTAAGACTAAGAACAGAGATAATTAATAAGATTACAAAAAAAAAACGTTAAGAACTTCAATTAAAATCACATTTTGCAATAAGAGAAATATAAAAAGGCAAACAGTGAAAAGCCTGGTTAAAACGGTGAGCCTTGAGCCTCTTCTTAAAAACATCAATGATTTCTGTTCTGAGGCTCTCAGGCAGGCTGTTCCACAGCCGGGTAGCATAAGATGGGACTCTGTGACAGTTGTCTCAACTCTGCACATGCAGAGAACTGTGATTTAATTTCTCCTTCTTCTTCAGTCCCAGATTTTCTTTACCACTTGAATTGAATCGATGTAGAGTTGTTTGGGTCACAAACACCTGTTGGTGACAGCTTTGGACACACACACCCACACACACACACACACACACACACACACACACACACACACACACACACACACACACACACACACACACACACACACACACACACACACGTTTATCTAAAGCTTGGGATTCAGGAAGTAGGAGCATCACACAGAGAGGCAGTAAAGGTGACTCTGTCAAAGTCTGGCCCACTGACCTTTAACTGCAGCTCACTATCTGATAGGCTGCTGTGCCTCTTTTTTTTAAGAGTCAGTCACTCTCAGTACGAGGATTCCTCTGGCTTCTTTGAGGGAGAAGGGCACCCTTTGTCCCACAGACCCCCAGGGGCATGGGTTGTTTGAGGGGAGATATAGAGTTAGTGAGGTTGCACGGGTGCTGTCCTGTTGACTAGACTGATCAAGGTACCTCTGTCAGATATGAAGCCTCCACCCATTGACTTCCAGCCTGTCCTGATGCTTAACTGAAGAAGCATTACAGGACAGATCACAGGGATGAACAGGAGGCTTTCATTCAGTAGCTACTATTAAGTGATGCATGTCCCTTTGAGGGGCTGCTGTCTCCCCGAGCCTGTCCATCACAATGAGGCTTTTGATTCCTTAATGAAGGGGGGAAAACACAAGAAAAGAGACGAGGGGGGAGCTTGAAAGGAGGGGAAGAAAGTTGAGAAAGCACCTGCAGCCTTGTTCCAGGAAACAAAAGGTGGGTGCTGTCTCTTAAATTTGATGATATAACAAGCTCCTCTCCAGCTATGTTTGTGAGTAGTTAAAAACAGCCTCCGTAACATCAAGGACGGGTCAATTAGAGAAGGATTAAGGGATGAGGATTGGTGTGTGCAGGGAAAGTGAGAGGCCTGTCTGTGAGTGCAGACAAAAACTGAGCTGACAGAGTAAATAATAATATCAGTTCTCAGTACACACAGATACAGGAGCAGACATTGTTTTGATCACCGCTTCATTAGCTTGATTTGCGCCCGTGCAAGCAGAAGACACTCTCATTAAAAAGGCATGTAAGTATTTTATTCTTTAGTTCAGTTGGAACACATTCTCCATATTATCTATGACACCTTCAAGCATTACAACCGGACAATCTCATACACTTACATATTATAAGTAAAGTCGATTTGTCATGGACAACTTGATGCTTCATACGTATGGATTTGCATTCAGTACTATATAAACTTTGCAATACATAAATAACAATAACTGTGCGTCTCATATCAATATACACATTCGGTACATAAATACATGTGTACAATGACACAGCATAGAAATATAACTTGATGCATTATGAAACAATGGAATATATACACAGATCCCTTGCTCAGTCATCACAGTACATCTTGCTGGCAGATTGCACAGATCTCTCGCTAGAATACAGAGCGAGTCCTCCTGAATAAATGAGTGAGAACTCAGTGGGGTGTAATTCACAGTCGATAACATTCAGTGCATCCGAGACCCTTCTTTACAAGCCATGAACACAGTCACATGTTTCTCAGAGAGGAGCTCAGTGAACTTCACGGGTCAAAAGTGGAAAAGTGGAGTGACTGAGTCGAGTTGTGAATGAATTTGGCAAATAGCGTGAGTTGCTTATCCCTGCATTCATGTGCATGTGGCTCATTATGAACATCTGGAACATCAAGACATGCGTATTCATGCAGAGTGTTGGGGATGAATGAGAACAATGGCGTGGGTTAATGGAGAGACTGTGTGAAGCATGGACTCAGCCTCATTGATGCCATTCGTTGGTTTCTGAAGAGGTGCCATGATGCCCATTGATGATATAATAGAAAAGATGATTGCAGCCAACTTTTAGAGGTGGAGGGACAGCTGCAACACACCCATCTGTTTGCCAAATCAGCCATGCTGTCAAATTACACATGACCCTCAGCTACAATATAATCAAAAAGATTGTGTTATAAAGCATTTACACTTTCTCAGTGAAAGAATGTGGTTAAGCGACCAAAAGTGTTTTTATATCAGGCTGTAAACATGTTTGATTCTGCTGTTATGGTGGGCTTCGTTTGACTTTTGGAGTCAGCCTCAAGTGGTCACTTGAAGAACTGCAGGTTTTTGGACTTATTTTAACACTCAAAGTTGCTGCTCTGGTTAAATTTTGCTGATTGCCACCTGTCATAAAACAGAAAGAGGACTAATTTTTGGGAGGATGTTTGTGGACACTGCGATCTGCAGAAAATGCGGCACAGTAGTGTCCACAAAAAGGATTCCATCCCTTCCCTTCCATCATCCAGTGAATTTCATCCTGATAGAAAGAGTAAGTTTTCCATAAATGTTGCAATGATGTTTTGTGGATTAATTTGGCCTCAGATTATCATGAGGTGAAATTCTGAGGCCATGGCAGCCTTCAATCACTAGTTTTAAGTCTCATTTAATACAGCATGAGCTGCATTTTATAACTTATGGTTGTATTTGGAGAAAAACTAAGAGTAGAGCAGAGTACGCTTTAGGGTGTAACTACCTGGGCTCAAAAAAGTAACTGCCACTGCAAGATCTGAACAAAGATAAAAACTTTACGTAAAAATGACACTAGATGGCAAAAGCATTCCCAAACCAATGGAAGACGTCTCAGTGACTTGCCCACTTTTTTCATACAGTCTCTGGTCTCCCTCCTCCATCTGACATTAGACTGTCAACTGCTTTGTCATTATTAGTGTTAGCATCTCTGCCTCTTCATCCCGGGCTCAGGTGTCAGTGGCTCTGATTGTAGGAAGAGACAGACTGCAGTCCTGCTCTCAGACCAGCACGCAGTCGTCCCCTGTAAGAAATGTAAAACCTCACACTCCTCACCCCCTCTCTGCATCCCACCAGCTGCTGACTGAGTGACTGTGCAGGTTCACCTGACGGCTGCGCTCTGTGCTTCCAGACCAGGAGAAAAAAAAGCCAAAGTGCTGACTCTTTTGACCGCTGGCTTTGAAATGGAGCTTGTTTTTGTGACTCAGTGCTGTTATAAATAGCTCTGAGCTGTTCACATGCCCCACTGAGGGAACCACACATCACGTGCCGGGTCAGGGGGCAGCATCGGCACTCATAGTCTAAACCATCAGAGACATTAGCAGAGACTAAATTTACCTGACATTGGAAGAGGCGGGTGACGTCTAAAGGGTACGGGGGTGTGTGTTTGTGTTTGTGTTTGTAGTATAGTGATGTGACAGTCCGGTTATGACTCAGGGATCCGGTGTCGAGTTTGACTTATCACTTTAGTGCTTTGTAACCGTCTTTATGGCACATTCATAATGCTGAAATAAGACCTACTGCTTCACTATGCATGCATGAACGCTAATCGAACCCTTACAGCACCTTTCGTAAAACATTCCTCGAATGCCTTTGTCATTTGTGTTGTAAGGGAGGGACACCAGGTGAGTGATTTCTGCACTACGACGTGGTCCATCATCTTAGCAGTCATGCAATGGAGAGTTTACAAACCAGAGTTCAGTTCAGAAATGATACAGGACGTATTGTGTTCATGGGTGTCGCAGTGCAGCATGGGATGTCTTGTCCTAGTTGGGTTGGGAAAACCCTAAGGCCGTAGTGATGGCCAACATGAGGAGGGTAGAGCTGGCGAGCATCACAGCGCCACCTGACCGGTACACCTTCCTGCCGTTCAGTGGCTGCACCGGCCTGAAGGTCCCCACCATCGACTTCCCATCCTGGAACTTGAGCTCAGAGAAAGCCAGCAGCTGGAGAACAGAGGATGAACACAGACGTTAGGGCAGAAATTGAAGCAGCTACTCAGGCTTATTTTGTAACTTAGATATTTTTGTTTCACATTTCTCTGCCTCCCTCCCTCTCCTGCCTCTTCACACAGTAATTCATGCAGAGACGTCTTAACTGTCCATTTGTGCCTCACAAGTTCATGATGTTTGTCTTTTCATGATTTCTTTGATGCAGTCTTAATCAATATGCAGTGCACTTCTCCTCCTTCTCCATCTACTCTCTGAATGGTACAAATGTGATTGACATTACCCATGACTTGCTTCGTGTATAAAGTCTCCACTTTTGATTATTAACTTTTTATCAAATCGTCTGTTTCTTCTGAGGATAGCTCCATTTCAGTCCGCCTTTGTTGCAGCTCACTTATCAAATGTTTTCTTTGTCTCCATCTGAGAGCATCTCAAAGCTTCTCCAGATGGTGTGCAGATCAGATGAATTTTCATTAAATTTGGTAATAATAAATTCTGAAGTGTTTCCAATAAGATGACCATCCTTTGACTGTGTTTAATTAAATATCCAATGCCTACAACCTGTCGTGTATTTAGCTATGTTGACTTGAATTGTTACTATCGTGTGATCGGCTCTTAGGCTATCTATTCATTCATAAAGAGCTAATCAATGTGGATAGCTTTGGCCTCTATGCCATGTATAAATGTTTGGATCTGGGTTTTTTAGCCGTCAAACCCGATCTGAGGAGGTCCTCATTTTATTTGATGATGTGCAGGAATGATTGTTGAAGGTACGAGTTCCTGAACAGTCTTAATATTTATAAAAGTATTGTAATCTCCCACCATAACATGTTCTCTATTTTCTTTTCATTAAGTGTGTTCACATGGACTTGAGAATCCTGGATTTGATTGGGTTTTTTAAATATCCGGCTTTTGTGTCTGCGTAAATAAACATCAAATGCTGTTTTTTTTCTAGCAGGAGAGTCTGTAAAGAAGCTATACTGTGGCATGAATAAGCCTTAACTCTGGTGTCAGACTGCTGCAGACTGTCTGTGCGAGTGTGGCCTCAGCCAGGTGACAAACCAGCAAAACAAACATGACAACAGCCAAAAGAGAGTCTACCTCCTGTTGTGACAGAGGATCTGAGCTTTCTCTTTTTGCAACAGCATGTTGGTGTTTGACAGTGAGGAGTCTGCTATATGGCACTGGGGCCTCGTTTCAAAATTGCTGCAGTTTGTGTTGTTAAAAAAACACAGGTTTATATGCATATAAAAGCAGTCATCAGAAATCATCACATTTCCAAGAATATCAGTAAACAGATTCCTTTGTGTGCATTTTAACACTGAATTCTAAATATGATCAAAACTGGGATCAGACTTATAGTTTAGTTTTGCTGTTCACATTTCTTTATAAAGTTACAGATCTGAAGAACACTATTTTTTTTATAGAAGCTACCCGACAAATCCAAACTTGAATTGACTCTAAACTTTCCAAATAAAAGGGTATTTTACATCTGAACTGCATGTGAATGGCCCACAAAAACTTTATCTGTACTTTATAAGTAAATAACTCTTGGAAGCACAATGGGATCAAATAATCCAAGGTTAAAGAGCAGACCATAATCATTTATCAGGTTCTCAGTAGATTGTTGTCTGAACTAATGTTGGAGTGCATGAATGTGTGATTTTGTTAAAAAAGTGTGAAAGTTAAAGAAAATCTCTTCAAAATGTTTGGTTTTGTTACCTGTTCCATGCTCAGAGGGATGGGGTTCTCAAACAAAGTCCAGATCACAGCCTCAGTGCACCCTGGTGTGGTCAGAGAGCCTTTATAGCGGTAATAAGAGGTCAGATTCTGCTCAGCTGGGATTAGCTGAGACAGAGAGATGGAAGATAGGGATGTGTTTCCGTCTGAAAATATAAAAATTGGAGAGAATAAGTTTGAGTTTCTCTGCTGGTCAGCTTCGTTTGTACCTAATTAGATAAGTTTCAGCACTCACTTGTGTTTTTGATGCTCTTCAGAGCGTTGATGATCGGTTCATACTTCTTGTTTGCACTGTTTGATCTCTGGAAACAGAAATGTATTCATCTTAGGACTACAGCATTTCAACATTAGATCTGCTTTGTATGTTTATTTAAACAGTGTAGTTTTTAAAAAATGTTACCTCATAGAAAAACCCAAGGACTGCAACTCCCTCTGGGTCTGCTAGTGCCGTGGTAAGGTCCGCGTAGTGCTGCTTCATGTGAACTATGTGCAGCTGAGGAGAAAAGTTTAAAGATTTCACAACTTTTGTCTTTACAAAGTCCCATTTAAAAGTTGTGTGTACAAGCTTGCTGTGGGTTGTACAAATAGAAATGTCACGATTTTATCTGTCCTTAGTGGTTTCAATGTTTGACTACCTGATCTAACTTTTTTATTTTATCTGTCCTTAGTGGTTTCAATGTTTGACTACCTGATCTAACAAAAGTTACAGATATCGAAGATATCAGTTTGACGCATTCAGCTCCTCATTGATTCGACTCATTGTGTGTCCAGAGCCTGATATGTTCAAATCCTCAGTGCCATTAATCTCAAAAATGTTCAAACATGTCACTAAGCCACAGTCGGTGAAAAGGTCCTTTTTTAATAGTGGGCTCAGACAATGTTGTGTCTTTTCAGTGAGGCTTTCATACTCTTAAATCCTCATATCGTGTGAAAATAGTCTTAAATAGATTCTCTCTCAAATCTTGTTTGTGTGATTTTTGCAGAAACTACTGTGATCAGCTGTTTTAAAGAACTATTGAGCCTTTTGTGATCGTTATCAGTGATTCATGTCTTCCACAAAGAAACAATAGCTGCCACAGATGCAGTGAAAAAAACGGCAGGGAGAACTGAAAGGCTGACTTAAGCACTCGAAACTGTATCTATGATAGGACAAAATGAATAAACACCAACAGAAAATCTGCGTTTTCATGATCAGTGTTAAAGAATTATCTAATATACAGTATGTTCATTCAAGTCGTGTGACTCTCTACTTTTGAACAGCTTACTCAGCTCCTTGCAGTGGTATTTTTTTGAAAAAAAAAATCTTATTTCATTTGATAGGTGCCATACTTTTTTTTTTCCTAAGCTTTGTGTTTCAAGTAGATGTGAGGGTGATGATAGCTGCCATATCAGAAATGCTGACTCAGGCTTACTTTTGATCAACACCTCCAACAATGCAAATACCCGCGTACCTTTAAGATTTTTGCATCCAGTGAATGATAAAATAACCACCCCAGTGCATTTTGTATGAGACAAATAAACTCACCAAAAACATACGTCGGTGCCAGGCTGTCAACATGTTTATTTCTGCCTAAAAATTGACATTTTAACAAGGGTGTTAAAAGGACTTCCTTTGCCTTTGCAGCTAGCCTCAAGTGGACACTTGAGGAACTGCAGTTTTTGGCGCTATCACATTAGTCATTCTTTTAACACTGTTTGATAGAAACTTACTCCAAATTGTTAACTTTAATACCACTTCCACCTCTGGGAAAGAAAATATCAGTTCATGTTTAGCGTCCTGGGGTGGGCAGTCTGATTTTGTGAGAGGGGCATGTGCCTCCCCTGGTACTTTTTGGCTTTGCCCCTGATTTTTTACCCCCTCACAACAGAATTGGAGGTATGATTAATGAACAGCAAATGACATTCAATGTGATTTATGAGTTTTAGTTTTAACATCTCATCAGGCCTCTAACATTACACAAAAACCTATCATTCTGTCTTAATGTGATCTGTTCATGTTCATCCTGTGTCATTTTCTCATAGTATCAGCAGACCATGTTAGAGATAGGCTGTTTTATGGTGAGGTGGATTTACCTCCATAGGGTACTGCTCTCCATCAATGGTATGTTCAGAGCCAGGACCCCCGTTGGTGCCCCAGTGAAGATGGAACTGCACTGCCTTGTAGGTGGTAGGAAGTTGTCCACCTGAGATAGTCCTCGTCTGAGGAACGGCAACCTGAACTAAATTAAAGAAAATACAGAGAAAAAAAAAGATCATTTAAACCATCTCAACATTAGGATTGATATTTTCTGTTTAAATGGAAATATTCTTACCTGAGTGTCCATTGTTCTTGATTGGGTTGCTGAAGGTCTGCTGGTAGTTGTCAAACTTAAAAGGGGTCAGACGCTCGTCTTTCAGGGTCTTTCTGGTAACAATGTTGATGGGTGACTGGGATTTTCCTCCACAGTTGCTGTTAGCTTGGTTCCATTTTTCTGGTGCTAAAACCAGAAAAAAAAAATCTCATTTAAACACAATGAACTGAACTGTTCACATTCTGATCTGCTACAACCTGAGATATCTTAAATGTAGGCATGTGATTTATCTCTGGAAATCCAACCATAAATTAAGTTATTTCAGAAAATTGATCAGTTGAAGTGCACAATTACTCTCTTTTGTTTAAATACTATTATTGCAACTTTTTTCTGTTTTAAATTTAAACTTTGTACAGCTGAAATAAGAAGATTTCAGTTTTATGTCTTCTGTAAAGTATACGTTGCTTATATGACAAAGGTGAGTAGATAAAATTATCATCCTTGAAAAAAACTAGCTACATTATTGCATTAGCATATGCTTACCATTGCACTGATGAGCACAGCTGAACTGGGTCTGATAGCACCAATCTGAAACACAGGAAATTAAATATATTTTGTCAAGACAAAGTTTCATTGTATTATCGTCAATAGTGCATCATGTGGAGAATATCAACACACGCACACTCTCCATGCTGTCAAGTCTTAGTCTATTGTGAGAGCAGAATGGGATGTTTTCTTTTAACATCCACACTGACAGCTGTCCAAAAAGGTTTAATGCATGTTTCAAAATGTGTCTGTGATTAACTTTTCCCTCTTGGCAGGCGGTGCATTGTTCTCCCATTGGTTTAGTAATTCAGCTGCTATTCTCAGACATACAAAAAGCACTAACGTGCAGGAATTGTTTTACTATACACCAAAAAAGTTAGTGTTTGTGCTTTATCTTTCCATGCTATCAGTATAAACACTAGGCCAATCTTTTGCATCAGCGAGGTCCTGTTCTCACATGTTTGTCTGAGGGTTTATTAATATTTCACAATTGGTTTGCATGTTTCCACCCTGCAGCCGGAGACAAATATCTGCAGCTATCTCACGAATCAAATATTTATGGAAAACACACATGCCATTGAAAAATTTCAGGGAGGGTCTCCTGCTCTGTTGTTGGAGTGGATTTGAGGACTTCTCCCAGTGTTTGTGAAGGAAGTTATTGCTTAGTTTCTTTGCCATGTTGGTTAGCCTTTTCCTGCTGCCCCTGCATGATAATGGGGCCTGAAAAACAGCCAAGTAGGGGGGCAAATATTTGGGGAAGGGGGTCCAGATTTTTTTTCCTGTGTGCTATTATTCCCTGAAGAGGCCCCAGAAACTAAAAAGAAGCAAATACTTTCAATGTATCTCTGAATAAACATCCTCTTTGCAGGATTTTCTATGAGTGGTACTTGGAGACCGCAGAAAAAAATCATCTAACCTCCCTTAAAGTTCTTAATGCTTCGTGACTGAAGCCTGGGTGCACACAGAGTATTAAAGGATTATGATTTATTTCAAACCTTGTCTTACTTTCATATTTCAGGCTACATGGTCTGAGGGAGCCGTGAATGTGTCAGGAAAAACTGCGTTCAGGCTGCAGCTGAAATCTGGCTTATTATAGCAGCACTTAAGACGCACAGCTGTGTGAGTCTCACAAAGACGAGATGTTCCTCTTATATACAATGGCATGCCAGCCATTGGATAGGTTTTTTAAAAGATGCTTTTATAAAATTTTGCCGTAACAATCACAAAATATTTAGACCGTTACTGGTTCAGGTTTTTCTTTATTTTCAGGTTCATTAAGAGATCAAGATATGAAGTACATGGAATTAATTCAGTGATTTGATTTGATTGGAATCGATTCACTACAATACAATATGATACCATAATGTAATACTATACTCTGACGCATGTCCAGAAGGGTGGCCAGTGCGTAGCATGGATCCCACTAGAAATCTAGTCATTCCTGGTACTACTTTACATTCCTCAAATATGATTGGCTATTTGTCTTTTTAAAGGAGGGACCTATATTGAAATCAGCTATTTGGTTCATGTTGCAACAGGCCCTTGGCGGCTCTTTCTGGATTTTCATGAGACAATTCTCATTGAGCTCTAAAAAAATTGTGTAATTCTACATTTTTCAGCCTGATGTGGAGTTATTTTTGGGTGATTTGGTAAAAAATATTTTACAAATGCATTCGGGTTAAATTTGGGCCATAAGGGTTTTGTATAAGTAGTAGTTTGGCTGATCTGACGTAAAAGCTTATAAGGAGGTTTTACTGTGGCTTTAATTCTACCTCATCACTGGTATCTGGGTTGTCTGGAGGTTAATTGGAGACATTATTTACGATGGCAGGCACTATAGAGCTTTGCAGCACTGAGACTTCATTCATGTTTTGTCCAGCCAATAATTGCACTTTGCTAACTTTGTATTTTAATGTGTTATAGTCTTTTTGGTTGTACTTGATCTGACTTTGGATGTACATCTTTGTGCATCCAAAAAGGTTAAGCCCAGGAAATTTAGGAATTGCCTTGCTGGACCATCACATCAGTCATACTTCAAACTTAAATATTAAATTAAATATAAGTGTGAACAGAAAGAGTAACAAGTTAAAAAGAAAAAGTCAGCCTACACCTCTGACTTTTTTATACCACAGGCAAATACATCAGCTCCCTATAGGGATAATGATTATACAGTCTATGGATGCGCAAAGACATTCCTCTAGATTTACAGTTGAACTTTTTCACTGCTGGTAAATTCAGAAAATAAAATTTAGGTTCATGGGTACTTAAATAAAACACTTTCAGTCAGGTTTAGTGCAGGTACTCTGGATACGTCTTCAGTTCAGTGTCGAAGGCGAAATTTCTATTTATACAGCCCTTAGACGCTTGTGTTGATCTGAACCAATCAGGTCTCTGTCCGCACAAGTCTCGACCAATCAGCGCTCAGCTTTGATCTTCGGTGCGGCACAGAGCAAATGAACAATACGAATGAGTTTCAATGATCTGAGAACTCTGCCAGGAGAGCAAAAAAGAGCAGAGGAAACTGTCAAAAGGAAAAACAAAGGGCTGCGAAAAAGGACAACAAAGGGGTCACGTATGTCTGCATGCACGTCCAGCACACAGAAACGTAACATGACGGACCTTTTCATGCCATTGTGTTGAGCAGAGCCAGACATAAACTGTGCGGAGCTGCAGACGCTGCGTCCACACATAAACATGGTTCAAAAGAAAAGCACAAACTCTGCCAGTTCTTGTTCCTCCTCCTCATGTGCCAAAACAGGTCTGGAGGGACAAGTAGTCCCCAACAAAAAAGGGGACAATGTGTTTCTTGGACGGTGCATTAGCTAAATTGGAATAGAGAGGATCTGATCGGGTTTCTTTTCCAGACACAGAAAAAATAAAATCATTGCAACGTTGAAATGTTTTAGTGCATCTGCTGTATCGGGAGCCACAGCTTGGAACGCGTGAACTCTCAACAGCGCATGAAGAGCGCAATGAGCTGCGCAACAGAAGCTCCAGATGGTCCACAACTCTTAGTGTCTAAAGGGAGGGGAGCTTTATCTCAGAATATCACAGAAGGATAGTAAAAAGGAGAGAATAACTCCACCAAAATGCCGAGGATATGCTGTACGTTCAAACAAAATGTGTTGGAATTTGTGGATATTTTAAAGAGAGAGGAAAACCATTTGAAATGCTGTTGCGGGACATTTAAGAAGAGTTCTTGCTTCATTTGGAAAGAATGTGTCCCCCTCTTAGACTCATAGGATCTGTGTTCCCAAACTAATGACATTGTCGAATCCCATCGCATTGCACCAGCAGACAAACAGGTGTGTTTGGGATTCACCACAACACACGAGGAGCGACCAGATTTGCGCATTTGTCAACCAACTTCAAGATCGCACCGACCAAGCAGCGCGCAGCGGTCTGTGGAGCCTGCCCCCCATTAATTACCGATAATTTGATCTATTACAGTCTGGGTGTCAGTATTTGCAGCTTTTTCTCTGCGGAGTTATCACCTCTCACTGTCAGCTGCTCGGGAATATCTGCGCGCTCTGCTCGACGTCTCTCTCTCTCTTACTCTCTCTCTCTTTGTGCGGCAACAAGGACGCAAACAGCCTTCATTGGCTCACTGGCTCTGTGTGAATCTGAGCAGGTGCACGCGAGAGAGAGAGAGAGAGAGAGAGAGAGAGAGAGAGAGAGAGAGAGAGAGAGAGAGAGAGAGAGAGAGTCTCTGGATCCTCTCGTGTCCTTGAACACGGGGCTCAGCAGTGAAGACTTTTGCATGATCATGTCGGACGCGCGGAGGAATGCACGGTGCCACATCGGTGTGTGGGGGACAGGTGTGTGTGGATATGTGTGTGAACGGTAAAAAGAGCGTCACGCAGGCGGGAGAGCCTCTCTGTCGGTGGGGTTGCGGAGACTTTTTTTTTACCTGCTGGAAATTTTCCTCGATACATTTCATTTTTTTTCGGATTTCTGCCTTTTTAATACGAATCAGATCCAGACAAACATGAACTTTTCTTGGACAATAATTAGCCCAATATTAAACGTCTAAAAATCGTGTAAAAGGCACAGATATTTCTGTGATGTGTTAATGAGCCTATAGACTATCTCTCTGTTTAATTTGGCGAGATCAGGAATGAAACAGTTAACACCAATTTAGATGTGAGTAAAAAATCATATCTATGCTTTGGTGTGAAATAACCAAACGAATTATAGACAGAGATTGGAAATTAGAGTTATACATGAGAATGTAATTGATCCAACAAGAGGAATAATAAGGAAAAAACATCACATTCTGTCCAAATCCCAGAGCTCTGTTCACCATCACTCAGGTGATGTTTCGATCATCCTCCTGTAACTGGGACCTTTACTGTGTAAAAATAAAAGCCCCAGCTGTTGAACATTTTTCCATCTTTTCCTCACTAATCTATGAAATTTCACTCACCTCCTGATCCCGTGCAGAGGGTCCACAGTGAAGCCAGTAGAGCGGACACGATCAGCTGCTGCATGTTGGAGCGTCTTGGACTCGCCGGAGCTGGGAAACGACACGGTGACTCGTTTTTTTCCGATGTGATCGCATTCTTGCAGGGGGTCTCATACTTATCTATCAGCATCCCCCGACAGGAAAGAAAGAGTGGCCCCTCCCCCTTCGGGCATCGCCTCTAATAGGGTTTCGCGCTGATAACGCGGGGGCCAGTCAATGGGCTCCTGGTGCGCAGGAGCCAAACATAATGCAATCAACGCAGAGCTGTGATGTGCAAACTTTCAACGGAGATCTGAGAGGAAATAGTACCTCTGCGGGGAATCAATGGGGTTAATTATCAATACAGGGGGGAGGGATGGAGGATCTTTGCTCCACAGGTATCCAAAAGTGGTCCTTAGAGGGTTAATTGTCGAGAGATTTGAGTTTTACAACCTCATTATCATAACAACACCATCTGTCGACTAAAGCTAAGACACACGGAGCTTTTGAAGGAAAAAAATGTACTACAGCTTTTGAGGTAATGAAACCAAACAGAGCTGTTTATGCCATTTATATTAATAAAAATCTTACAGTAAGCAGAAGCACAGCAAAAAAAAAAAAACCCTTGCTATGCCAGTAATTTTGTCATTCATGAAAAAGCTTAAAAAGAAGAAGGACCAGTATGCTCTCATTTAATATGCACTGCCTCACCATCAGAGTGTGAAATTAGTAGAAGCAGAAAACAGCTCTTAAAATGTGTTTTAGATTAGGGTTAATTTCAGCAGTCATCAATCAGCATCATAAAACAGCTGTGAGGTTAAAACCGAAATAAAATCATTGTTCTCCCCATCATGTCAGCTATATACAAAACTTCAGACCTGTGAGGAAAATGAGGTTTCAGATTCTGTGACACTGTCTTGCGGTCAAAATTTGACCCATTAAGCAGAAGTGAGACCAACTGAAAACGCTGACATATCTGGATGAAAAGTAGAGTACTGTTTTATTCTCACTTTGATGTGGATGTGCTTGTTTTCTGACTGGAAGGACAAAGAAAGGCTAAATTACATCTGTACACCTCTCTTTCCAAAGGCCTCCAGTCCATTATAAGATAGCTCTTTTTAAAGCAGACTGAATGTCTACAAAGTTGAACCGAAGTTTTTGTTCTTTTGCTCTTATTTTACACCACTGTTTTAGAAAGTACAGTACTTTTAGATATGATATACCAGCCTGGAGCTGAAATCCCTGATAACCCATCTTGTACGAACGACAATGAATACAACTGTGGGTTAAAAACAAATTACACAGTTACAGGAAATAGTGTCTGATTTGACCCGAGTTCCCGCATTTGCTCTCAGGAAGAAAATTAAGAACCCCTAAGACCAGACCGGACCTCCATAAATGTTCATTTCTAAAGAGCAAGTATAAATCATCTTATCTTATATCTTATATGTTGTATCGCATTGTATCATATCATATTGTATCATCTTGTACCATATTGTATCGTATTGTATTGTATCGTATTGTATCGTATCTTGTTTTGTCTAGCCTTGTCTTGTGAGCTTTTAAAGCACTGCATGGGTTGGTCAAAATCAGCAGCTCCTGGATGCGCCAAAAACTTGTCCAAGAACTTGAGGTGATTGGGACTTTACAACAGCAATAAAATATATTGAACAGTTGTTATCACTTTAAATAAGATCGGCTCCCACTCCTAAATGTCTGAAATCTTTGCTGAAGACTCATCACTCATCTTTGGGCTCCTCGTGAAGATCAGGACATTATTTTCCAATCAGTTTTTAAGATACTGTAATATGATTTATTGTATATGCTATATGCTATTGTCTTCATATAGCTTTGTACTTTTTAAATTTCTCCACTTGTCCTCAGTAGGTTGTTGTAAATGATTTTACCTGACTCAAGTTTTCAAGTTTTTTCAAGAACAAAAAGTGTTAAATGTAGCTAGTTAAGATTGAGCTGATTGTTACTTGCCTTTAAGCCACCATCTAAAACTGTAGCTCTGAATTCAGCAATACAAAATTTGATGTTAATAACCTCTATAATAAAATGTACATGCTAACAGAAGAAAAGCAGAAGGGAAAAAAGTACCTGCAAGTTTCAGCGATACCAGACACTATATGTCCAAATTTACTTTTGTTTTTTATACTTAAAACTAAACCAAAACCAGGACTGAAATATAGTAAGAAAACACTGAGATAAGTGAAAAACAGACACACACACATGCCCTTTCACCTAAACTTGGATCTAAAAGAGGAGAACTCTATAATGGCTTTAAATGTAAGTTTCTGTCCCACTTCACCCTCCCCTGAAAACTCGTCCACTCAGTGCAAAGCTTGGCAAAAATCTCTGAAACGTCTTTAAGTTTTCCTCAGAAAAGTTTGAGCAGGATGAAACCTGAGCACACCCCTCCTGAATTATTGATCCTGCTGAGTGAGGACGGTGAGGGACACTGGCACAAGTTCATCCTAAAAACATGAATCAGCTGATGCAGCTCTCCCTGTAACAGCTTCAGTCAGCAGTGTGTCATGAACATGAAGCTGTGCATTTTGTGTTTCAGTGTTTGTTTTTATGTCCTTCCATTCGTGTGATTTTCACTCTCATCACTTGAAAAGTTCCAACATCAACTTTAGTTTTAAACACCTCTAATTTAGCAGAGAAATGAAGACACACATTTTTGGGAAATTTAGTAAATATCTTCTGACATGTTTTGCTGATAGAGATGGTTTCCATCCAGATATAAAGAGCACAGCTGTATTTCTCTCATGATGAAAAGGCGCACTCTGGTGGAGAAATGTGGTATTAAAGTAAATACAGAAGATGATAGACAGTACTTTATGGATCCCTGTGGAGGAAACCGGGGTCACTCGACATACACACACGTAGCACCGTCCATTCAAGAACACAAGCACCAACAGACCAGTTTCCACACTTTGTCCATGATAGCTTTTACACCAGCAAACTGTGAGTCCCAGGACAAGTCCCCACAAACTAAACCACTGCGGCTCAAAACTGAAAAAAAACCAAACTGTTTTGGATCATTCATTAAGAGTTCCTCTGAGGGGTTTATTAAGGGTCAATAAAAGGGTGATATTTTACAGTTATTCTAACAGATAATGTTAAGCATCAAAAAAAGCTGCCAAAATATCTATTTTACTTTAGGTCTTTTTACAGTTAAACTAAAGTAGGATGAGATTTTATTCTTATAATACCACTTACACATCAACAGGACAAAATCAGGAAGGAGGGGTACTATTTGGTAATATTTTTGTAGAGTTTGACGCCTCCTGTGGGCAAACATGATTCAGTTTGAAAACTCCTTGTAGGAGCATTCAAGTATTCTTAAAATAGCTATGTTGTTACTTATACTAATCAAATTCAGCAATTCAACCTGGTTAAACTCTCTACCTTTTATCGATTTAGTTACTTCGATTAATTGCTATGTGGACTCATCAGTTTCTACATCAAAACTTTTTTTGGTTTTTCATATACATTATGAAAACTGTAGTATTTTAATTTGGTCTGTTTTCTTTCAGTGTCCTTTTTCATTTGTTTGAAAGGTGTAATATCGACAAAACAGTATACAAAGATAAATAGGTACTTAAGAGGTTTTTTTAGGACAGTTCTTGAAGTATTTCATGATCTTTACAAATTCCTGCTGGTTTGTGCTGACGTTCATTGCCTCTCTGCACCTGGAAATGTGAAAAAAAAAAAGTTACAGCTGCAATCAAACACTTGGATGGCACAGTGTTAATTAGAGCTTACAGGGGTGTGTCTCACCCTGATTTACATCCCCATTAGTTTTGGAGTAGCTGTGAATGTGTGGGTGTGTGTGAACGGTTGGCTATCACTTTCAGAGTCGTCACTGTCTTCTGAATCTTACAAAGGTAGATATTGCAGACAATAAATGCTTGTATGGATTGATCAGTGAAACAGACTACATTTCTTTCTTTATTCTACCCCCTGTGCAGGTGAAGTTTTCAGAGCTGACCTGTACGTGAGCTTTGGTGTGGTCTCTCTCTTTAATCCTCTTCACTCTCCACCATCAACAACATCTTCAGGACAGGAACATAAGAGCGTCTTGGACATTTATCAACTGATGTAGACCCAGTCTTGACTCAGTTGAACTTTCAGGCCTCATGATTTGCCGGTGATGTCTCTTGTGTTACAGTTGTCCAGTTCGTTTCTCCGTGATGTGGCTGAGATTCTCCTGTGGAAAAACACTATTGACAAGTAGCTCTTACAGCCTTTAGTAAAGCTCCCGCAGGGATTTTTCAAACTTTAATGTAATTGACGGAGATTCGTATTAATTCCTTCATATGATATACAGACATAGACTGTGAAAAGACTGGATGCTGTCTGCCTCCTCTCTGGGTGAAGCCATCCCAAGAACAGCACCCTCTGGTGATGGGCTGCAGTATGGATCATAAATCCCGCCTCCTCCAGGAATCCTTATGGAGCTGTGGACAAACTTTAGAAAATTAATCACAGATAATATTTATTTTTTTCCCCCCCTGGTTGCGATGTTGACATGTAGATACAATAAGACTGGTTTGTGCTCAAGTCCTCCTTTTTCTGTGCAGCTCAATTTCCAAAAGTTATTTGGGGGTTCATGTTTTCTATGATTGACACTTGGTACAGCATACTATGGGAGATTGTGTAGCTCACCCAAGCGATACGCTGTTTCACTCAAATCTGTTTATTGGCGGAAGGCGGAACCAAGTTGTCCATAATATATACAGTCTATGTGTACAGATGATTAGGAATAAAATTGATGATTTTTGGTTTTGTCGTTTTCCATTCCTGAAACTTGTGTGAGAAGAGTAGGTGTCAGGCAAGCAGCTGCGGGAACAGACCTGTCTTTACATTTTCTACAAAAAAAAATTCACAATTAATCATAAATGAAAGTCAAAAGTCAGTGAGAAAACATCTTTGAAAACATTTCCAGGAGCTACATCCAAATAAAGACGCTCAAAATCAGAACCATGATATAATCTTTTATTTTGACCCATGGGATTTAACTTTTACAGTGCATTTCTTTACAACAATTATTCATTAAGTGTCAGGTTTTAGCCACCACTACAGATCAGATTACTATGTATGTTACATTTCTGAAATTCTCGGAAAGATTTTGACTTCAAGAAGACCGTGTGAAAAAATTCCAAATATTAGACACACAGTTCACCTAATTTAGTGACGTCTCATCGTCGTACTGAACCATCTGTTAATCCTTAGTCGTCTCAGTGTTATTAAGCAGCTAACTATCTGTACCATTGAAACATAGAGAGAAGTGGCCAATTAGAAACCTGCTGCCATCTGTAAGAAAGAAAAAAGGCTTTAAAAATAGACGGAACAAAATATGGCACTATCGTCTCGAAGAACAACCAGCAGACACAAACACAGATTTTTTTTTAAAGGGGGACTGTGACCAAGCGTCCCGAAACAAAACGAGAAACTTCGAGCACTGTTCAGTTTTCACAATCTGAGGAGGAGTCATCAGTCAGGTGGACATCACGCTGTTCATTCACAAACATCTCAGCAGAAAAACCTTTTAGAAACTCCCACAGCACCTTCAACTCGTACGTTCTCACATCAGAAAAAGACTTCACAGAAAATCTGCCGTCTCCCAGCATCCTCTGCTTCTCTTCCTCTTCACACATCAAGCACACGTCCCACAAAACAAACAACACGCTGCACCGCGTCCATCTGTCCGCACACAGCCCCCAGAATGTAGCGACATGGCTATACTGCAGGAAAGCATTGATAAAGACAGAACCACATAGACTGTGCATATACAGAACTCTTTGAAAACACATCGCAGCAATGAACACATATATACGACCGATCAAATGCACAGGAACAGAAAGTCCGTCCAGTTAAACCCCCGTTACATTTTACATTCAGGCTCCAAGAAAAAAGATGCGGTGACAAAGTAAACAGCAGATTTCTCCCTTTTTGCTCAAGTTTGGTCTCAGATTCCCTCAAACACACGACAGCTAGTAGTGCACAAAATAAGAATACAAAATTAGACTTTTAAATACTGTAGCAGCAATTTTCTTTTTCTCTTAAAGTTGAAAGCCTCCAGTAGTACAGGGAAAGGCTTTGGAGTCCCCGACACGCCGAAAGGGTGAGCGATTGTCCTCTGAGGTGCGAGACAGTGTCTGTGAGGAGGGTGCATGTGTTTGGTGCTAAAGGTGGGTGACTCTGCAGGGGTGGTAAGGTTGGAGGTGCATCTCAGATGGGACACCGCCGGAGGACTGAGCCGTGTGGAGGCAGCCGGTCGCTGCAGTGCTCCAGGCTGAAAAATGTCTCTGAGCAGAAGGTTTTCAATCCCTCGCATGACTCTTGCATCCCAGACTTTCTCACAGTGTCTCCGTCTCAAAACCAAGCCTCCGAAAGAGTAAAAACTCTGACTCCTCTTCCTCCCTCCTTCCCTCGCAGCCATAACCACAGCAGGTTGAGGGTCACAACAGGCGCTCAGCTCGGCAGTCCGTAAAGCAGGACAGAGCTGAGGCGGGCCAAGCCGGATGACGTGTCTCTCAACTGGAGGCGGTGGCGATGGCCTTCTTGAGCTGCTGGCTGCGGATCTCGCGGGTGCGGGACTCCAGCAGCAGGTCATGGCAGGTGTTGCAGACCAGCACGGGGTCGTACAGCTGCTGGTCAGGGATGGGCAGCTTCAGGTGACAACAGTCTTTACAGAACACGTTGCCACAGTTCCTGCAGAAAGAGAGCCAAACAAGAATAAAAAATTTGTAATCTAAAAAAAGCTCTGTGCTCTTTTTTTGTATCAGCAGCTATTTTAGAAAAACCTTAAATGAATTACAGCTGATGGTAAAGGTTTGGTTTTTATCGTCTCTGTACAGTTGCATTCGTGTTGCATGATTCCAGTGTGGCAAATACTTTTCATCTGTGATTGACTTGTTCAAAGCATCATCTTATTCTGACAGCTTTAAACCAAAAACCTAAAAAAAACAAACCTTTAATAAACTGCTGACTGTTGTGTGAAATATGCAAACGCCAAGTAAGTAAAGGTTCAGAAAAGTCTAGATTTGATGCATCTTAACATGAAAGGTAGTTGGCACAATACATGGATACTATAAAGAAACCAGAGGCCAGATCTGAACAGCAAACATGTATTTCAGACATGAAGCTCTCTCTGTTAATAAGAGTTTCCATTTTGAGACGACTGTTGCAGTTTTTTATAGCATTTAATTGAGAAAGAGTCTCCGGCTAACAGGATCCTTTGACTCTGAGCTCAGAGCTCGGTTTACAGCCTCGAAAATACAAGACAAACAGAGTCTTTGAATCTCAGGCTGCTAGTTTGGCAGAATGGTATTAGAACAAAAGAGTGCCAGGACAAAAGTGGATACAAAAAACAGCCGGAGAGAAACAGGACACAGCTCCTGCTCAAATGTTCATCGTATCTGTTGCTGTTTCATAAGGAATACAACAACCAGGGAAGCGTTTGATCTGATCTGAGAGCAGCAGCTACTGAAGAGACAATCAGAGGAGATTAGGGAAGGAGGACACAACGTTTGCCAGAGTGAGATGACAAGAATAACCACGATAAAGAACTAGTTCAATATTTTAGAGTAAATTCATGAATTATCTTACCAAGAGTCTGAGATTGACAAAGACTCACAAGTCTTTGTCGAAATATAAAGCTTATAAGTATGCTGCTGAATCAGCTTTGCGCTAAAATGGAAAAAGCTGCAGAAACGGCTCAGACTCTTTCCAAAGACACAGAAACTCGTCTAATAGCAAATCTGAAGACGGTTCAACTTAAAGAAAAAAAAACCTTTATCCAAATGTCTGTACAGGATAAGAACAGCACTATTGCATGTGTTTCCATTAGGGCACATTTGCACCAAAACAGTTTCGTTTCAAGCCACTGGCCACAGTTTTATGATTCAACACTTATCTGTATGTTTTAGTTATTTTAGTCCGTGGTCCATTTTGCCTTTATTAGATAAGAGAGAGCAGGGGATGACATGCACCGCCGGGCCGAGGTTGGAGCCTGGGCTTAACTGCTGAGTGAAAGTTGATTTTGTTCCTGTTTCTAAACCAAGTGGACCTTTCATGTTCGTGAGTTCATGTGTTCTTGTGTCTTTTAACGTAAGAAAGCAGCGGTGAAGGCCCACCTGCAGTGGTGACGTCTCTTGGCTATCCAGAACTCACAGTCACAGTTGAAACAATGGGAAGCCATGTGGTCGGGCACCCACCTCGTGACCTACACACACACACACACACACACGTACACATATTAACAGCTTTCTCAGGACAGTGTGCAGTAATAGGGAGTGTCCAGACAGGTGAGGGGGAGGAAGTGAAGACAGAAGCTATTTTAGACAATGAGGCACTAAAGGACTCTGACCTCTGTGTCTTTGGGCTCGACTCGGTCCCAGCTGCCCTCAGACAGACGGTCCTCGCTGTGGGTGGACAGAGAGTCCTCCTCATTACTGTTGTCTGACTCACGCAGACACGTCTGAAAACAAAGACACAGTGACGAGGTCAGCAGACAGACAGACAGGAGGGGGTGAGAGGACAGAGCACTTCCTGAGGATAATCAAAAGTAAATATTTACAGACCCTGCAGACAGAAACAAAGGTTACAGGACCGGACTGTCCAAAATTAATGTCATCATTGAAAAATCGACTCACAATGTCGTCCTCGTAGTCGATGTCTGGCTCTGAGGGAGGGGTGCCGTACTGTTTACTCTCCAGCCTCATCTGCAGCTGTCGCACCTGCTGTCTCAGCACCTCCACCTCCTGCTTGTAGCCCGCCTCAATCTGCCGCAGTCTCTGCTGCACGGCGTCCATGGGCACCGGCAGTCCGTCATCATCCAGGTAAGACGGGGCCTGAGGAGGGGGAGGGGAGCTGGAGGCTGAGGGGGAGGAGAACGACGCAGGCAGGACCTGATGGCCCGCTAAGGAGTAGGCGTTGATGGCGGCTGCAGCGGCAGGTCCACACAGGCCGGTGTAACCTGTGGTCCTGGCAGTAGACATCCACGCGGGCTGCAGAGGGGTGCTGGGACAACACAGAGCCTCTCTGCGGCAGCACTGGGACCCGTTGGCGAGGGAGAAGCCTTGTGAGCGTAGCAGCTTACTGGCAAGACGCCGGCTCTGGTACGAGTTGTTTTGCAAGGCTCGGCCCATGCCAGAGTGAGCCGACTGGACCAGACCCTGGACGCTCTCCCAGTGGGAGTTGAGCAGGGACAGGTCTGAGAGCTGGCTCTGGGAAATCAGATGGCGAGCTGCTACCTGGGCGCAGTCTACAGGAGCGGCTGTTAACGGGCGCTCTCTACCTTTCACTACATCTGTCCTCAAGTCCTCTTTCTCTTTCTCTTTCTGGATCTGCACCTGGGGCTTTGACTCAGGAAGCTCCTCATCATCAGTGTGATTCGGGGTGGGATCCTGGCTCACTGTGGGAGGAAGCTCTCCCTCTCCAGTGAGAGTCTCAGTGGAGTCCTCCAAGGGAAGGAGTGGTGTGAGCTGCTTCAGAGCCAGCAAGTCTGCAGACTCTGGAAGGCTGTCAGTGTGGCCGTTCAGCAGCAAGGGGGAGGCTGGCACTGCAGGCTGTAGTGAGCCTTTGCAGGGGAGGGGTAAGCAAGGCTCTGATTTATGGGAGGGTGACGTGGTGCTCTCAGCAGTCCTACAGGGGCTCGTGTCCCCAGGTGGAAGGGGAGGCGGCGGGAGTGGAGGGTTAGTGATCTGAGGCAAAGCCTGCTGAAGGACAGGAGTGTGAGCGAGTGCGACGTCCTTACTAAGAGGGACAGGGGGAAGGGGTAGCGAGGGGAGAGGCTGGGTTGTGAGACAGGTCTCCTCGGGCGTGTCTTCACTCTCAGCACCAGAACCATCCTCAGGGGTCTTTGCGGGACTCTGATGTAGAGGTTCCTTTTCACAGCTGTCCAATCCATTCTCCTGTACAGCCTCATCTGAGATGATTGCAGACGTTTCTTCTGTAGCTGGTGAGGGATCTGGGGCAGGGCGACCCTCCTGGCAGTGCTTGTTGAGATTGGGGTCACTGGACGTGCGTGTCAGCGGGACCCCGTTCTCTAAAGCTGACAGCAGGTTGTCCATAGAGCGTGTCTTCGGAAGTCTAGTCATATAAAACACAGAAAAGGTTTGTTTTTCTCACATGCACAAGAATGCAATTCCATGTTTTGGACACTAGAGGGCGGCCTGCGACTCTGTTGAATGTGTGTTTTTGAATTAGGGCAAGAGTATTGACAGGAACAGAGAGTACAGAGGCTGAATAACAGACCAGATTTGCATCAAACAAACACACCTGTCCAGGGAGCGGGAGGTGAGTTCGTCTCCTGTGACACAAGGGGGGAGGTAGAGCTCCATGGAGTCGTCCACAGCCGTGCAGGGGGAGGAGGTGGGCAGGTAGACAGATGTCCACAGCTGTAATGCCCGAGTGTGGCAGACTGGCTGCAGCACCTGGCAGACAAAACAAAGGACAGGGATAAACTCAGAAGGTCAACACAGAAAAATGAAAGTCCCTTTTATTCTATTAGCGTTGTGCTACGTCACCCCAGAGTACTGGACTTTTGTTTGGGTTGATAGGAACTGTTGATAAAAGGGGTAGGATTAAATAAGTTTAAACTTCTTCCTACTCCTTTTCGAACATGTAGATCGGCTACACATGCAGGTTGATGCCAGTAATCTTTGATTTCTTTTATTCATGGTATGCATGTGTTTGTGTATGGTTACTACCTACATTCTGTTTTCTTTATTGCAGGTTCGAAATAATGCACATCCATTCATTCATATGTTACACCACAGTCTTGTAATTATACTCTGAGTTTGGGCATGCCACCTTCTTCTCAGTGACAGTCTCAGGCTAAGAAGTTGTTGGTAGCAGCTTAGTTGTTACTCAAAGTACCTACTACAAATCAATAACAAAGTAGTGTACTAGTTAATTGTAAAGTAATAAAGTAAAATCTTAAAAACAGAGAAAGGAGAGTTTGAAAAGTATGAGGTACCATATCATGACTGGGGATGTAAAGGAAGTTCTGAAAGTTCTTGTTTCCGCTCCGGAGCAGAGACCACACAGAGCATGTGCGTTTGTAGATGTTCCTGGCCTCCCTCTCTCGAGCGTTGTTGCACAAAAAGGTGCCGTAAAGACACGAGTACGTGTGCTGCACCAGCTTAACCTGGAAAACACAAAGAAGACAGAACAAGGCGGTGATTTACAGCCGTTATGGTTTAATAAGGCTCCGCTCAATCAATTTAACGGCTGACTGATACAAAACATGATTAGCTCTGGTTATTAGCTGAAAGTGTTTGTTCTTTTGCTCAATTGACCCTTTGCTAAACTCCTTCACCGAAATGATTGTTTAATTACAGCCTCAGCATTATGACTCTGCACAGCAAGTTAGGCAAGCGTTATATTTCTCCTCTTTTATGGGATTTTTCTTTTAAAATGAGAGCTGAAAAACAACAACAACAACAACAAAAAACTGCCAGTCTGATTTATGAAATCTTTTAACTCATGTCCCTTCAATGGGGAGTTGTGCTCATGTTAGAGATTATAAACTTCCATTAGCTGTGTTAATCTTAGTTGCAAAATTTGACTTTTAGCTTTAAAAAAGGTAAATTCTGATTGGGCGCAGCATTTTGAAGGCAGTACCTCAAGGGTTATAAAGGTCTGCAAGGAAATCAAAGCAAAGGATTCAAGATTTCGAGTGAGCTCTGTCTTAAAAGATGTCCATCACACTTCTAGGTTTACAAACAAACCAACAAACAAAGTGTATGCGTTTACGGCCGTTGTAAGAAGAGTAGTGGACAGTCACTCACCAGGAAGGCCTCGTTGAACTCAAACAGGCAGGGGAACTGTTTGAGCAGCTGGTGAACACAGTCCAGCCACTGCAGGAAGACAGGACACTGCTCGCTCACATCGTCAGCGTTCTCCTGGTGACCACAGCGGTCCCCAAACTTATGACCGTAGTCCAGCCACTCGGTCTCAACGAGGACCTGGAAACCCTGTGAAACCACACGGTGCTCATAGTTATTTTTACAGTAATACAACAACCAAAACCTTGCTTCTATAGACTGTTAGACCTGCAATGGACAGAAATCATGATTTTTATTCTACATATTCTTCTGATTTTCTGCCAACAATACCACAATGCAATTCTTCTGACACCTATAACAAAACAGTGACGCTGCAGCGTAACGCAACACCTGTTTCTTCTAGGACCTGCTCGCAACAGTAAACAACTGCTGTCCTTGTTATTGTGGGATTGTTGTTAAGAAGAAAAAAAAACAAAGTTAAGAGGCTGGTGTGTGTCACTAGCAGGAGTTGAAATTTTTACCATGATATTACATTTGTTCATAACACTGTAAAGTGAATTTAACTGGTGTTGTAATTTTTCTCTTTCAGTATATTACATAAAGAATTTCAAGAGGCACTTTCCCACCAGACATGATTTTTTCTTATAATGCCAAAGCAGACTTGAATATATAAACAGTCTGATGCATTAGACGGTGGTTTGCACTTAACTGGTTTACTAACTAATCAATAAGAAGAAAAAACAATTATGAAAACCGCCCATTTGTGAGTGAGTAAAATAGTAGTGATGTTATATGCCGGCCCACTAGCTTGTTAAAGTGTGGCTTCATTCACATCTACTGTAGACAATGCCTGAGTATGCATAAACCCTGCCCAAGACCACCTCTCTGAGCGGTCTCAGGAACCGTGCCTGAGTTTGGTATCATTGTGTCCACACTGTTCAAATGAATCTGACTTTGGGTTTCGGTGCACCCTTGTTATTAAGTTATTCTTTTGAGACCCTCACCTCTAATGTCCTGTAGTACGGGTCAAGCAGGATCTTGGAAAGGGCAACTATCTGAGGGGTTCGGTCCCATCCATCTGAACAGTGAACGAGGACCGGACGACCCTCCCTCTCCACCGCTGAACACACCAGAGTGGCAGCTTTAAGCATGACGGACAGGTGCTGCAGCCAACGGGTGCTCTCAAGTGCCGACAGCCAGCTAAGAGAAGAGAGAAGATACTGATGAGAAAGAGTTCAAATCTACATGGATCATCTTTTAAAGGAATGAGGTGATCTGGTCCCCAGATACATCAGTGGAGTTTACTTAGGATGTGGGAAAGAGGAGGAAGAAGCTCCTGACCTATTTTTCTGCACACCTCCATTAGAGGAAGAACAAGCCTTTGAAATAACAGGGCGTGACGTCAAAGCAGCCCAGTTAGCCCATGTACTGTACACACAATCATACATGTCATTCAATCACTTTCACACGTGTAAACACACAACTAAGACACACACAGCTGGTCAGAGCACACAGATGTACACACTGAAAACAAACAGAAACACTACACAGACGAGTCCACTGTCACTGCTGTCTACAGACTGACAGCTGGCCCGCCCAGCAGGATCAGGTCTGGGCTGAGTGGCAGAGTTCCCATCTCTGTGTGGTGTTGCCTTACCGTGAGGTGAGGCCTTTCAAACAGGGGAGGGGGAGGGAGGCAGAAATGAAGGCAGTGTGGCTCAGAGAGACAGAAAGGTCAAACAGATCAACTTACTTTCCTGGATCAGGGATCTGGCTGCAGACGGTCCTCAGAGCCTGGAAGCTGTTCCTGATGGCATGGATGTTGGCCATTCCCATGAACATCACCTCGCAGTTTGGATAGTACTCTAAACACAGACAGATACAAACAACTCTGGGTCAGGTCCTGAGACGAAAAACACACTGAGAAACAACAGAAAGAGGCATTTAGTGGAGTGAATATTATTTTCATATCTCATCTAGATAGGACAGTTATCGATTCACATCGCTCATCTATCAACCATCATCTGGGTCAGCAGCCATTTGTTCATTTCACATATCTTAAATTGGACTTTTGCCGAAGCCAGTTAGCATGCAAAGTGGGGCCTCTGCTTATTATCTAGGTCAGGGCCAGTTTTTTCCATTACGCACCTGATCCAAAGCATCACAGGACAACTTGATATTTGCAGTTTTAAGGGCCTCTGACCTCCTCACTAGTTCACCTTTACAAGACATTTGTTAAATGTCATTATATGTTTGTAGCTGCCACAAACTCAAATTTGACTCTAAATGTAATGTGTGCCTTCAGTATCATCCAAGGACCTGGTAAAAAAACGCTGCTCGAGAAGTTCTTTTTCTTTCCGTCTTTCTTTATATTTTTGCCACTTTAGGGCAGAGAAGCAAACTTTAAACAATTCACACAAATCTGATTATACTAAATATGATTAAAAACATTTCTGCACATGTTGTGGTTATGTAGCAGTAAAACTATCTGTATGGCTCACCTCTCAAAATGATCTAAAAATGCTGCTAACAAAGCTTAAACCATTGAGTGATAGCTACAATAGCAAGTTTAAGAAAGAGAACGAAACTCACACCCATATCTAGCTCCTTTTTATCACGACGATAGAAACAAACAGTCTCATGCAAACAAAAATGTCTGTGCAGATCTTACTCAAACAAAAAGATGTGCTCCTATATACTTTTTTGAGATGTATATCAGCAAAATGAGCATGTTTGACACAACTTGCAAAGCTCACAGAAAGATTAGTTATCAGCTAAATGAAGAATTGGAAAACTTGGAGTCCATCTCTGTCATGTGAGAGCTGTGAAAGTCGCCTGATGTTAAGAAAACAACGTATCTGATCTCTTATTGTGCGGAGTAAAAATACATGGGATTGTTTGAGACTTCTCAAGTGTTCGGTCTCACTGACCTTCACATTCACAGCCTCCGCCCTTGGCTCGATTGGCCACTGCAGCGGTGTATGAGCGAGCGTCCAGAATCAGCAGCTTGTGTGGCACAGTGTTGTCATCGCAGCCGGAGCCGCCTGTCAGAGAGGAGTCTGGAGATACAGGGGAGAGAGGACAGAGAGATGATTTGTAGCTTTGTGAGCGGGCGGCGTTATTGAAAATAAAACTTCTGTGAGAGGAGGAGAGATGAGTGCGACTCGGAGAGGGAGAGGGAGCGGGGACATTAAAAACTGGACACTGACTCAATTTGTAAAATCAATATCTTCACCTACTGAAGAAAACAACTGTGTTGCTATTGGTAACGATTACAAGTCCGGAAACCTATTTTCAACAACTACCACAGAGACGAGACAGGTAATTACTCTGAGGCTGTGACTGAACCACTTCTCCGTGCTCTCTGTTGGGGTTTTGCTGCCACTTACTTTCAGGCAGATGCCCTGCACGCAGTGATCATCTAAAATACCTGTCAGGGATCGTTTCACTCTCTACATGTATTTATTTGACATGTTGGTATCCTCTTTGAGAAACAAAACTTAAGTGATGAATAGGAAAAAAGCAGAAAAACAAACAAACAAAACAAGTTTAAAAAGAAACAAGGAGCCGCTTAAGGTTGTGGTTGTTTCACACAATTACAGATTTTGTTACTGGATGAACTCTTTCTTAATTTAAAAACACATGAAAAGGCGCATTCATGAGGTTTATGCGGCTGAGCTTGTTTTGAATAATTGACAATGCGGAGCTGAAGATGGTCTGTTGCTCTGCACTCATGTTTTGCATCATTATCTGTCTGTGGTCCACTTTAAAATAAGGAAATTAATGAGACATGTAAATTATGCAAATGATTGCTTCTCCTCTGAGTCATAAAGACCGGTCTGAGTTTGAACATATTTTTAGAGCTGCGGTGCTCCAAAAGCCCGAGCATGAATCTGCATCCATAAAGAAAACCACAGATTTACCGAAATCACTGTCAGAGGAATCTGGAGCTTCCCCACGTTGTCGGCAGGCAGGTGCTCCACAGGTGACCTTGACCCCGGTGTCCATTTGACAGGCCTTGGCGATGGATGTCACCAGATACTCATCATCTGTGTTCCTCCAGCCCCACCAGCTGATCTCAGGCTGGCTGCAACGAGCAATCACTGCCCCATTTTTCTGGTGCCTGGAAGTCAAGGTCATAGAGTTGTAATCATTAGTGCAGATTGAAACATTAAAACTGATTATAACCCAGCTTTTGAAGTAATTACCTGGCTGTGTTGAATGATCAATCAAAACTCAATAACAAAGGTAATTAATTCTGAAGAGAAAGAATTATGCCAGGACCAACCCAGTCACGTCATTTCAAATAAATCTGCATCAAAGAGTCTGGCACAGAAGGAGGCGAGAGAAAACAAGACAAGAGGCGACCACTAATAGTGAGTCATGGAGGAACTCACATGGAACAAAGATGTAAAAAAAGGGTCTGTTTCTCCTTAGCAGGTCCACTGACTCCTACACACTCACACCATTTTCAGGCATTGAAAATCCCTTTTGTCATTGATGGTCCTGTTTGTTTTTGTTTATCATGAAATAACATCAGTAAGGATTTCAGTCTGTCTTATATGTAAATGTTAAAAAACTCCTCAGAGGAGCTTGAAGTTGGCGGCCAGGTAAGTGAAATAATGTACAGTTATCAGGTGGCTATAGAAGCCATCAGTGGTGACACACTGTGCATAACCACCTTGAGGTATGCATTATCCCATATAACCTTAACTACAGATCTGGTACAACATGACCTTCAGTTATCTGTACACAGAAACAGCTGGTGGAAAAATCCTTACTCTGAGTAAATTCAAGACCTTGCAGTTTCCCACTTTCACTCGTTTACACCTGTATCTGTACTTCTACCTTGAGTGCATAAATGTGTGCGCTTTCCCGCTTCTTTACTTGTGACTGTGTGTCAGCGAACGAACCTGTAGACCACCACAGGGATCCTCTTCCAGGATCTGAAGGACGCAACGCTCTCCAGCTCCTTGTCTGTGATCCAGATTGGCACCAGAAGCTTCTGCGGGTAGCTGGAGCACAGCCTGCAGACGACAATAAAAAGATGCATTGTTTTTTTTAACAAGAGGAATGAAGGTAGTTTAGATTGCAGCAAATATTATGCAGCGAATGTACAGAGTAGTATGGTTGATTTAAGCCAACTGTGCAAGCTGTAAGAGTCTTTCATTAAGGAAACGCAAACAAATCGAGATTAAACACAGCTTTGATACACAATACACAACTGATCTGGTTTTCAGGGTCACAACTGCATCAACAGCTCAGCTTTGGCAGAAAATAAATCACAGAGTGCTTTAGCCTAACTCCATCTGTCTCTGGTCTCCTCCTTCTCCTCCTCTCTCATGATGCTCTCTTCAAATTCTATACACCTGCTGGCAGACTAAAGAGGGAGGGAGACTCTGTGTGCGTGTGTATGTGTTAAAAGGGGAGGGAGAAAGTGAAAATCTGTGCTGAGTCATGGTCCTCAGCAGGCTGCAGCTCGTTTAATTAGCCGGTTGTCCTGTGTGCCCGTCTCCCTCAGCAGGATGTGCTCTCCTGGGTCCTCTGAGCAGACTGACCTTTTTTTTATCTGTGGTGTTCATGTGCAGAGACAGAGGAGGAGACACGACTCTGATACACAGGTAAACAAAAACACGCTGTAAAGTGCATTACTTCTGCCTGACTGGCTCACTCAGTGGCAGTTTTGTAGGTGTGTGAAGGACTGAACATTAGTGAGGCTGCTGCTGGCTTCAGAGGTCATACGAGACAGGAGGGACGGAAATTCGTATCGATTCGTGTTGTAGGAGTCCTTAAAAGGAGGAGGCTGTTTATACCCGCTATCAACATCCCTGCTGTGTGATTGGATCACAGGCGGTCAGCCCTACCCACAGGTATAAAAGCACCTCAGTGATTCCTGAGGACAGACTCAGATCCACTCACAAAGGTCACATACTGCAGTGGTTCTGAGACGTATTTGTCCACACTTGTTTGGCAGTGTGTGTGTCCTGAACCACATATTGAACCACCTATCAATAAAAGTGATCAAGTAGAGTAACAGACCACCCACTTTCATACATGATCTGTTGTTTCATAACTGTCATACTTTAGACATCCCTCTCATGTCATTCCAATAAGTGAACAGTTAAAACATATTACAGCTGTGACTGATCCATTTGTTTACACTGAAATCAATCACAGATTTTTAATAGTTTAACATGATTAATTTAAAATCAACTTTTAAAAAGTCATAATCTTAACCCATGTAAATAATAAAAAGCTATTTTCATCAGTGTCTTCACTTGGGAAACAAATCAGTGCAATGAAATGTCCTTTACGATTTTGGCTTTAGGATTTATTATTCAAATAAAAGATGCTACTTCTGTGAAGCACAGGATTGATTTGATCTTTTAAAGGATAACATTGATACCCATTTTGAAATATGCAGGAGTGCAGGCTGCAGTATATGTGTACTCAGTGTAAATAAAGTGAGCAAATATTTCAAGATAATTTTGATAACTCACTGACATCCAAAGATCTGTGGTTGATGTGATAGCATTTGCACCTGTCAGGGATTCCAGTTAAGTCATTTGTCTGATTTCATTCAGGTCCTGTGGGTGTATCTGTTGTGTACTGCAATTGTTCAGTAGTGGACTGATAACATAGAGGTCTGGTGGCTTTTGGGATGTGGTTGCCTGCTGTTAGTCGCCTGATTAGCTACACCTGTATGCGTAACTTGCAGGTAGTCGCAGGAACTCAAAGTGCTTTAGTGATATGATACGTCTGTCTGGGAACTTTTTATGCAGGAATGTGCCGTTTAAAAAGCAGTGGCGTCACTGTTTTAAGGTGGCAGTCAGAGCAGCAGGGCAAATATGGTGAGCTGAAAGAGTCCAAAACAGATTAACACTCAAACACTTTTACTTCTTTGATACTCTGGCTGGCCCTCGCTAAGGCAGACGGCACTGTGAAAAATCTTTGTGAGAGATGGCGAGAAGCCGGGACTAAGTAGGTATGATATTATGTGAAGATGCTGAGCTGCTGCTTTCAAGGCAAGCAAGGTTTTTGCTTTTGGTTTGTGCCGGAAAAATTCAGTTTAGGAAACATCTAGTTCAGATAAATACAGCTTCTGTGTGCAATGTGTTCACCTCTATCAATGGACCCTTTCTGCTAAAGGTCACTCAAAAACCTCATAATTCTTTAGCGAGTCTTGAAGTTATAAGAAGATTTCCTATTCCCTGGTTGTGAACTTGAGTTGATGATGGACATTTGGGATACTCACATGGGAAAGTTTTGGTCACACTGTAAGTAAAAATGTATGACATAAAAATGATTTATTCTAGTTTTATTCCTCCACAAAGTCACTCTGATTCAGTGCTGACTGAACTTTCATTTCTTGATAAAGTTCTGACACTCAGAGCGTTGAAGTGCCGACACACACAAGTTGTCGTTCCCACAGTCTGCTCAGCGTTGCAGCATTGTTGTATCAGTGCTTGTGCTACAGCCCTGCTCTCTGTCACAGCTCTCTGAAATCTCTGCTAGCCCTTGTCTGTCCCTGAGTGACTATCACGGCTCTTTAAAGTTACAGTACTTTGCAGATATCTGCTGCTACAGAGGTGTCAGGCTATTCGTGGTCAAGTATTTGTGACGTACTTGTAGTTGCAGTTTATATCCGACACTCTCCAAACGTTCTGTGTGTCGAAGCCCATCCTCTTCACTTCCATCTCCATCCTCTGACGCACATGATCACCTACACACACACACAGCAGGGGGCGGGGAATTACTCATGGAACTTTTTAACAAACTTGTGTGCAAAGTAAGATCCAAATTATTATGATCTTGTTGATGTTTGTACCTGGGCGACAGAGATGAACGTGCTGATCTTCATCATCAGCGCTGCCTCCTAGACACCAAGCGTGATAGGCCAGAGCGAACAGGTCTTCCAGCCGCGATGGGTGAGCTATGGCCCTGTTCAGGCGCTTCACCCACTCCTGGCACTGCTTGAAAGTTGCAAAGTGGCATCTGTGGAGAACATAAAGTGATTTAAAAAAAAAAAGCCAGATAAATGAGATTTTCCAGACTTTAACAGAACTGATAATGTGTCTGCTTAATGGAGAGGAACCAGGGCTGCTGTCACGTCTGCTGCTGAGAACCTGAGGGTTTCACTGGTGTTGAACTTTACAGATGCCCATGAGCAGATGAGGATTAAAGTTTTCAGTCTCAGAGTTTACAAGTCAGCCTTGTTCATTTTTATCGAAACTGTTGTGTAAGAGTGAGCACGTGAGGTAGTAGTTATATATGTGCCATCTGTCTGATCTTGGCAAATGATAATAGGCTGAGAAAAAATGAAATGAAATCATCAAAAACGCTCTGCTTCAATTCAGCAATCGCTACACAGCTTCCTCTCTTACTCACTGTAAAATGAATAACAACAGATGCATCTTTCATCCCGTATTCCCCGTACATATTCTCGTCTTTTTCAGTATATATTATAACAGATTAAAGCAGCAGCTGTATCTATAGGTTTATTAAAGAAGCATTTATTCAGGTTCTGGTTTTCAGCCCATATATTATGGATATTTTTCGACGTTCTTTTCTTTTTAACTCACTCAGAAAATAAAAATGGATAGCAGAGAACATCATGAACTTCTGTAGAAATAATTAATACTGAGGTTATAAATGATTTTTGGGTTGTTACACACCTTCCTTTCTTGAGTCCCCTATGACAAAATGACTAAGCATTTTGGCAAATAAAGTACATGAGGATTCTGAAAACTGTTCGCTTTGTCAGTAGCTGTTATGGTTAAATAATGAAATGAGAGAAGCCCTAAAATGAACCACCTAGTGACAGGTATCAGCCTGTCTGGCCCGTCTGAGTGATGAGTGGTTAGTAATCTAAAAAAGAACCGGTTCTGTGTCAATCTCAGTTACACACATGAGAGCTGCAAGTTTAATGCCATGTGCACAGTGGCACAAACACTAACACAAACAAGACACACACACACACGCGGGCTAACAAGCCAGCAGAGAGGATGTGAGGTGCACATCAGCAGGTAGGCAAAAAGCACAGACTCACTGAAGGATAAACAAAGAGTGATTTCCCGCACAGGATCAGAACCTGCAGAAGACTAGTTTTTATGAGACAGCTGTCACTCTGTGTTTTCCTCCAGGACTGAAAGAAAACAGTAAGTCAGAGTTTTATCTCATGATGTTGTCTCATCTCTTTGGCTATGGTGGGACACTTAAATGATTAAAAGCTGCAACATGTAAGCAGGAGGTGATTTAAAATTTTGACCTATCATGGGATGCATTTGAGTATGACAGATTAACAGATAGAAAACAAGGTAGGTAAGAGACTGTAAGCAACAGGCTTATAATCAAGTCACCAATTACTTATTCATCATTCAGTGCAGATTGTGAAGCAGTAAACTTCAGTTTCTCTCAGTGGCTTTCCAAAGTTCAACACATTCAGTGAGAACACCTTAATGCAGAGCCTTAACTGTGCCGCTTACTTTACATAAGCAGAGGCGACTGTGTTTGAGCGTGAGGACACGCAGCATGATCTCCATAACCACTATTGTCAGTGGGTAATTGAACACTGTGATTATTTTCATATGACAGAAATAGCACAAGAGTTGTAGCCTCTATTTTTAAATCTGAACACATTGATTAGCGGCTAAGTGTGCCAGTGTGAGATATAAATTGCGCCTTTAGCCAGACAGAGTTGTACTCCTGTGTTATTTATTCTAATGCCTGACAGACCACAGCACTGTGTTTACTCGGGTTAATAACAGCATCAATCTGCCGGCAGAGCTGATACGATGTCTTTAGTGTGTGAGGGAGCTGCTTATCTTACCTGACAACTTTGGAGTCTTTGCAGATGATGTGCAGCTGGAACATATCTCTGCTCTCCACGCTCTCAATTAGCCTGAGAGGCACCTGTGGGGGGAGACAGAGAGCGAGTGGGATCAGCCTGATGGCACACTGACAGAGCACACAGCACATGTAAATAGAGGTTACCACCTTCTGCTCTAGTTCAGAATAAAACCAGGTTGGATACACATAGTAAAGCTTTAAACTCATGGTGGATGAGAAGGGGCCTCTAAAGTGATTTGACTTGGTCCCTTCACCATCTGTCGTGTGACCAAACTAAAGCAGGATTGTTCATTGTTGTTTCTAAGCTACGAAACTATCCAGTAGACTCAGGTGTTAACAAAGGTGAGGCTGTGATTTAGATGTCTTCTTTTTTATTCTCTTTTATCTTTAACTATTCGACAGATGGACAGTGACAAGACCTCTGAAATGACAAATGAGTACATACAGGAAATAAATGATCATAGATAGCAAGACTTCAATGGATGAAGAGGAACAGGAGAATAGTACTAGAGCTGCAATTTGTGTGTTTAGATTCATAGTCTGAGTTTAGTCTTTCATAACAATTAAGCCAATGCAGAAACATGGATGTTGAGCTAACTTGTTAAATGTTTTCTTCAAGTGTTGACATGTACTGATATCGCAGTATCTTGAATGAGAGAATATGCCAGTTCATGTTCCGATCTGAAAACTTCGAACCACTCAACCATCTGACAAAATTCAATGCCTGTTGAAGCCACGGCGCTCCCAGGACGGCTAGAAGTTATTCACACAAACTTCAGGCTGAGACATCCTTTTCCATGCATTGTCTTTTTTACAGTCTGATCGTTAGCTTCACTTTAAAGAGATCAATTCGAGCCAGTCATATTGCTCTGCAAATGGGCTATTTTTCCTACAGATTGGGTTCGCTGAAACGGTACTGGAGCTACAAAAAAACAATGAAGGAGGACACTGTAAACGCTTGGGAGAAACAAGGAGAGGTGCCAGCCCCTTCTAGAGCAAGACAGAAGGAAGGAAGGAAGGATGGAAGGAGGGAAGGAAGGAAGGAACAGACAAGGAAGGAAGGAAGGAAAAGAAAGAGGGAAGGAAGTTAGAGAGGGCAAAGGGAAGAAGAGAGGAAGGAGGGGATTCTGTTAGCAATTTGTCTGTCTTGAGCCTCTTCGCTCATACAATATAATACATGATTAATATAGATTAAAAATATTAAATCAATATTGAATCGTGATTAATCAAGATTAATCCACAGCAACCCTGTGATTAATCCAATTACAATTTTTAATCATTTGACAGCACTAATCACACTGCATTGTGTCGAGTCGTATCGTTATTCGACGGTATGGCCTCTTCAGGCACCTCCTACCCACAGTTTAAGTTGAGGAATCATCAGAAAATATAATTCAAAACCAGGGAGACCCTTATTTAGCACCCCTTAATTTAAGTTTCTTAGAAGTAAATATTTCTGTTCATTAATTCTCAAGGTCAGCCAACACACTGCACTACAGCTATCTGCAAGGTGTTCTCACAGAAGAACCCATTAAATCTGGTGCTTCCACTAAGATGGGTATAAATGACAATCTGTCCACAGTGCACTGTAATTGTTTTAAGTGGAGAGCAGCTGAATGACTTAAGCTGTCTAGACTGTGGCAGAGGGTGGTGTTTTATCATATGGTACTCACAGATATCTCATTGTCCACACCTGGGAAGGTCTAAAACACAGTGACACCATGGAGCACACAGACACAGACAGAGAAGGAGGAAGGGAAGAGACAAGACAAGAGGAAATGGAAAAACTATTAAACCAAAAGAATTCAGGAGGAAAAAAAGGAAATGAAGAGTTAACAGGAAAGAAAACATCAAAGGAGGTTGAAAGATGAAACGATAACTGAGTGGATCATGAGGTGTGCCACTTGCAGCACATGACCGGGGCGAATGGAAATCATGGAGAGAAAGACAAACATGGTCGGGAGCAAAGGGCAAGAAAACAGCTCAGAAGCAGGGGGCAGGAGTGGTGGAGGGGGGTGGGTGAAAGGTTGGGGCTTGTTGGCGTTCATTCAGAGTTCATCTGCGGTGCTGGGGTCAAGGCAGGACTCCGGCAGGAAACCAACCCAATATTGGCTCCTAACTGCTGACATCTGAACTCGAAGCTTTAATTTAACTCTCCTTTGCAAACTAAGTTGAGGTGAAGAGTATCCTTGTGATCTGCTCTCCCCTCCTCCTCCTCCTCCTCCTTTTTCAACCCCCTGTCATGTTTTCCAGAAGCCGAATCCTTCTGGAAAACATGACAGGGATTTTGGAAGGAGGAGGAATTTTGCTGCCAGTGAATGCAAACAATTGGCCTGTTTGTCTTAGAGCAAGGCCTGACGTCAGCAGAAGTGAGGTGGTGGACTTCAGCGCCAGTAGGGGTCGGACCTTTGGACGCCTAGATGTCACATTAAACCGCCCCGCATGATGATCTGAAGACCTGCCGCTCCTGTGGCACAACAACCATACGCCAACTGCACTGGGTTATGATGAAATTCTCTTTAATAGCACGCCATGTACAACTTTTGGAGTCTTTTTGCCGTCTTAGTACAGTTATGTGTTTGTAAAAATTTATATGAGGGAAAGGGAAAAGCCTGTGTGTCCGTCCAAGCTACATATTACAGCCTCCACTCTCCTGCTATTGGCTCCAATAATGACATGGCAGAAGCAGGAAACACACTCTAGCCATTTGGACTGCACTGAAACTCTCCATTTGTGGTTCTGCTGTGTGTTTACTGTCTGTGACTTGTACTCACATTGATGACAGAGTCCTTGAATTTGATGTGGAGCCGGTAGTTAGAAATGGCGATGATGGCTTCATCGGCATGACCAAGATATTCCACCCCTTCCCCCTGAAGAACTGGGAATGGCACCTGCAGAGACACAAAACAACCAGACCGTTGAAGTCGAAGCAGCAAGAACACGACAGAACCACCTGTTTATAGTTAGGCTGTATTATGTCTGCTGAGACTATCAGAACATGCATATTTAAACAGTCAACATAAAGCCATACCAGCTGCTCTGTGAGGAGTTACTTAGCTTAAGTGCTGCTTTGAGCCGAATGCCACCATAAAATCCTTTCATATTAATACTTAGCAACATAATTATTAAACACATGCACGCTCTCAGCTTAGCATGTAAATATGCTCACATTTGCTTTACTGATCCCCAGAACTTTATTTGAGAGCTGTACTGATCCCCAAAGGGAAAAACAATGCTCCAAGTGGTTTAAAAATAGGGTCGTTAGGTACTTTGTCCACCAGAGGGCACTCCAACTGCATATGGACTGTACCCTCAACACTGTCTGCTGCACATGAAGCAGAGCATCTGAGAGAGTCGCCCTCTTCAGAACTAGCTGACAATCACAATATAATAAGTATACAAGGCAAGTTTTTCATAAACCTTTTGGGCAGCTCTGAATCCACAAGATAGATCAGCAGATAGAGAAGAAAACTAAAGAGAGAGAGAGAGAGAGAGAGAGAGAGAGAGAGAGAGAGAGAGAGAGAGTGGAGATGATATACATGAAAAGACCCAGTGTTCAAGTAAAATCTGGACTATCTCTGATTTGACGACAGTAGCCTGTGTCGTTGGAGACTATTTACTGCTAAGCTAAATGGTCATCCAAACATTAAGTTTAATCATGTAGTTAAGGCCTAGACAGCTGATCAGTGCTGCAGGTGGAGGAACATATATGTACATTTGTACATACTATGTGTTAGGGGTAGGAATCACGAGTGGCTCCACGATACGATATTATCACGATACTTGGGCCACGATATGATATTGTTGCGATTTTTTAACACTGTGCAATACAGTGGGTATTGCGATACAATATATTGCTATGTAGATAATTTTTTCAACTGTTTCGCTAATTTACCATTTGGCTTTCCTTTATGTTTGTCTTATTTACACAGTTTTTTTATTTTCATGTTTTATTTTACATCTTGCAAACCTTATATATATATGTTGTACTAACTTTCTCCTGCTCTACGATGTCACCTCTGATTGGACAAACAGTTTATTTTATTTTTCCATTGTCAGAGATTTGACCTCAGATTAGCAATCAATTTGAAAAAAATCCATACTTGATAAATGAGACGGTACGATATTTCACCAGACAAAATATTGTAATACTATGCTGTATCGATTTTTTCTCCCACCCCTGCTATGTGTATGTACAAAAGTGCTATGACAAGTGATAGCAAAGTTTTCCAACTCCTATGAACCACTTCCTTGGAGAAGGGACACATCCTGGTGTCAGGTTGTGCGATCCTATTAGCAGTGTCTAAGTTTATATCAGTGGAAAAGCAGCCAAACTGAAGCATGTCAGGCAGAGTCTGAAAAGTGCTGAAATGATGGTTTCACAGACACCAGTACTGAATAAAAGAGGAGTTTTTAGGGCAGCAAATCATTAAAACCTGCTCAGTAAGTATCCCAGACTGACACAATTACAGGTTAAAATGAGAAACATAGATCTACTTTAAGTACTGCAGTTAGAGTTACATGGCAGGTATGACAAAGAGGAGTACATGTGGGAAACAGTGTGCATGTGTAGCTGTCCAATTAGCACATAGTAGCTTTACAGAAGGACCTTTGTGAGCACAGAGGGCTTGTTGGTGAGCCTGAATGAGCAGGCAGACAAGAGACAGTCTGCACCAGAGCTGGGACTGTACCATGAGGGATCGCAAACTGTCCATTAACATTCTTACTCGTACTCATTTTATCTAACACACCGCCAAGTCCAGACTTTGGCTGCAGCCAGACCCTTACATTAAGATAATTGGTTCCCAGCGGAGGTTAATAGAAAACATTTCTCATGCAGGGCATTAGCCAGCTACAGTAGCCAACTTCTGAACAATGTCTCATTTGGTATAAACGTGGAGGCATCCAGCAGATTTCAGAGGGGTCACTTTCACCCTGACCGCTCTGGTAATTGTTGTTGTTCCGTTGTTTGCTTTAAAAAATCATGAACCCAGTGAGTAAACAGAGCTTTTTGTGACTGCAGGAAGATTTCAGCTGTGACATTATGTACCACAGACATTAAACCACTTTCAATTACCTTGTTTAAAACAAAACATATTAAGTCTGGGAGAAATATCACAGCTTGGACAGCGCTCTCTTTCTCTCTCCTTACAAACTCCGGATTGTATTACACCACTTCACTCCTCTTTTACACGACCTCCTCACACTTGAGTTTCTCTTAGTCATCAGCGCTGTGTGAGTGCCTGGGGACCAGAAACTGCAACTCAGGCCTCGTTGTTTAGTTGCTGGTAGCGCGGACAACAGTGTTGCTTAGAAACGACATTACCTCATTCTGCTTTAGCATGCATTGCTGAGTCACGCAGAGGGAGACCCAGTGGTGCATGTTAATAGAGGACATGCAGTGGGGCAGATGGGGGGATTATGGGAAGATGTCAGAAAACCAGGCTTACTTGACACATCATTAGCCAGCATGGTCAAAAAGCACAAGCTTTAGTTACTGTACGCAGAGCATATGAGCTAGCATCTGTTAGCATCTGCTCACTCTGCTCAAGCTGGGAAGAAACTTGACATACAACGAATCAGAACTAGACGAAAACCAGAGTGTTTGTTTTAAAAAATTATGAAACCCTTAACAATCATCACTCCACCTGCTGATGCTTATTGCTAACTGATAATGTGTGCGTGATCCAAGACAGGAAGCAGGATAAAGGAGTACAGCTTAACCTGGGAAATGGAGCACGTAGTACTCCACACTCAAACACCAACAGAGCCAAATATAGGCTGCAGGCCCCCCTGGCACCCCGCACAAGAACTTCTGAAGAATTCAACATCTGAAATCTGACAGGGAGATGTCGCATGTGTCTGGAAATGCTTTAACTCTGCAACTCAATCACATTTAACGTGACAGACGCACAAAACAGAGCAAAACATAGAAGCTGAAGTTGTTGACAGTGACAGGAAATATGCAGATACATGTCTGAGGCATAAAAAAAAAGATGAGAAGGAGGGGAGACCTAAATTAGAGCGTTTTTGCATCCCGATGAGTCAGGGGATGAAGCCAATTTGCATTAAATATGGCCTCAACAGCAGCAGAAAAGAGCTAAAATGAGAGTGTGCAGCTCCAGAGTCTCTGTGCTGCTCTGCTGTTTGAGAGAGAGACCAACACGTCCTGCCGAGAGTGCCATAGTTAACATGCTGTACAGACTTGGAGCTGCATTCGACAAGCTGTGCTCCAAAAGTAGGTGCGTGAGTCACCGGCAGCCAGTGAGTGCAGCAGAAGATACTGTGTCACGTTTCCTCTGCCAAGCCTTCAGCAGCAGAATTAAAAAAAAAAAAAAAAACAGAAAGAGAGGGGAAAGAGGGGGGGCAGAGAGACCCATGAATAACACTTGCTGACTTCAGAGTCGTGACTTCCGGTTTGAGCAGCCTGACTGTGAGGACGAGGACGAGCACGTGTGCATAAGCACAACTGCAAGCATGCACCGCTGGCCTGCACGCACACACAGCAGCAGAGGCAGAGGGGTATTAAACACAGTGGGGAAGGAGAATGCCTGTAATTTGCCTGCGGGTAAGCTGCAGTTAGAGACATCATCTGTCAGTGAAACTCTTACATGAGGGCCTGTACAGAGAAAAACACAAAAGAAATAACACAATGTGTGAAGGGGGAGGGGAGGCATAAGTATAGACGAGCAGAAACAGAGAAAACATTGCAAGGTGAGGAAAATAAACAAGCACCATGTTACACATATAGGAAGTCTCCGATCATAAAGAAATCCACTTGTGAACTTCTGACACTCAGAGACCCGCGGCCATGGACAGCACTTAAATGCTACTGCGACTAATAAAAGAAATCCTTTGAACAATTTTTACTCCCTCCAGTTCATTTCAGCCCAAGTGGAAACCGGCTTCAATTGAAAACCATAAAAACAGAGACAACAGTCACCCCAGGCTCCACCTTCCCTTTGTCCAGCTCTCCAGACACATGATGCTCAGCTCCATTACCCACCAGACAGCCAGAGAGCATAAACTCAACAACACAGAGGGCACTGTGCAAGTTTCCCATCACTATTCTGCTACTGGCATTTTCATTATGGAAAATACTTAGAAATCCGGCTCACTTTAGTGACCCTGATGCTTTAATCTGCACTGCTCTTTATCCTCTGGAGAGGAATCTGCTTTACTGTGACACAGTGCAGCATACAAACCTCTGGCACAGCTACATGTAAATGTCTCGATTATTATCAATCAAGCTACCTACCTTTTTTGTCTTATCAAAATTTTAAAATGAAGTGTTTGCAGAGGAGGCAGAACATGAAGATAATAATATTTTTGTTTGTAACAGAGCCAGTGAATCGTTTTTAAACTGAATATTATGCCAAAAACAGTCCTGTGTTTATAGTAGCGTTTTTACAAGACCAGGATTTTGAAGTTTTGATTTGATCATAGTAATATCAAACAACATCTCTCCTATAACATGGCAACAGGAAATAGACTCCTAGGGACACAAAATTATTGATTTAGACATTTTTGATTTTCAAACTACACACAGTGTTGATATAGAAAAAGTCACTGTTCACAGGCCAACATTTGACATGTTGTTGGTGGCAGTAAGACACATTATTTATGATTTTCCTGAAAATATTGTACAGTTCAAATAGGGCTGGGCGATAAACCGAAAATTTACCAATACCGAAATTTACGTCCATAACGTCCATAAGAGGGAAAGACAGGTGAGGAGACGGAGGACGGTTCAAAAGTTGTAGCGGCTGGAGCGGCGGCTGAAGCTAATGTGGGAGGGGGGTGAGCAGCTTGTGGAGTAGTTACCGTCCATTTATCGTTGTCAAGGTGAATATATATATGTATCTCAATGTATCCTGATAATGATTTGAGGCCATATCGCCCAGCCCGAAGTGCAAACATTTTTTTATATTGAATAATCACCCATAAGCCAGAGGAAGGTGCATATCTCTAAAGGTTTGTTCTTTCTGTCTCTAATTTTCAAACACATTTTACTGGAAACGATCATTGGTCCGATCGTGCAGTTTTCTCAAGCCCACTGTCACCAGTCTTCATCTTTATTGAATGTTCAAAAAAAGGACATACATTTTTAGAGCATAACTGCTGTGAAACCACAAGTATAACTAAATATATTCATCTTGTTTTACCCTCATGCTGTTTTGTTTTCTTTACTGGTGCACTCTCTCATTATTTTTATGTTACCAACCACCATTGCTTGCTCTCTCCCCTTTCGCTTGGCTTGAAAAAATAACTTTTTTACATGAACTTCAGTGCTTCTCGATACTATCTAGTGCAACATAACAGAGATGGTTTTGTGTCAAAGCATGTGGTGTTGACAAGTATCAAAGATTTGGACAACCTCAGCTGACAGAGCTGTTAAAGTCTCCTCCAGCTCTCTGAAGGAAGGACACATGAGTGTGTTATGTACAGTACACTACAAATTTTCCTTCATAGAGAGAAAAGTATGAGTGACACCAAACTTAAGCGATAACTGGATTGATTTTTCATAAAGGATTAACACAATTCAAAGGATGCCATGGTGATCTAGAAATCTGTTTGAGGTCCATAAGTAGCAGGTTGTCATTTTTCTGAGTGTGTCAGCCACACATGTCAGAAACACTACTACAGAAATGTGTGACTCACACCTTCTTCCAGCTCCTCTATCCTGCATACAAAAAAAAGCTTTGTCAACATTTCCTTCTTCACTTCCTGCGTCAAAAACATTCCTTCCTCTCTCATCGAGGGCTTGCAGCGATAAGCTGTATGCTCCACGGCAATGTAGTTGAGCAATTTGTGAATCTGCTCTCTGAATGAAAAGACAGGCAAGGTTGGTTTTTTTGAGTAAGATGTTGAATCAGTACAGGGCGTGAGTGGCATCGACCTTAAAAATGCAGGTTGTTTTTCTTATTCCAACAGTTTCCAATTCATAAAGACAGCCATGACTTTGCTCCACACCCACTTGTAGCCTGTACCACTAGAGGAACCAATACCAATCAAGACACCAGGAGTCTGTAGGAGGAGATTTGGTCATGCTGTTATGGACAAGTGCCTTTGGTCAGTCAGAAGTCTGAGACAGTTTAATATTATCCTTCATCACACAACTAAACTGTGCACAACATTTTAAAAAGTTAGTGCAAACAAAGAAATTGTTTGAATTGGTCACTGAAGGATCAATATGTGCTCAGTGGTTTTTTCTGCCACTTAAACCACTAAGCTTCCTGTACCTTAAAGTATTTTTTCCTGTGAAGTGTTTTAACCATCCTTTTCAACACCACTGCTCAAGACATTTTCCTGTGCTGAACACCCACAACTGATTAGAGGTTAAGTAAAAAAATAAAATCTGTTCTATGTAGGTGTCATTAACTCTACCTTTGTTTCAGGCCTCAGGCCCGCAGAGTTGTGACTCCTGTAATAATATCTTAGAAATCAAAAGCTACACATGGTGTTTACTGAGGAATGCTCACTCCACAGCAGTCAGGACAGAGGGAAGGTCAGTGCCACACTCAGTGTTTTCGTTAGCTCCTGTTTCTCCTCTACAGACATGCGGCTCAGTGTCAGAGCAGATGGGTCTGTGCTCTGGAGCAGCAGACGTCCAGGGTTCATGAAAGCTGTCAGACTCACCTGAAGGCTGTCATCCTCCTTCACCAGCTCCTTCTGGGGGAACAGGTCCTTGGCCTTGATATACTCCAGACTGGGAGGCCCTTCTTCACCCTGTGAGACACAAACACAACGCAGAGGTGGTCAGAAAAATTAAGACTTTGTCTAGATTTTGGTTGACACTGTGGGGCGGACAGCACACAAAGATATGAATTAAAAACAGGGACTGTATTTAAGTTTCAAATGCAGGTTCTGGGTCTGAAAAGTGGATAATGCTGGAGCTTTGTGTATGCATTATTTACAGTGGCCAGTAGGGGGCAACTGTACTGGCAATACATAGAAATCTTTCATAAAATTACCCTTTTTCTCAATTAAATTTTTCAGCAAAGGTTTTCCCAGTGACTTAATGGTTTCAGTTATTAACACAGCATGACGCTGTTATTGAATATCAAGTTTCCATTTCGAGCAAAGTAGAGGAAAGAGAAAATGTTCGGGACAGGAGCCTGTGATTGATATGTTGCAAATACAGTTGCAACCAGGACAGAGGCCTGGCAATTGTCTTCACCAAAAATCAGCAAAAATGCCAGATGCCCACGACTAAAACTCCAAAAGCTTCTCCACAGACCGACAGATGTTTTTTGATCAAATTTAAAAGAAGCAATGTCTGACAACACAGAGAGAACATCAGGAAGGCCACTGCAAAAGCAATCGTCCTTCGTCCTCATAATCATGGCCCTAGTAAAATTTTGTCAGTGTTCTTGTACTGTGTATCTTATCAGCCTGGTTAAACCTGGATATGAGGCGCATGCCAGGTGGAATTTCACAATCTCCATCAGCTCTCTCTCAAATGTCACGTATGAGATTAAAAATTGACCATGAGAGATCCAAAAGTCCTCTGAATAGAGGGGCAAATGTCCTTGTCTTTAGACTGAGGCAGAATACTTTGAAATGTCTCCTCCAGTCTCCTCTGGCCTTTAACTGATTTATAAATAACAACATGAAAAGAAAAGTACACATTTTGCATATTCCCTTTTGCTTGCTCTGGCACTGAGCCGGTACTTGGTGGATATGAACATGATAAACAGCACTTGGCATCAGACACAGAAAAAACCCTGCAGACTTTGTGCCTGAGTGTTCCACTATCATGTGCAAACACAGATATGTAGTCGTGGTTCAGTATTTTACACACCTGACAAGTTTTTCATGAGTCATACTCCGACACTGTCTCCCTACAATCAAGACCTTGCTGGTGTCCCTTTCCTCACATGAACCAGTGTTTCTAAAACCTCTCTACGTTTTTTTTTAAGAGTGCTGAGAAATCTGACAGCCAAATGCAGACATATCAAGTTATGATGGATGTTTGGCTAAATTTAGGCTGCAATACCTCAAGAAGCAGAGGAAAGGAGAGCAGAAGAGGAACAGAGGCGCAGTCGACCTCGTCCTTGCAGCTTAGAGTGCCGGTGCCCCTCACAGACTGAGCAAACACTTTGGTTACATGCAGGACAAACTTCACCTTCATTACTAAAGTACTCTCTACCAATGTCAATCATTGAAGGCTAAACCCATGTGGCCTGCCCTCTCTTCATATCTGTTCAAGTATGAACATAAAGTGTATTAAAAAGTCTATAATAACTTAAATATATGTTTTATTATAAATTTATTTTGTCTTTTAAAACAACTAGAAACTCTGCCTTCTTCACTGACTGTAGTATTATTTATCAATCATCTGCTGTGACAAGTGCTGGCACGTCTCCTCCTCCACATCCAGCCTTGCTGTCATTTCAGCAACAAATGATTTATCTTATTGTTTAGCTATGAACCCACTTTGGTTTTGGTTTGGTTGCTGCAAGAACTCTGAGGAGTCAGAGAAGTAACACAATTCATGAGAGAGGATTTCTGTGAGAGAATATGGACAGTGTTAAAATATACAGGCAGACAAATACAAGACTAGCTGGAAAGTACTGAGAGTTGCTGAGGTAAATGAAATAAAAAAGAAGGAAAAAACAAAAGATTAAAAACAATGAAAACAAACAGAGGAGTTACAGGAATAAACATGTACAATGTGAATATGTTTGTCTTCAGTTATTTCTTTCAATAAAATCTACATGCTTAGAAAGAAACTGTTACAGAGGTTTCCATTTTGACTTTGTGTAGGGAACTGGTCTGAATGCTGGAAAACAAGGCTAAACATGGGATCACAGAGTCTGCAGCTAAACAATTACAAACTGGTTTGCTGAGTGTGGCTAACAATAGCAGAGCTTGCACCTCCAGCCTTTGGTAACCCTCCATATATCTGTGCTGGTTGCTCCAACATGCCAGTTTAACAAGAAACAACTTCATCTTCATTTTCTTGATCTAAATACCATCTAGATACCAACTGCAATCTGAGCTTGTTTACATCCGGGTAGTAGAGCATTGTAGTATTAAAGCACTGTAGCTTCCACAACATATGAGCTGCATTTCAGGGCTATAATAACCAAAAAAACATACATTCATTTAACCCACAAATAATCCCTGTGCTTATGGCTGAGAGGAACAGCGTTTAAATATTCAGTAGAATTTTTTTCAGCTCAATATTTTCACAATATACCCTTTTCTCTTTTTTAACAGCTTTCCTCTTTTCTTTAATGGCACTCCTTCCATTGAGCTGCAGTGTTGACTATTCAGCTGGACTTGGCCTCTACATCTGAGTACAACCGTATGTCACTGCTTTCCTTAATGAAAACAGACACGGAGTCCTGAAGGGCGAGCAGAGCGGGCAGAACACGGTCACCTGTTTATTCGTTTCACTTGGATAGATCCACTGACTCTGTTTGGTTCCTGGAAAATAAGAGACGTCTTTGTGGACATGCAATTAAAGAAAATGTCATATTATTGCAGTAAACTCCTTGATGTCTGACTGTGCAGACCTCCTGCCATGTTTACAATCATTACATCTGCCATCCAAAAGGTTCAAGCTGGTGATTATACCCCATGATAAGCATACCACCCATTGGGCTATCTGGTAACAGATGGAGATCCCACAGTGACAACCCCCTCCTCTACAAGCCACCAACTCGTCTCCATCTGATATCAAAGGCAGAGAGATCACAGAAATTGGACAGCCAAAGCATTTACGGTGTAAGCTTCTGTAACAAGAGAGGGTGGTTCAATGAAGATAAACCATTTAAGCACATCAGCCATGCAACAAGAAAAAGACAGATTTGTGACATCAAGTATGTACCTTTACATTTGAAGAAGCATGTTTACTTTGATATTTGCTGAGAGATGGCCTTTTAAAATATTACATAACAGATCTTCTCCTATTCAAATGAAGTGAAAAAGCCAAGAAAGAAAATATATTGAGCTCTCCAACTAACTAACAGGTAATATTAAAGTACATATACAGTGACGAAGCATTCAGTAGTTCCAGTCCTAAATCTGAGTCAAGCAGACACGAAGAGTAAAGGTGTCGAGGTCTAAGGCCTGAGTTTGTATTACGAGTATAGGAAGTGTGTGTTGGAGGTGAGATTAACGGGATGAGTCTTGACACAAAGCCAGTCTACATGCTACCTCAGCAACATAAATTGTACTAAATGTCAGTGCTGGTGGCAGACATGGAGGTGGGTGTCAAGGCTGTGTCACAGTGAGATGCTCCATCACTGAGTACTGTCTGCTATCACTGTGTGCTCTGCTCCAATGAGTGGCTTTTGTTCATGCTAACTCTCTGTTTGGATCTCACTTAAGACTCAATAAAGGTTGGAGTGAGGAGGAAGCTTCTTTTCTGGCTCTATACTTTGAAGTAGCATCAAAAGAAAGGTTAGAAAAGGAAACCCCACTGTTCCTTCTAAGCAGGATTTTTAGCAGATTATTCAAAGATTGTTGGTCTCATTAATATTGTTACTAGTTTTAATGACTTGCTTTTTATTTAATTTTTTTACTGACTAAAATTAAAATGTGCTCATAAATATAGTCATGGTCCTGTTTTCTCTCAAAGAAACAGAAAAATAGATTCAGATTTAAAATGAAATGTTAAAATAAATGAATGAAATGAAATGAAAAAGTATAGTAAATGATGAATCCAGGACATTTTTATGTGGATGTTGTTTAACTCATCCTATGTGCTATCAGGTTCATGTGATTACAAGGTTAAAGCTCCTGTGAGGAACTTTTAGGATGTGTTGATTTTGGCGCCCTTTGTGGACAAAACAGGGTGATTCAAATCTTTAACAATTTTGACCTGATCATGCTGAAGGAACATTTATGACAAAGATTTCATCCTTCTTTGTTTTAACTGTAATAAATCTGCTGTCCCTATAAATATACTAAAGTATACACTTTGGTTTTACAGTCAAATTAGACTGAAAACAGGACAACCCTGTTGTAATCTTGCAATTTTACTCAGCAATGATAAGGAAACAAAGACACTGAATCTGTTTTAGAATGAAAATGTGAGATTGAAATGGAAAAGAAATGTGATCACATTTTTAAGCACACCCAACAGACGTGAACACACAAGATAATGTTCTCCTACTTACTATCTTTGACAACATATATGTGTTATTATCTGTTTGACAGTCATCTAATGTTCCTGCTGCACTGATAACCGTTTTCTCCAGAGAGGCATCATAACGCTGCCTCTTTTTCTGGTCAACTTGTCCCACTCTTGTGCAACTTTGTTAATCGTGTCAGTCTGGCATGCCCTGGTAGTGAGTCATAACTGGCCTCTGCCATGAGGGGTTCACTCACCATCTGTTGTAACAAACATGAGTAAGATGAAGAAAAAGACATATCTTACATTCAGGTCAATACTGCACGTGTCTACTGGAGTATACAAAATATGAGTTTCTCTTGTTTAATTAGTAAATTTGAGTATTTCTGTTTATAAAAGATCCTGTTCACATGTAACAGCCAGCAGTGGTGGTGTTACAGCCACATTTCCAACCATAATTTTAGAGCAGGAGATATTGTTCATGTCATGTGAAGTTATCTGAGTCAGAACTACAAATCAAGGCTTTCATAAAGCTTTCATTTGTCCCCATGGCTTTAACAATAACTGCAGCTAACATCAAGAACAAAGCTGCTCATTGAAACACCAAATCTTCATTTAAAATGTTGGATTTGAAAATTGTTGTTTCTCTTCAAAACAAATGCATCCTAGTCCAGACAACACCAGGAGCCAAAATCTCAGACTAGCTAACATGTCTGAACTCCTCAAAATCCTGCAGCAATGCAGCCAGGCTAATCTCTTGACCTTTGACCTGAGTCAGCCTTCGGCATCAGACTGATGAGGCGGCTGTGCATCATCAATTTCACTTATTTTCAGCTGAGAATAAGTGAGCCATGACAGTGGTCATCCGTCAGAGAGATCCCAGAGAGGGGTCAGGTTATTACAGGTTGATGTCACACACTGTTGCTGGGCAGTCTGCAGAGCTGTCCAGGCACACACACACTTTGCTTATTTTAGGGAAATTAAGTTTATGAAGGTGTGCCAGACAGCCATCATAAATTACTGGAGAAGCAATGATTGTAGAGCAACCCCCAAGAAATCCGATGTTAATCAGCTGAGAGGAACGTTTAATCTTTACACACATACACACATCCTGAATCAATAATCCATCCACTTTGTTGGATCCTATATGTCTTGTGCTGCAAAATCTCACAGATTCTTGGCACCGTTTACTTAACTCTTTTATAGAGGAGTCCTGACATTGCACTCTTCTCACTGGCCTCTGGGAACACTGTGTACCTTAAAGGTATAAAACTGCTGAGTCAAAGTTGTGTAGCTGTTGAATTGCTTCGTTAATAACAGTCTAAAGGCTCATACTGAAGCTGCAAAAGTGCTTAACATACGGTATACACATCCAAATGATTGGATATTAAAATGAGAAAATAGTGGGTAATTATGTCAGTTTACACAAGACAGAAAATGTGAGAGCAGTTTTATAGCAAATATATCTGTGCATGGTGTTTAGAAACCTCCCCTGCACACAACCTTGATACTTCAGCTCTAAAAATCCCTCTGTATGGTGGACCACACTTGATCAAAACAGAGCTTTAAAGCCTGTTGTTACATCTGCAAACAAACATGGGCAGGGAGGCTCCTCTGTTTTCTGAAATTTGAGTTGTGCATATTGCATTGTGTCCGAAACCGAGCGGACAATCAGCTTACAGAAGATTAAAGAGGAAAGAGAAATGCTCTCACTCTCAAAGATGGAGCACAGCTTGTCCTGTGGCCGACACGTTTTTTGCTTCGTCACTGCTGCGAGCCTGCACTCCCTCCCCCACCTTTGTCCAACCAGAAAGCAGAAAGCCGGAGCTGTCAGGCATACACATACGCCTCCATGCATTTCTGGAGTATTAATGTCAGAATGGATAAAACATGTAATAACCTGATAATATGTACTAACATAATGGCTATAGTGAGAGGGATCAGCTGGGTGGACAGCCTTGTTAACAGCAGGTCATTAGTGTGTCTGCAGAGGTAAGAACATGCACTAAAACAATATTTGAAACTATCTGAGGAAGACAGGTGTGAAAAACTACCTGCCAGACATTTCAGCATCTGTGTGAGTGAGAAAAGGAACAAAAACAGACAGCGTGACATCTAGAAGGTAGAATAGGTAGAGAGATTAAAAAGGCTCTGGCACAGTCTTCATGAATAAGTGTCTGGTTGCCATAGATACAACAACCTCTTTTCCCAAGCAGGGTCGCTTTCTCTCCAAAGCTTTTTGGAAACAATTTTCTGTCTTTACTCATCAGATTATTTACTTAATCTGACCGCAGCTTTGTCCTAGAGATGGGCAGATTAGAGCATCCCTACATGATGCAGAGGTGACCTCAGGAAACGCAGGGAAACATGAGCTTGTATGTTTTTATGTGTGTAGGTATTTGCAGATTTGGACACAGTAAGTGAGGAGAACACAGCATGAAAGGGGGACCAAACAGGCTGCAGCAGAAAGTGGGGAAATGAGGGAAAGAATAGAAACAGATGATGACAGGACAGCACAGAATAGTTTCAGATATCAAGTGAAAAACAAGTCTGGCAAAGATATAAAATTGAGTTAGACAGGGCGGCCTGACTAACAGGTCAAGATCAAAGATGGCCGGGCATGACAAATCATCCAAATGCACTTTTTTTGTCTCCCTGTCCTCTCTTGCACTACTTTAATATTTCATGGATCGCCCTGTTCCTGATGATCATTCTCATTTTAGTCTCATAAGTGAGCTATAATCCAACTGCTGAGGAAACCAGGCAGGGCAAGATTTTGCAAAAGTTAAAATAATTTCTCAGAAAAATACAAAACAAAACAAAAACAAAAAAACAATTGGGAAATGATTCATGCACATGAACAGGCACGTTTCAGAAGCTGGCCTCTTTATACAGGAAAGGCGGTCAGTATGGTGACTTGGTTGTCAATACAGGCCCCTAAAACAATAACAACATGAGAGCAAGGATAATATTTTACTTCAGAGAGTCTTCAGCTTGATGTTTGTGCAGACAAGAAACCCCTATTAAAGATGGACTATGTAGCCATCATTAGGTCACTCAGTAGTCGCTGGACTGCTGTTCTGAAACTTTAAAATCAACAATGAGGTGGCCACCTTCTACTGCTGTATAATTTGTCGAAATGTCATTGTTGTTGTAAGAGAAAGTGCAATAAACACAAAGGCTACCCAGAGATTTGGAGTTTCTTTTAGATACAGGTTTAACATGTTGCAGCACACAATAATATAAATATCTAGAATGCTGGTATTTCCAAACTCATTTTAGCTGATATTTATGCCAATGTTTACCCTTTTAAGTTGTGTCTCCTGTTAAAAACCTTACCTGTTACTCTTATTGTGACAGTGTATTTGGGAAACAGACGTCAAACCAGCCAAACAACTTTTAATTCTACCATAAATGACAACTCTTTCCTTGTTTAATATGGAAGTTACAGATGTTTTGCAGAGATCCTTTACCTTTAGAGTGTACCTACCTGCTGTAATTCTTTACTTAGCTGACTGAAGTAAAAGCTGTAGTCAGACAGGTTACTGTGCTGGTGCTGCTACTTTTCATTTTCACCTTTCAGAAAGTTGTGATGTTGTTCAGGATGACAGTTCCTGGTTTATTAAAGATGTGCTAATTTGCTCCTCCCCCTCCTCCTATCACCTTAGCTCCTCAAGTATTACTAAGAGTTGTTTTGTCTGTATGTTTCTGACACTTGAAAATACTCCCATATGGCCAATAAGGTTGGTGGCGTGCATAAGTTGTTACTGTGTGAACATAATAAGCAAAGCAGTGATTTTTATGTCTGCCATTGCTGATATTTATTTCTTAAAACTTTCATCACTTTTGAAAACACTGAGACCAATAACATGCTGATAATATCACGTCTCTCTACTTTCTTTTCTTTGGATGAAGGTGTAAAAAAGCAAAGATTCTCAATGTATTACTGACATAAAGCTTCTAAAGTTTCGTTACTTAACTACAGTGCTTGAATTTTTGAATGTACAGTGTCTGTTTTGGAATTGGACAGGAAAAGCACAACAAAACAACAATCCTATGTTCTATGATTAACTTTACAAATAAATCCATGCATAAGAAACACTGAACAAGCTAAGAGCAAAGTTGGGTTAGCACAGACACAAATACCTGCTCAAAAGTGCTAATATATGCAACTGTGAAGAATGAGGAAGTGCTCTCTTCCCAGCTGGCCTCAAGTGGTCATTGGAAGAACTGCACGTTTTGGCATTTTTAGGTTAGCCTCATTTTTAAGCCCCTGTAGAGTTTGTTCTGTTTTTTCTTTTTCAGGACTGCCTAAAAGCCTTTCCCAGCCTCTGTTTTGATTTTCTTCTGATTAAGAATGAAACCTTCTCTGTTTGATATTGATGTTTCTGCTGTTCCTCCATCGTGTGTCATGATGATAAACAATCTGTGAAGCTATCAGGGCTTTAACTGTGTGAGACGGAGTAGACATGAAACCAGACTCACCGCAGGTACCACAAAGGTGCAGGAAGGTAGACATAAAGCATATCCCCAAAAAGCTTTTGGCCGTACTTGCACCCTTAATTCGTTTAGCTGGCTGGTATAATAGAATCTGAGTCATGGAAAATCTTTCTCACCAATTCAATTAAGCTTTTTTTTAGTTCCATTTGGTGCAGACAACACACCGCTGAGGGAGATAAACATGATATATGTGAGACAGAAGGGGGCATTATCTAAAGATGTTTCTGACACAGTAAGGTCAAACCAGTCGTCACGATGATGAAAACTTAGAAAAGAGCCTCAGCTCACTTCCGCAGAACAAGACTGACAGAGCTGTGATCCACTTGAGTAACAGAGGATGTAGATAATAAATTATACACACAGTGACGCAGGAGAAGAACTGCAAAGTCAGTTGCAGTCGACATATGAAAGACAGTTCATAAATTGTGCAAAGCCTGCCTATGTCTGGTCACAAAGACATGAGAAGAGGAGCCAGCAGCTTTAATGCTCCTGATCCACATGATCAAACAATGATTAATGTTTTCCCTGGAAGAAACAATGACGGAAAGAAATGGGGAGTATTATTATTATATAGTATTATTAATGATTGTTTGGAAAATGTTTAGATGTTATCAAGTTTGCAATACCAATCACTGAATATCTGCAGGCTGCCTTGATACATAATGTAAAATATGCAACACTTTATGCTGATCTGATAGTTCTGTCCATTATCCTTGAGCAATGGGAAAGTAGGCAACTTAAGCGTGACCTAAAATACATCAACAACTACTCAACTGATTGACATGAAACATTTAAAAGGTAAATATATACCCAGAAGATTAAACCCATGAATGTTGTCAAATCAACACAACCTGCGGGTTATCTGTTTCATTTTTAAGTCGGCTGTCATCTTAATAAACATGGGAGATTTTAATGTTTGCTGGATGATGAATCAAAGCCCTGACTTCCCTTGAACCAGGATGATGACATTTAGGGGTTTGGGTAAAACATATGTTAATATCTACTGGGATCATTTCTTTGGTAATTGGTACACATATTAATTTAACTCCAGGTTTTTGTAAACTTTCTGGTATTGTGTACTTGTACAGGCTTTAGCACAGCAAGGACTCCATATGCTGGTGATAGTATGAGAAAAAAGGTTTAAAAAGGTAACATGAAACAATAAAACACTCCACTATCACAGACAAGTATTCAAAATCAAGCTAGCTACTAGAGAGCAAGGTAGCTACAAATGTAAGTGTAGCTAGCAGTTAGCCACATAGACTGAAATCCACTGAATTGGACTGGACTGGCTTCTTCTTGATTATGGTTCAATTCAGCAAGTGTATGTTTTTGATTAAGAATTAAGAGACAGTAGAACAGAGATTGGCTCGTCATTAAATAATGTGCCAGGTGCCAGTAGCCAATGTTTATCTGTTAAATGTCTGCAAGCTATTCTATCAAACTGCTGATTTAGAGGGGAGGTTTCTGATTTGAAGGGAGAATTTATGGGCTGGACAAACTGTGATTTATTTTTATTGTCAGACATGGGAGAAAACGGTGGCAGTGTGTGACTACAACACTGTCTCTGAGAAAGATCCACGACTTTCAGTTTGTAAGGCATGATCCAGTGAGGGAAAAAAAACTGGAGATTGAACAACCAATCTCAGAGCTCATTCAAAAAAACAAACAAAAAAACATCATCATCAGCTAAATTTTTTATGTCAAAAACATGCTAATTGTTATTAATTAGGGATGTGGGTGTTAAGTTGACTGATCACTTAGATGTTGTCACTCTTGCTCGATGGTACCAGAATTACCAGCCAGCCATACAATGTTTTTTTGTTTTATTGTAGGCCCATATTGCACGTCATCTGTGCAACCACCCAGCACTAGCCAAGGCTGTATCTCTAGTTAATGGCTAATGTTACAACACTCGACTATCTGAATGTAAATAAACAAAGGGGATAGATGGCATCTCGTTGTACAGCATGATTTGGCAGCATTTTGATCTTGACAAGGATATCAAGAGTTTGTTGGCTGTTTTAAGTTAATCTGGAATAAAACCACTCAACTTGAGTGATGTGAAACCATCACAAGGATGTGAAACACTTGGGCAAGTTAAACCAAATGCTTGTGGTACTAGCTCTGCCATTGTTAGCCATACTCTGCAAACCAAATTGACAGTATTTACCTGCTGTCTTTGTGATCCCATGTTAAGATGTCTTGAATAAATTGTGCGTTATTTTGACTTTCACAAACAGTGTGTATTTATTTTTATAAAAGTCCTGACCCTCTTGCCATATAATCTTTTACTTTCAGTTTACTCTTGAAAAGAAAAAACTGCAGGGCTGAAATCAGAGGAGCAAACATCTTTTTTTTAAGTTGGGAGATTCCAATATAGTGTTTGTTGACCACTTATTTAGGGTGTCTGGAAGCTGAGTAAGACTGACTCTACTGTGCTCTAGATGAAAAACAAACTTACTCGAAGTTAGACATTAAAAGACCCAGACATTGGGCTGAAGGTTCAGGTCCATTTGTGAGCCACTGGCTAATTTTGGCTCTGAGACCTGACCCCAAGACCACCCCAGGTTGTTCTTAAACCATCAACCATTTCACCTTTCTCCCTCGGGCTGCAGACTAAAGCAACACCTGTTCTACATCACTCATTGGCCTATAACCTCTGTACAAACCAGCAGCATTATCTGCTCAATGCAGGTCCTCCACTGCAGAGACGCTACAGCGTTCTTCTGCTAGAACAGAAAGAGAACAATGTGCTCGCTCTCAGCGGCACTCACATTTTCCCCGTCTCACTCCTCCCCGTCAATCAACACACCGGCACCTCGCAGATGATTGATGAGAGTGATGAAGTTGCTTTTCATCATCAGGTGCATGAGAAAACACCGCAGGCGACTGAATTGTTTGCATGTGGAGTCAGTGTTGCTTACTTGCTAATAACCGCAGCGCTCACGTGTGTCGACCAACACCCCCTTTCCCCCCTCCCCCACTGACCTGCCGGCAAGCACACACAAGCAGGCGAGTTTTGGAAGAGGAGGGCTTTCACACACAAACCCCTCGAAAACAAATACCAAAATTAAAGCACTCACGAAGCAGTTGAGCATGGAGCAGGACACCCTTCCTGCGAGGCTCATGTCGAGGAGAGGCAGGGCTGTGCCTGGATGACACACAGCCAACAGAGCAGCAGCACGACCGGAGCACGAGGAGCCGGCATAACCATTCTTCTCCCAGCTGGAGCCTCTCCTCCCCTCGTCCGCTCCGAAAACCCCTCTGCCCTCTGCCTCTCTACCCCCTCCCACCCTTCTGGATGGTCCCTCTTCCTAAAAGGTGCTGTGGGACAACGCGCTGGTCCCAACTCTCATTCAGGAACCAATCCCACCACCCCCCACCACTCCCAAACTAACGATAGAGAGAGCACGCTGGAGTCTGCAGACAGCCCCTGTTGCACTGCTGAGAGACGTGTGATAGTCCAGAAAGGTACAGCCGAGTGCAGCGGTCCACAAAATCACTTCAAACTGAGAAGAAAGTGATGAATTGACTGCAGATGAGCCTCCACACTGTGGCGAATGGATGAGAGGAAACTGCGAGAATAGAGGGCAGGAGAGAAAAGAAGACAGAGAGAACTGCCTGATGCTAAGCTCCACCCTCTGCATGCGCATCCACCTCCCTCTCTTACATTCACGTGCTCACATCTCTCTCTCTGTCTCCTTCTCATCCCTTACTCCTCCCCCACTCCCTCCTTGTTCACCCTTCACCGACATCTCCTCATAAATATGCCTCTCCCCCAGCAACGAGGCGGTGAAGCCGGCAACAAGAGGATGCTCCGACAGCCATGCATGCACTGATCTGATATCAACTGTGGCGGCTCTTCCAAAAGCACACGTACAATATGCTAAGCTAAGATGAACACAGAACAAGTCCAGGAGCAAACTCTGAGGAAGATAACAGACAGACACCTGATCTGGTATCCCTTGCAGAATCAGTGCAGTAGCAGCAACAACAAACCAAATTCAGGAGGAAATATGTAGCAGAGGACAGAGGAGGGAGGGAGGACAGTGAGTCTATGCAGAGATCTCCAGTGACACAGCATTCTACAGACCGTCTCTGGATGTTTCAGTGTCCAACACAAGTGCAGGACATCTCTGCGAATCACGCAGCTGCAGAATCTTCCTCCGCTTCAAATGAGGGAAGGTCAAAGGATGTTTATGATGAACACGGTGTCCCCGTTACTACAAGGGGGACACGCATCCCCCCCTCCCTCTTCTCCGTCCTCCTCCCTGGCAGAGTCGTGACAGCCGTGTGCCTTCAGCTGTATGACCCCTGCGTTATGTAATACGTATAACATAGTACACGCAGCATGGGCTGGATGCACATTGCAGCACTATCAATGGGATTAAGTGTACTGTAGAGGTGCTGAGAGTGATGTGATTGTACAGTCAAGCCTCTTTGAACAGGATCAGTCTTCATAAGAAGAAAAGTAATTGGAGCGATTCTTATTTTACAGAATTACGTAAACAAACCTCAAATTTGTCACCTCGAAATACTCGACACTGACGGAAAAAAAAAACATGCACCAAGTCCTTCACATGTGAACAGACTGAAGTGGGGAAAAATAAGAAAAAAGAAGAATAATATCAGAAAAACTCATCTGACAAAACAGGAAAAACTGAAAACACAAGTCATATTCATGCTGTGTGTTATGCCAAATCGTTTTTAATAGTAATACACGGCTGCCTTTCCAAGGAGGGGTGTCTCTGATTATCAGCAAATTACTTCCAAAAATAGAGACTTGCGAAAGGCATGATAGTGACACTTATCAAATAACAAATGTTGTTCCTACTGGGAAAAATAAAATAACAGGAGAACCAACGACAGCTCATCTCCTAATGCCAATAATCTCATATAGACAACTGCTGCCAATCACGTATCACAAAGATGTAGTTACGTAACAGCAAGACATTTCAGCCGTTATTTAACTGCACGGCTTCAACATATGTTCCCTGCACTTGCATCAGCTGCTCTTAGAGCGGTAGCTGCTGTCAGTCTTCATGAGGTTAAAATGGAAACTAAAGTGAGTTATAGCTGTAAATTACTTTAAACCTTTTTTCATAGAGATTTTTTAAAACCTAAATTTAAAAATGTGACCTTTTTAAGGTGTATATTTCATCCTTTACATCAAGGGAGAGCAGACGTGTGCTGCAGTAGATGTGCTGCATTCACCCATGTCCAATATGTCTCCATTTCATCAGGTTAATGGACTCAGGCAGTTAACGGTATAAAATGCACTTCTATAAATTGAGCAGGACTTTACCAAGAATCATCATCATGTCACATGGCAAACCTGTGACCTGGAGCTAGATCCACTTTCCCTTGAACGAAATAAAGAAGTGAAACTCAGTGTCTGCATTGCAGCAGAGCTTCAACATGTCAGCTTCACTGAAACATCCTCACTGAGATGTGCATGTTTCACTGTTAGCCAGAGCACCACTCCTTGTTTTTTGTAGCATGCAAAGAGCAGGAGAACAAACACTTCCAAAGATACAGCAGCTTATCTGTCCCAGGACAGAAAAGCACTCAACACCTCAGTCGGTAGTGTTGATTTCTTTGGCAGAAGTTCGACTTCTCATATCCTGAACAAGTGCAGTCTCATCAAGTTTGAAAGCCTGACGGGTTTCCCCTTGATTAGAGATCAGCAGGTTCAGAAAAAAAGGAGTTTTAAAAATTCTTGCTTTGACACCCAACAAAACCAAAACAGAGCTTTTTATGTGTCGATCTTTCTTTTCTATTTCAGCAATAAACTGCTGACAGAGGAGATATCATGCTTCCAAAATACACCCTTTTAAGACATTTTAAGAAGTTCTTGTAAAGCACACTAAAATATGGTGAGGGGGGTCCGCAGTCTCAGTATTAGGCTTTGTAGTTCACTTCTCTGTCCAGCTACTCTCCCCCCTGCCTGGACTGTCCATAAAAATGGACACCAGATTTGACCCTGTTGTGTCTCCGGTGTTTTATTTTAGGAAAGGAGGGCAGCCAGTCACCAACACACAGAGTGTCAGCCTTCATGTTGACACAAAGATGTAGAAGTGGGATATGAATAAGATATGAGGAATTGGGGCAGGCGTGGTATATGAAGCCTGAAGCTGTCCAAACTCAAGAGACTACTTGCAGAGTTGTGTTTGAAGTGTCTCAGGGATAAAAGCCAAAAAAACACTGAGACTGAAAATTTTCGACATGCAAAACAAGTTACAGAGGAGCTCCCTGCATAAGCTCTAGTACTTTTAAATGGTGTTTCCTACTCAGGAAGAGAAAATAAACACTTTCGATTCTGAAAGTCTCAGATCTAGGCCAACAGATATAGCCCCACTGTTGCTGCTCATACGTATGTGTGCCCTACAGGCAAGTACAGTTTAGGCCTGTACAGGTTAGCTCGAGTGAGGCAAACTCAGATGAATCTTGTGGAGCACTTTGAGATTGGATGCTATAAAAAGGAGACCTTGGTTTCATACCAGAGAGGACGCTCCAGTAATTAATGTGTGCAAGTAAAAATAGCAGTTTATTTCCTGTATGTCACAAACTCAATTTCTGCATTGTTTTCATTTCTGTTCGCATGACACTACTCACAAATGGCGCAGTTGTAACATTTATGAAACCCACTGGAGTAACTGAAAACACTTGATGCGTGTAAATAACTTGTCAATTTTAATTATGTCAATAACTTTTCTGCTAAAGTTGACACATTTTCGAGCCAAATGAAACTGTCAGGCTAAATGTTGGAGGTCAAGCTGACAGAATTCCACAAATAAATCACGTAACTTGATATTTAAGAAGCCTTGAGGAAAAATTTGCAGCTCCTATTACAATTTTCAGGAAAAAAAAAGCTGTGAATACCTTCACATGCCTAACCTACATTCATAAGCAATCAAACACCAAAGCACTTACCCCTCAAACAAAATTCTGCTACACTTTAAATGAGTCCATTTAATTATTAACATGATCATGCACTATGAGGCAGCGTCAGCACCAACCTGGAGAGAAGCGGGGAAGAGAGATCCCTGGAGATTTAATAATTTAAGCTGACCGTGTTAAGAAAGGTGTATGTTTATTATCTGTCTAATCTTGAAGACTTAAAAACAGGCAACTGGACTGTGTAGACTCTACACAGTCCAGTTGCTGTCCAGTTGTTGTTATCATATGAAATAAAATTGGCATTATTGTAGTAGGCAGAAATATATTTAAAGGTCCTGAGAGAAACCCTCAGTTTGTGTCAATTTTGGCGCCCCCTGTGGACAAAACAATCTCATCTTTTTCTATATGTGCTCAAATGACTTCTGACCATAGACTGTATATACTATGGACAACTTGGTTCTGCCTCCCACCTGCATACGGATTTGAAGCCAAAAAGCTCTCGGTATTTACGAGATTTTTCTTCATTTCCTGAAACCAGTGCTGCGCAGTAGTGTTGTGCGCGTTCGGCCGGAGAGTCGCAGAGAGTCACTGTGATGATGCTCGGCTCAAAGAGCGTATCCCCTGGGGGAGCTACGCAATCCCTGAACGCCCACAGGCTGTATCAGGTGTCAATCATAGAAAACATGAACCCCCTAATAACTTTTAAAAACGGAGCTGAACAGAAAAAAAGAGGATTTGAGCACAAACCAGTCTTGCTGTAACTACATGTAAACATCAAAACCAGTAGGAAGAAAAATTTATGTTCTGTGTAATAAATTTCTAAAGTTTGTCCACAGCTCCATAAGCTTTGCTGGCGGAGGTGGGATTTATAACCTATACTGCAGCCCATCAACAGAGGGTGCTGTTCTCAGCGTGGCTTCACCCAGCGAGGAGGCAGACACTGTCCATTCTATATACAGTCTATGCTTCTGACCAAAAATCTCATGCTGCTGACCTCTAATGTATATCTTTGGAAATTAAAAACTGTGCTGTTTCTTCAGCTGCTCAGTCGACGCCTACCCTCTCTTACCTGTTTCCAGCATTAAAAATTACAATATCAAAATGGTCAGTCCTGTTGCTGATTTAGTTTTTTGCTTTTGTTCCTTGAGGGAACCTTCCCAAAAGAATGAATAAAGTTGTATCAAATGGGAATTCAAGTCTATCTCATTTGAAGCCTCCACAGTAATTTTAGTCAACAATGGACACAAATAGGTTTGCAATCATGAAATAAATGAAAAAGAGAAGCAACAAACGCAAGACAACAATAGCCAGACATTTTCACACATGCACCAAAATCCAGAAAATTTCCCAACATTTTCAAGGTGGGCTGCTTGAGTTATTGCAAACAGACACATGTTTCACCTCTATTTTACATTTTTCCTGCAAGCCTGTAAATAAAGATCTCTACAAGACGTATGAAAGAGCCACTGTGTGAATACAGCAGGCAACATCCAGAGAAATTGCCAGCAAAGTGGATGAGTTGATGACGGTTAAATCATGTGACCTGTGGTAACGAGGGCAACCTCTGAGTATGTAATAAGGCAGCTTCACAGTCCTTTCTGCTCATCAGCATGTTTTCTCCACACCTTTGCTAATTACAAAGCAACTACAACAGCAACACCCCCAACGATACATCCGACAGAGAAAACCACAAGGGGGGAGGGACATGAGGGAAGGACTACTTGAGGAAATTTTCAGAGGTAGCCTGTCCTGAAACTCAACAAATTTTGTGGTGCTTTTGTGACATAAAGAACCAGGACAGAAGTTAAACAGTGTTAGAAATTATAGTTCAATAAAGGAGAGTCAGTCAAATTATTAACAACAACAACCTGACATGAACCTTCAGGCTTTACCCTTCCGCAAGCTTCCATGTATTTGGGAAAAAAAAGGTTCAATACATAGCTTAATCTTTATGTAAGCAGGTGACATTGTATACAGCAGAACACTCATCTTGCACGGTGCCTGCACACAAACTTCACCTATCTGTCAGCCCCTACCAGGTAGCATTACAGTGAATTGTGGGTAGTGTGGGCAGAGTAAAACAACCCCATTGTCCCCGTTTCCATGCTCCCATTATCCTGCTGACAATAAGGCAGCGTGAGTGAACAACAGTCTGAACTCAATACTTCCTGTTTTGTTGCAGGGAAAAAAAATGGAGGCTGGGAAGCAATTAAGCGCTGCTTCACAAGATGGGATTAAGAGGATCATGTTACCTGTGGAACAAACTGCTGGAACAAACGTCTCACAAACCCACCCAAAGAATATAACCCTTAGATCAACATCAGCAGAGAGCACATGGAAATATCATTAACTGAGGCCACACAGAGACTCAAAAGTCACCTGGTAAAGTTTTTTTTTTTGAAGCAAGAAAACAAATTATGCGTATTTATGTTGCACAACTGCACTGAAACGTGTGTACGTGATTCTACATGATCTGAAAATTTCTCACCTGTTGCCATGGCATGAAAACCACTTCTGGGTGTGTTTGGTTCACCTCACATCACATGCAATCCAACACACCCAAAATAAACAAACTTAAGTAGAGACCAGAGAAAACATCCGAAACACAGGACCACCCCAGGACTATCTGGGGTCTGCGTTCTCGTTTAACCTGCCTCGCTGGACACATTATTTGTTTGTCAGCCCCGCCATCAATTAAGCCCGCAGCTCGAGTGTGTGTCCCATAAAAAGGCTGAGAGCTGGGCAGTCGGCCAGGGTGGCATTCTGTAGGGGCAGTTGACTGGAACCTCGGGACACACATCCTCCTGTTACACTTCCTATTTCTGTCCTATAAAAGCTGCACACATTAGCTTCAAGAGGAATTTGTCGCTCATCTGGCCACTGCTTCCCCTTCTCTTAAAGCACTGGCTGTCAGGACTGAAGACCCTTTACTGTTCGCTCAGATCGAGAGAGGGGATAGGACATGCAGTGCCCAGGGTACCACTGAAAACAAATGCCAGTATTGTTGAATACATATAGCAGCTTTTTTAGATTTTGCTTAAATGGAAACAAAGCACCCATTCAGCTTATGATTGAAACCCTCGGTTCATTTCTAACGCTGAGACGGTCAGAACATACTGTGCAAACTCAGTGGCTCATGATGCCACTGTTCATGCATAAACTTCATTACTGTGAAAATAGAGCACATGATGCACGGCTCACTCCGATTGCAAGCAGAATTGTGACCTACAAATAAGTCTTGCATCATGCCCATTTTATTTGCTCTGCTTCGATATAATTGCAACCCTTGAGCCATGACTGCAGCGTTACTTGACAAACCACTATTTGTCTCACATACAGTAAAATCGCAGACTGACGTAGCAGCTCCGAGCCTCACAATTCCTTCTTTGTGTTCTTGAACTGATTACTCGAATAGTAACTTACATAACACATAAGAAAGTCTTAATTCTGCTCAAGAGCTCTTGATAGCCAGATGCGTCCACTAGAGGGCAGATAACTGGACAGATCCCAGGTCAGCACGTTCTGTACCAGTATGATTCCTCTGGTGGGCATTGTCACACGTCTGTTGCAGCACAGGCACATTGTCTCACACTTTAGACATTTAGCTTTGCTTTCCATCCACAAAGATGATCATACAATATGCAAGTAGTGGTTCACTGTCTTGGTTAAAGACAACATGCACTCAGTACCAGTAATTTGAATTGTCACATTTTACTATGAACTGGTTAATGCGTATAATAGTCTGGATGTGCAGAATCAGGGTTTTGCAGGAGACACGTGGCAGAGAGCTACTTCAAAGCCTTCACATCTGTTACCTGCTACAGGGCACTTTAACTGATGGAGCAGCACGTTCCTGAATGAAACAAACAATGCAATAAAGATGGAACCCTGCTGAGGAAACTACTACAAGAGTGAAGAAAGATGCTGCCTGGTGAGGAGGATCAACTCTTACTCCCTCTAATCTGGAGTCCAGACAACATGAACAACCAGCTGGTGGTTAATGCAAAGACTGTATGATCTGTTGGTTATTACCTACTTGGAAATTTAGACACACTTATTTGAGTGTACTGTCTTGAACTGGTCCTAATATTTTAATATGGAGGGGAGACTTCCTATTCAAACTACTGGGGCAGAAGGTTGTTTTAAAGCAGTTTTAAAGGGCACATACTGGTGAATACTTTGTAGTTTGCAAATCAGATATTTCTCACTTCAAACTTCTTGAAACCCTAATTCAAACGATCTGTGGGCCCTAAGAAATACAGTTTAAAGTAGGAATTCTAAGTTTCCTCGTTTATTACTTTTATTATAATGTGCACTATATTGAAACTGCTGCACATGTAAACAAGATGAAAACAGTCTGAAAGAGGGCATGCCTTAAAAAAAACTTTTTTTTTGTGTGTGCAGCTCTAAACCACATGTGAGGAGAGTTAATAAAGTGACAACATTTTTTTGCAGCATGTTGCAACACCCTCTGCTTTGTCTCGGCCTGTGGGAGTGCCATTTCCTGTGTGAGAGTGAAACAGTCCTAACTTGCCATTTTATCCTCGGAGAGCATGCAAGGAGCAGTGCCCAGGAATCTGCAGCACACACAGTGTATACAAACATATAGGATCCCCTCCCCTTTTGTGTGATTGGCTCACCATGCTGCCTGCCGGTGCTGTAGACAGTCGGTCGAGGCGCTCTTCTTCAGATCCCTCCCTCTCCTCCAGTCTACTGGGCGCTGCTGTGCCAGCAGTGGTTCCTGCAAATGTAAAAACACACTACCTTCAGAAACGGGGTGTGTGAGTGACTGAGTGTGTGAGTGTGTGGGCGGCTTATGAGTGCGTGTGATTGCGTAAATGGCTGGACGCCAGAGACAAGCCTTTCTTGGTTGGAAGCGCAGCAGGAGGAGCAAAAGCTGACACTAAAACCATAAAAGTTTTAAAGAGGTTAAAGGTGGGCGTGTTTTATATTTGATCAAAATTTATGTTTTAACAACGCTACGCTTCCTCTGCTAAATCCCCATTAGCTCTCAGAAGAGTGTAAAACAGTCAGAGTGAAGGTTAAACTGGCTGCCTGGTACAAGTGGAAGCAGAAAATGGGGTCAAGTCAGTGTAAACACACTCCAAGCATGCAGCGCTGCAGACAGACATGCAGCCACATGCATGAGGTCTGATCACCTCGCCTGACCCGACCTGAGAGGAGAAACTCTTGATTTACAGGAAACATAAACTCAAACATTCTTCACCAGATTATCAGGAGTCAAAACAGATAACCGCAGGGGAAGTGTACAGCAGAAGTGGACAAAGTTTACAACCTCTGTCTGCACCCAATACACACCAACAGGTGCTCCCAGTCTGGTCGATATCAGAATTTCCTGATAACATGAACAAGAGCTATTCAAATAACTTATGACAGCAGAAGGATTTGCATTCCTGTAGTGGCTTTACAAATTATTCTGTAGGTGTACAACAAGGTGTAAGCATTTTGTTCGACACAATGACTGCATAATAGCATCCCTACTCCTTTTCCTGTGCATCTCACTCTGTTAGGAAGCCCAGTGTAAGTTTACTATAAAGAGAGTTTAAACAAACAGGCAGCCAGACAAAACACAGACATCGTGTTCTCTTATTTGCATTCAGGACTAGACATATCTATTATACATTGGTCAAAAGGAAACAACATGAACTAGATCAAAGATCACCCTGTCCCACTTTCCTACACTTGTTTTTTTTCCAGACACACCCCCTTTTGCACACGCTCCAAAGTGGAAAAAAAGAAAAGCTACTACTCTCAACTCTCAAATACTATCCCCAGAGTCGACATCGCTCACCTGTAAAAAGTGCTGCAGAAGTTGCAACCTGTTTCTTGAAACTTTTCTCAACCTTTTTGATTGATTCTGAAGTCAGCGCCTTGCAAAGTAGCAGCAGACTCCGTCTCCTAAACACTCTCTGGTTGTAATCCAGAGCATGACATACCTCCCTCCCTCCCTCCCTCCCTCCCTCTCCTGCTCGCTCTGTCTCTATTGCTTACTCGCTCTCCCTCCCACTCTCTTAGTGCCAGGCTTCTCAAAGCGAAAGGAGCCATACTACAGGGCACACACACTCGCTCCCGTTCTCGCCCACCTCCACTCATGACTCATTTTATCAACAGGGATGGCTTTCAGTGCTAATAGGTAATGACTACAGAAATCACCACATGCAAGCAGCTGGTCATAATGTCTTTTAAAAAGGTACAATATCACACCTTGGGCAATATGAGTCACCTCTTTAGGCAGAAATAGAGCGAGACAATTTAACTACAGAAAAAGAAAGAGTGCTGAAAAAGTAATGAGGTGTGAGTTAGCAAAAGTCTGATCAGAGTTCTTACTCATTAAGAGTCAAACATTTATTTTAAATTATGTTTCTAGCTGTGTTTTTATGCCCTGTAAAGTGTCCTTGGGTGCTCAGAAAGGCGCTTTTAAATAAAATGTATTATTATTATTATTATTAAACACTGGTTTAGCACAAAAATAGTTCAGTAAGGCAATACAGAGGCCAAATCATCTGAATACCATGAAAAAAAACAGTTTTTTAATGATTTGGATCAAAAAGGAACACCTTCATATATATTCGGAAGTCTATAAAGGGTTCCTACGCAAGTATGGTAAGTATGGAAAAGTATGGAAATAAATTTGATCAATTTTCAGGTCTTAAAAAGTATGGAAAATGAAAAAATAAAGTACAGAAAAATATTTGTTTCCAGACTATTACCACAGTTCAAAGATAGTGTTTTCTAAAATAGAAAAGTAGGTATTTCCAAAAATAATTCTCAAAAGTAGAGTATGGAAAAGTATGGAAATTCCAACTGTGTAGAAACTCTGTCTATCAGATATAAAATATTTCAAGCCCGGTTTTGTTTATTTTGGCTTGTGTTTCATGAAAGTCAAAATAAAGAAACTCAAATCATTTGAATATTTTTTAGGTAAATCAAAAAGAAAAAAAAATTAAAACACAAAATAACTAACTTTGCATTTACACTCTCAGTACTTGGTGTGGAGCTTCCTAAGTACGAAAGCATCAGTGCAGCACAGCATGGACACTTACATTTTTATATATAAATACAACTACATGAATAAGACAACACAAAGAACAAACTATAGGGTAGCTGTTGTATTAGATTACATTAAGTGGTTATAATGGAATGGGTGGTTGGTGTATTTATGTGTTGCCATGCATGGTACTTGCTGATATTATGTACAGGCACAAGCAGAAAGAAAGGCCTGAAGAGGTAGGCTCAGCTTGTGGGCCTGTTCTCACCAAAATTTCAGACATGCCAGGAATTCACCACTCAGAAGCAGCTGATAGGGCACTGATTGGCCACGATACACCCCCAGCACTTCGATGATTTTCTTTTTAGAGTACAATTCAATTAATTAGCTCACGCTGCAGACCACTCTGTGAAGTGCAGAATCAGAAATGCTCTACCAGCATTCACTATTTCTACATAAACAAACCTGAGGAACAGTACCAGCTGCCTGTGACCGTTCTGCCTCTGAACAGATTTAGAGGAAATCAGCTGACTGACTTTAACTCCACGTGCTTTGACCTCTATCCATAAACCTAGCATTAGTTTATCTGAAATGATTGTGAAAATGAATTATAAACTGAGCAGCTTGGATGTTATCATTGGTACAGTGTGATAAATTAAACATAATTTAGTGTCTTATCATGAGATTCCACCCTCAGCAGGGTGTGTCGTGTTTTTCTCTACCTACAAAGGTGAGGAGAGAAATGTTGCTATTGATCCCAGGCTACAACCACACCTTCCTCAGTATTTGACATGTTTGTACTTGTCAAACCCTTGTCAGATAGTACATCAATATTAGTGCTGCATACTGTACGTAATCTTTATACAGTAAACCAGCAATAAAACACTTTGTATGTTGGAGTAATAATACATTATCTCTAGTGTTGAGTTATGCCTGACACAAGCCCTGTAAAAATGCAGTTTGAATAATTTAAGTATATAGATGAGGGGAAAAAAGTGATTAAAATGAGGAACTAACTACCAGATCATATCAAAAATACTTTAGAATACCATCTGGGCCATGCCACCATTACTTTGGACACATTCAGGTCAGTCCAAAAATTAAAGATCAAATACAGAACTCAGATGTTCAAAACTATACACATAGAAGCTTTAACATCAGGATTAACTTTGGTCTTCTATGAGGTGATGATAGTACAGGAGCAGGCTGTGGAGTTTTAAAATCATTGTTAGCAAGAGAGGGAAATGAAACTAGGTCACAAAAGACGTGTCAAAAAAAACAGGTGTGTGAGACCATAAAAAGACTTACTTCGAAATAAAAACATCTTTATTTAGCATGACTCTCTATTCTTTGGGGATTTTATCCGAGGGCGTTTAAGTCGTGGGTGTGTCAAAAGATGAAGGTGAAGCGCTGTCAACTGTCAACTGTTGAGCTTATGAATAGTCATGTGCAAGTTAATATAACCAGACTATCAAACACTGTAATCTTAGCTAGTTGGCATCAGAATTAAGAGTCAGTTAAACGAGATATTAATATCTTCATTTTTGGAAGGCTGCAATACTTCTCATATGCTGTGTGTAAGCTGTGGCGCAGCTTCCAGTAAGGGCTGCAGCTGCAGTTCATGGCTGCTGCCAATTTAATGCTCTACTATCAGGATGTAAAAAACAAATCAGGTTGACTCTACACAGCCAACAGTATGTAAAGAGAAAAGGCATATTATGAACTTTAACATAGGCAGTGTATTAGTATTAAGTTGGCCACATTCAGCAAACCATTACAATATTTACCTTAATGATCTGATCCCTCACGTAGCCATGATAGATAAACTGGGTTTAGTTTGAACTTAGGGCTGGGCGATATCGAAAATTAATTTCCCTCAATATCAATATAAATTATGGTCAATATGCTTTTCAATGTGCCATGTTTTGGTAGACTATACTAAAAGCTAATGAAAAGGGGAGCTGCTCCAGGTCTGCTTCGCGCTGAAACAAACATGTGCTGAATTAGAACCAAGTAGCAAACAACTGTGTAGTAGCAGGCTGCAGCTACACACAACCATAGCACTTTAACACGTGAAGCCAACAGCACTGTCGGTGAGAAAAAAAGAAAATGAGTGCTACCCCCGGCAGAAACACAGATGAGGGCACAACAGATGATGACATCGTCGACAACACTGGCACGAAAACATCGGTGCTGTTGAGGTATTTTGGTTTTTGGAGGTCGGACATGAAGCAGAGTAATGCAAAACAGTAATGCAGAGGACGTGCAATGCAAAAGGTTACAAACCCCAAGCAGAGCAAGGAGCCCATGGCACCTGTGCAGCCGAAACAGCCCACCATTCAGTCCACTTTCTCTAGCGCAACGACTTAGTCGAAGAGACACAAAGACCTCACTTTTTGCATGCTACCATGAAGCACTCTGAATTTTCATTTTCTATAATGTGACATATATTGATATCGATTGATATGAAAAAAAATATAGCGTTTAACTTTTTTTCCCATATCGCCCAGCCCTAATTGAACCGAAAAGCAAATATTGATCAGTCCAGTGATTTTGTCATTGCCAAACATTACTAACATAACTCTCTCAATTACAAATGCACAGCTGGTCGATTGATCTGCGTCGATTTCCTCAATTTTAGGGGATCAGTGATCAGCTGATCCTTACATATGAAACCAGTTTTATCCACCGATCTTATCTACCACAGCAAAGGTCTGAAAGTCAGCCATTGTAGCTTTTTGCCTTGCCAGAATGACAGGCACGCCCATCATTGCCAGCGGTACACACAACAGTCAACTGGAGCACGATCAACCAAGCATGTTGAACCCACTACAAGGAAACCTAAAACTCGGGACAGTTTATTGGTGGTTTAAGTTGTGTTGTTAGTTTGTCCTGTAGATTATTATTTTATTTGCAGTTAAACACAAAAATTTTGCATTGTTTCACAAGTATTGTCCAATGTTTTTCATTAAAATAAGATTGGAGCATCAGAGGTGTATGCTGTCAGCTATAAAAAAAAAATCGGTATCAGCCAAAACGGAATCGGCAGGTCAAGTTTGTTAAAGATCGGTGATCAGCCTGAAAATTGTGATTGGTCCACCCCTTATCTCAATTATACAGACTCACTACATCTTCATGTCTTGAGTAACACACAGCTAAAAATAACAATTTCTAAGTGAGATATGGGATTTATCACTGTCTAAACATGTAAAGTTTAACTGCATTAAGCAAGTAAGTACTGATGATGCTAAATTAGAAGATTTAACGAGGACATAAAATTGGTTGTCTAGCTCTAAACACGTATTGTCAATATTTTGCGCAGACAACAATGTGTTTAAGTGTTAAGTAGTGTGTATGGCTTAAACAACTGTTTCTCTTCCTCAATGGTATAAAAGTAAATTTCCAGAGCAGGGGAAGCTTCCACGGGGCTTCCCCCTCTTCAAATGAACATAGAGAAATTTCCAGCAAAGCCGGTATAATCGTCAGCTCGAGCCCAGGTGAAACACAGCTGATCTGTCTGACTCGTGACCAAACAACAGGTGAAGCCGCTAGATAAGGGGGGTGAAGTTAAAACACGTGAGAGGTGAAAGTGAAAGTGGTCGACAGTCTCATGACAGACTGACACTGACACAGGAGGCGACTAGTTTAGTCAAAACGAAAGTGTGTGTATGTGTATGTGTATGTGTGTGTGTGTATGTGGAGTGTTTGCATACGTTAGCATCACGCTAGCTGCCGGATAGCATAGTAGTAAAGATTGTGTGTAAAAATCGCCAATTTCAAGACTAAAAACGAAAAGCGGTTTACGGTTCACACGTCACATATGGGCCCGACAGCCTGTTAATATGTTAAACACAAAACATCGCTCAGAAGTTACTTAATTTTATGAAATAAATCGAGTTACTCACTCAGAAAGAATCAGCTGACACAACGGTGACTCAGTAGACTACACTTCTTCCGCATTCCTGTGTGATGACAAAAGCGCTAGCGAATAGCAAAACGGCAAACTGAACATTCTAGACCAATGACGCCTAAGACCCAGAGCGTCCAATCAAAGTCTACAACAGTCGAGCGAGTGACTCTCACACACCCACAGATGAGCCAATCAGGTGCCGCAGAAATCATGAGGCGCACCAATAGAAAATCACAGCGCGGCACAAACTGGAGGCACACAAACAGAGAACGGTACGTGCGTCCAGACATACACAGGGTAGAACTGTACGCGCCTGAATGAAAGGTTTCAAAACAAATCCACGGTTTTAATTTTTTTTATAACTGCCGAGGAGAAGATAGTTACACACACTTAAAAGAAGAAGTGATAGTGGGGGATTTTACAGCTGCTGGAAATTTAAATTACCCAACATTTTTGAAGTTGTAGCAGAAGTTTATACTCAGGATTATGTTTTAAGGGCTGTTTATATGAAAATCAGCCACAACACAATCATCTTAGCGCAGTACCAACTGCCAGATCTTAAACTGTTATAATCAGACAACTTGTTATTGATCTCTATACCCCAATTTAGATCACTGAAGCCACCAAGAATTTCATGATGACATACTACTTAAAGGGTATTTACCATATCAGCTGCTGTTTTCAACCTGTATTTGTTAACCCATGACTGGGCAAAATCCATGTACATGGGTGTGGGTGCAGTTCAGTAAACTCCCTTGCAGTATTAACACTAGAAGGACCACAGAGCAGCCATTTGGCTTTACCCCCTTCAAGGACCACGGGGCAGCCGATCGGCTGGAAGGCTTTTAGCTAATATCCTAAATCACCCGTGAACACTCATTTTGTTATGCAAACGAGGCGATCGTTGGTGCACCACAGGAGGGGACTGGACTAAGTGGTGTATGCAGTGGGTTGGGACCACCCTCTCATCATAGAACTCCAGAGACGCTGAGCGTCCGATGGGCGGGACAAAGCCCAGCATTTATCCAATGAGTGTCTAGTTTCGCTGTTGGAAGTCAGCACACATTGAAGTCAGCAGACGCTGAGCGTCCAGCTGTGTGAAGCGCGGAGGCGCTGCGAGGATGAATGAGAACGAAGTTGTGCCGGTTACCTGTGATTATCAGCAAATTCCACAAATAACGACACTCACATCAAGTTGCACATATTCAAACCTCACGTGACAAAGGTGGGTTGTGCGCACAGATCACAACATTAACTCCAATAATGGCATTAAAATCGGAACCATCTGTGCGTAAAGGATGCATTGCGCTCTTTCTTTCATAGATTTTGGCATATAAAATAAATTTGGCTCACAAAACTGAATATTATAATATTCCTATGTAGGCTTAAAGTAAAAAACTCATCTAATCACTGAAACAAATCATCTGTTCAGCCGCAGCAGCAGCAACTGCAGCAGGACGGAGAGAGGACACAGAGACATGTCAAGGTCAAGCTGCGCGAGAAATAAGAGGAAGAGGAAGATAGAAATAGGGGAATACAAATTGAATATCTTGTTAACTTCATCGTGTGTGTCTATTTACTAAATATTTAATTTAATTTAATGCGGTTTCAGCTGTGTTGATTTGGTCAGGTTGTGTGTCCAAACGCGTGCCAAACGGGCTCATCAGATCAGAATATATCCATAGATCTAAATGTATGTGCCGACTCAGATTATTAGTTGTTGTTGATTATTTATTGCACTGAAATGTGCCTGACACTGTGGAAACCTGCTGGTGAAGCATTGGTGACGTATGCCAATACGCCTAAAATACCACTAGACCAGCTGCGCTCCGCCTGCGCTGAAAGCTGACCAGGTTTGAATCGGCGAGCTTTCAGCGCACTTTACACGCCGGTGGCGAGCACGAAAATGACACTGCGCCAGCTGATTCTGTCGACACCTCCCCCTGCCACGCCACCACGCCCAGCTTGGCGGATCTCGGTGCACCTCAGTCCACGAAAATACCAAACTGGCTGTACGCCGGGCTCCGCCAGACCTATCAAAGACCACGTGGGGGACATCAGGTCAATCACCAGGCCTCCTATCAAAGACCACGTGGGGGACATCAGGTCAATCACCAGGCCCCCTACCACAGGCAGCAGAGAAGCCATCAGGTTTACCACCAAAACCACCGGGCTCCCTACTACCAAGAACACCAGGCACGCACTCCCCCCCGATGGCAGGTGGAGGAGCAGGCCAATGATGCAGATGCAAAAGACATGGCTAGAGTGCAAAAACTTGAAGATCAGGTCGCATCTCTGAGAAAGAACCTTGACAGTGAAAGACAGAGGGCCTCTTCCTTCCTACAAGAACGGGAGGTAAGTAGGAATATGTTTCAGGTTCTCCTCAGAAAGGAAAGGAAGCAAGTTCGGGATCTGTATGCTGAGAAATGTTCTCTGGAAGAGCAGGTGAAAAAACTGCAAGAAGATGCATACAAACGAGCTATGGAAGGATCCAAAAATAAAGAGGAGATCCAAGAGCTCAGTAACCTTGTAGAATCTTTGAGCAACAAACTGGAAGCTGAGATGCTGAGAGCTAAAACCCTTGAAAAAGAACACGAGGGATTTAGATCTTCAGTTCAGGAGGAAGCCAAACAGGAGATGAAGAAGATGGAGCAGTTGGAAGCAGAGAAACTTTCTCTGGAAGATGAGGTTAAGAAATTGCGAGAAAATGTATACAGTAGAGCTATGGAGGGATCCAAGAACACGGAGAAGATCCAAGAGCTCAATGACCTGGTATCATCTTTGAGCAACAAACTGGAGGCTGAGATGCTGAAGACTGGCAACCTCCAGACACAGCTGGATGAGGCCAAGCTTCAGCTTCTTGAGGAAAATAACCAAGAACTGCAGCTGGATGATGGAATGGATGAAGAAAAGGACATTCTGGAGACCACAGCAGATGATCTGCTAATGGAAACGTCAGAAAATGAAGATCAAGAGGAGACGTTTGAAGTCATTGGCGAGGACATCAGAGAGCCCTCCCCTGAACTGGACAACACTTTGGTGGACAGCGAAGAAGACGGTCCACATACGGTTCTGGAGACACGTGAGATGACCTTACCAACACCTGAGGTCATTGCAGAAGCAACTGAACTGGAGTCCAGTTCAGGCGAGGACATCAGAGAGCCCTCCCCTGAACTGGACAACACTTTGGTGGACAGCGAAGAAGACGGTCCACATACAGTTCAGGAGACACCTGAAATGACCTTACCAACACCTGAGGTCATCGCAGAAGCAACTGAACTGGAGTCCATCTCACTGTGGAGGAGGTTCAAAAAGGCCATGACTCCCAAAGATCGCCGCAAATACAAGAGGCAGAGGCAGGACTGAAAGGCCCTGGCTCCTTGCCTAGCTGAAAAAAAAATTACAAAATGCAAAAAAAAAAAAAAAAAAAAAAGCCAAAAAATGCAAAATTGCAGATAAAGAAAATAACTGCAAAAAGACTACAAAAAAACCATCTTTGCAGAAAAAAAACTTTCAAAAAAAAAAAAGACTCCCATCTATATTGGCGCATTGGCAGTCAAGGAAGTGTAAGTGTTTGGTTCATTGATAACATGTGAATTTTTTTTTTTTAAATTAATAAAAATAAAAACAAATTAAAAAAAAAAATTTGGAAAAAAAAAAAAAAACCTCAGTAACTCCACCAAATGGTCTCAATTGGGTCATTTTGCCGGTCCCAAGCCCGGAGAAAGAAGGAGGGTTGGTTTTTTGACTTGAAAAAAAAAACAAAAAAAAACCAAGAATCAACAGAAGACCATCATGAAGGTTCAAAAAAGCCATGACTCCAAGACCAGCCCCCAATACAAGAGGCAAAGGCAGGACTGAAAAACCCTGGCTCCTTGCTTTATTTAAGAAGCAAAAAAAATTTGCAAAATGAATTGCAAAGAATAAAATAAACCAAAAAATTATAACATTTCATTGTCTTGATTTTATTGTTTGACAGCTCTTCTCTCAACTGTTGAATGTGCAGTCAGCAAAAAAAATTACAATTGAAAAAAATATCTTCGCAGGAATTAAAAAGCACAAAAAAAAACTTAGCAAAAAAATTGCAAAGGAAAAAAAAATTTCCTTAATGAGTTTATTTATTTTTATAAATGTTATTGCTTGACGGCTTTTCTCTAAACTGCGTTTGGGTCATTAATAACCTGTACAGATAAAAGCTCACATGTTGTTTTGGGATTCACAATCAATCTTGAACATTATCTTTGAAAGTGTCTGACCATCCCTCAGAGAGCTACTTCAGTCAGCCTACAAGCAGTCACAAGCTAGTTCTTTTCTTGTGTCTGTTTCGTACAGTATATCGGTCCATTATGAAGGTTCAAAAATGGGCCATGACCCCCAATCATCCCTGCCATTAAGTGTGCACTTAACTTCTATTTTGTCATGCTAATCCTGAAATGTCCTATACCTATGAGATGTCACATCCCTTTCTCATGTTGCATAACAAAGTGGTAAAATCAAATCAATTAATCATTATAGAGGTGTGAGGTTTACAGTGGACTGTAGTAACTTGCCATTGGCATTTTTTACTTTTTTGACATCACGGACAAAATCATGAACAAATATAATACAGTAGCTGGTTAATGAATCAAGTAAGGACTAACTCCTTTGTCGCTGCCCTTGTCTGATCACTTCTTGTCACCACAGAGTTATGCAAGACCTGTTAACTGCAGCAGCCATTTCTCTCCCCTGCAGCTCTCTGAAGCAGCAGCCAGCACACATACAGCTGCTTAGCACATGACGTTTGCATTAGTTGCTGAGCCCTGGGCCCTGACTCTGTTCTGGTTCTTTGGCCTCATATGAAACAGCCTGGACCTGACCCTATTTGCTCTCTGATATCAGTCAACAGGCACACTGTGCCTTACCTCACCTCTGTTTGCTGCTGTCCTCTCAGATTTCACTGCACAGCAATGCAAAATATGACCTCTCAGTTATGACAGTTATGTTTTTATGACGTCAGTGACAGACAATTTTTTTTTAGCTCACTGTATGTATGCAGTTTTGCAATTACTGACTTTTAGATAAGTTAGATACTGTGTTGATTCAGGTATTCTAAAACCAACAGTGAATTTGGCAAATTGAGCTTGAAAATCTTAATTGTATTTCTTTTTTTTTTTCAGTCGCATTTTTCAGCTCCCTTTAAAAAAAAATATACTCCATCTTTGAAATAGTGTATATCTAAGAAAGTGTGCAAAATCAGCTAACTGAGTTACAAGTGTAGGTCTTTTATACTGAACATGTAATACATTCATGTTTGTGTAATGAAAGTTTAAATCAGGAGATATTGCTCCCTCTAGTGGTGAAAATAAAAACCAGAGAAAACATTTTGGTAAACAAAATTGTCTCTTATTTTCAAGCCTCAATATGTCTTTATATGTATATCTTTACTATATCTTTATTTTGATCAATCTCCCACAGCCTGGACTGTTTTTACTTTGAATGCTTTGAAACTCTACCGTACTAAAATTGACTCAGAGGTTAAAGAGCTTACAATTTATTAAGAGGTCATAGCCCTTTGCACTGGCGTTTAGGCACCACCCCAAATCCTCTACTCCCCTGGTGCCATGTCTCAGTTCAGCTGTCCTATCTAATGAAGGCAAAATGCTAAAAAAAATAACCACAACATTAATGACAATGATAATAAAAAAATATCCATCTGAGGAAACTGCATTGCCCATGTGAGGTATCTTTAAATAATGAGCTCTGAGTCTGTACCTTATCCCCCCCTTAGAGATTTTTCTATCTCAAAGAAATCCCTGGTTTCGAAAAGGGAAAATAACACTTAAAATTCTGTATGACTGAGGTTAATGTATCTGTGTTACCATGGAGACAGAGGACTGGTTGGACACTGGACCCAGGCTGGATGACAAAACTTGAGCTGTTGCTGTTAAACTTTTTAGCATAGGTGCAGTGGGGCAGAGGGAGGACGAAAGGTGGGTGTTGATCCTAAAGGACCAATCACAGGTGGTCATCAGGTCAGTACTTATCCACAAACTGTCTGCTCAGACTCTGATCTCTTTCTCTTCTCTGAACTGTGGCTCATCTACAATCACAGCATGGTGAGTTCACTGTCATCAGAAACATGATGAGCAGATGTCCCGCTGTGGAAAATTAGGCACTTTAACAGCACACTGAATTTAGAGATTATTGTCGCTGGTTAATGATAAAGGTCCCTGTCTTTTCTCTTTTTTTCAGACAAGCTACACAGATAAAGGAGAGAAGGTAAGATTAAATCTACCTCTGGAGATGGCTTTAGTATTAGACAGGCCTCTGTGGTGTGTGATGTAGTTTTAAGTGTTATCTAGACTATTAGTCCTGCAGAGGAAGGCCTGACTCACAATCAAGAGGCTGAACACTCTCAGAATGAATGTGTCATTTTAATCCTGTAGCAGCTTTTATGCAAACTTTTAGATCAATTTATTTCATGCCTCTAAACCTGCTTGAGCTTCTGTGCGTCAGGACTGTCTCGCGTTGTATTAACTACTGCACTGTATGTTTCATTTTTTATTCATAGTAACTGTAAATCATGTGCTGTGCTTTTCTCTTTCAGCCCGAGAGGGGAAAGTTTGTCAGGTTTCATCATGTCACTTTCTGGGTTGGCAATGCAAAACAGGTCGGTTTCCAAACACTTACACATGGTTTATATGGTGGGCTGTCTGTGATCCTTTCCCCATTGTTCATAATTCAGTTAGAAAGACCTTTTAAGATTTCAGACTGAATATGCTGCAGGCTTTGGTGTTTTTGCTTCTGCATTCAGACAGATGGAAAATCTAAGTCCTTGTGTTGACGGTGAGAATTTACTGGATAAATACAAATACAATACAAACTGTATGTTTAATTGCCAATAAAAGTGGAAAATGATGATTGCTTGAGTGTTCTCCTTAGTCTTTTAAAACTCAAGCATTCTTTTTTGAGGTCTGAAAACAAATTGACATTCATTTCTGACAACAACTCGATTTTTAAATGCCTTTTGTTTATGCATATGTGCCAAATTTGAACAGACTTTAGCATGTAGAGTCTTGGAATTTCCCCCTGTGGGACTAATAATGGAATATCTTACGTGAAATATATTAAAAAATGTTACTTTTTTTGTCACTAGGGATTGTAAATCCCACATTTCAGAGTGTTTGGCTGCCTTTTGAATATTTCCCCTTGGACTAAGCATTTTTGATCAATCAAACTATGTATCAATCAATTCATAGAGCAACATATTGAGAGATATCATTCAGATAAATCTTAATGTGCTTGACTTGATAATGTAAAATTAAGCTCACAGAAAGGAAAGCACCATAAATCAGACTTGATTTACTTTAAAAAACATACTTGTCACACAGGCTGGCTCAGTGCCTTTGATGCCTCTGGTTCAGGCGACACACAGTCAGAGTTGTGTAATCCACAGTCGATACTTTTCTGGCAGGAGACTCTTTTTCCTCTAAATGTTTTTAACTCTGTCAAAGTTCATCAGAAATATCCCTTTGCAGGCAGCTACTTTCTACTGTGATAAAATGGGCTTTGAGCCTCTGGCCTACAAGGGTCTTGAGACAGGCAGCAGGGAGGTGGTGTCTCATGCCATCAAGCAGGATAAGGTATGAGAACAGACAGACTGTGGTGATTAAATTAACACCAGAGTGCTCATTAATCCACAAACAATTCATTGTTTTCACCTCTCCTCCTCCACAGATCATATTTGTGTTTCAATCTCCCCTCAACCCTGGAAATGAAGGTGATTTTTCTCTTTGGGACACATGAGAATCTGTAAAATGAATTGAACAGCAAAGTCCTCATTTAATCATGGCATCCTATCCTTCTTTAGAGATGGGTGAACACCTGATAAAGCACGGTGACGGGGTCAAAGACATCGCCTTCCTGGTGGAGGACTGTGACTTCTTAGTCAAGGTAAGAATGAGGAGGACTTCTTTGCAGTGTTGATAAGCCTGTGGTTTTAGCCACAGTTTGGAGTGAATTAGCAGTATAAAACACAATAATATACAACAGTACATCATGGTGAAAAACACAAATATGCCTGTTGAACATATACCTGTTGCCTTGTGGATTAAACTTGAAATACACTTAGCTGTGCTTATTTCACAAAGCTGTCCATGTGTAGGAGTTTAAGAGTTTCCAGTATGACATCCAAATGTTGTAAAAATGTTGATATCTAATGTAACATTGACAAAATCCAAATTATTATATTCATATATTTACTAAAACTCACACCTTTACTTAAGTTTCAACTTGATTTGGAGAATCTTGTCATCTAAAAGTAAAATTGCAAATTATCAGCATCCAAATACATGTCATGTTTGGAAAGTTAAAGTGCTCCTTTTGCACAAAGCCCAAACCAGAAATACATACTATATATTGCAATGGTGGCATACAAACGATAATACTTTTGTATGCTACACAATGGATCAATATAAAGAGTCATTTTTACTGAAGATAGGACCATTATGATACTTGCCAAAACGAAGTATGTCAAAGTGTTCTTCAAGTATCCCAAGAAGTTTTCTTTCAAGTATGCATCAAGTTTACTTTTATAAATTAAAATTGGGCTAACTTAATCCCAAGTAGTTTACTTGTAAGTACACTGGTAGTATATTTGTATCAGTATACAAAGTATACTTTGAGAAGTATACTAAAATAAACTTCAGTATACTTCATAAAATGTAATTGAGGTATACTTTTTTTGGTAAGGGGATACTTGTAAACTGAATAAGTTATCTGCATTTAAAAACTGCAGAGTAAAGTCGGTAAAAGTAAAAGTGTAGTACAAATACCTCAAAAGAGAACAGGTCATGTAGTTGAGTGTTTAGTTACTTTCAACCAGTCTTTATAGACTTGATTCACTTAAATGGAAATAACATGTTTTAAATCCCCTCATTCAAATTCACTAAGTTTCACTAAAGTTTGAATTTAAATTATCTGGATTTGACATCAGAGCCTGTTTCTCATGATCACACTACCCACACTCAGATGTGGTAGAATGTGTGTGTGTGTTGAAACAGAGCCTACCATGTGGGTGGTGTGACAGCCACTTTGATGTTTGGTGCCTCACTTGAACTCTTAACCACAGTCAAGGTCAAATGTGGCTTTAGATGAACTCTGTGTGTGGACCGTCAGGAGGCCGCAGAGTCACAACCCCCCCCCCCCCGACTCCACACAAGACAGCAGCAACATCTGAGTTACCTAACACAGCAAAACAGCGCAGCAGGTGGAGGGAGAGCAACTATTTTGTTCTGCCACTGGAGGTCCTCAGACTCAAACCTTTTGTAACACTCCTGTTTAAAATAAACTCTCCCCTTACAGACAGCCAAGGAGCGAGGAGCAGGGGTGGTGAAAGAGCCTTGGGTGGAGCAGGACAGTAACGGGAGGGTCAAGTACGCTGTGGTTCAAACGGTACAGTAAACAAGGATGTGCATCTGAAACCCTCCTCATAGAAACCATGGATAGTTTATAATGTTGGTTTCATGTTTTGTCTGCAGTATGGGGATACAACACACACACTCATTGAGTACCTCAGTCCGTACAAAGGCCTGTTCCTGCCCGGATACAAAGAGCCTCTGTTCAGAGACCCTCTGCTAGCCAAACTGTGAGTCCGCTAGACAAAATCCAACTTATTCCAATTTATCTCTGGAAGGAAGATCTACTTGTTTTGCGTTTCTCACCATACTGAATCAAAGTGTATTTATTTTTTTGCATAGCGATAAAACTTTTAGAATTTTATCTAACAAACTTGAAGAAATTTCTCTCAGAATAATGTTGTGGATGATTTTGTTTAGCTTGTAGAGTAAAATATCACTTGAATGGCACAAATACAGACTATTAGGACCAAAAACATCTCAATTTAAAAAGTTAAACAGACAATTTTTTAGATTTGAACACATAAAACTGAACTAAGGTGCTCTGATTAAACTTTTTCGTTAAATTTTGGGCCTGATTTTCAGGGAATAATGACAATAGTATGACATTTGTTATACTCGTAAAACAAACACATTCCCTTGTAAAGATAAAAGAGAGAAATGAAATGCAGAGGAATAAATTCTTCAAAATACAAACTGGAAACTGAATAGATAGAATAAATCAATCAACATTTTTAATATGTATAAGTAAAGATATATGACAAGAGCATAAACAGCAACATTTCTGAACAGTAGGATAAAAAATCTGTCAGAAAACAATGAGTATATGTCTTTTTCTATCTTTTCTGACTTTGACTTTACATGTAGTAAATATTTGAATTATTTACAGCCAACGGAAAGTTAAACAGTGATTTCAACTTTGCAGTGAAAGAGTAAACCAACACTTGTATCGAAGTGCATATTAGTGATTGAAGAGATGAACATTTATTGAATAAATGACTGATTAAAAAAGTCAATGTTTTATATTATATAAGTCTTATTTTACAGTGTCTAATGGTAAATGAAAAACTAAGTATACGAATTGGTTAATACATGAATAAATTAACAGTGAGCACTTGAAAATTAGATATGTAAATTAATAATATAAATAAATTAATTGGTAGCTGATTGATTAAATATGTGATAAAATAAAACAACACTTTACCAATTTAAGTGTAGTTTATACACTTCCAAATTTAAAATCTCTCAATTAAGAGAAATCACAGTGTCTGTAATCCAGTGTTCAAATGTTATAGTGTTTGCATAGAAGATTACTTGAGGTAGAAATTGTTGCAGATGAAATTAAAAAACAGTTCTGCTTGACTTTTATGAAAACAACCTGTTTAATGTATTTTTCCTTCTTGTTTGAAGTCCTGCAGCAGGTTTGAACTTCATCGATCACATAGTGGGAAACCAGCCAGATGATCAAATGGTGCCAATTTCAGACTGGTGAGACTCCTGTCAGAGCGCACGTACGCACTCACGTACACACAGTGGACACACTCACACACAGTGGACAAACTCATACACACACACACAGAGGACACAGGGGGTAAAAGGACAAGTAAACACTCGGCTAGTGGTCACTTCACCTCTGTCGCAAGGTGAAACATCATAGGTTAAGGGGCGGCAAGTCCAGTGGTGCTAATCGATATATGTTTGTTTTAAAGATACAATCCTAGAAAGAGGAGATCTAATTACATAATTTAAATTTCTATTGATTGTCCATTCTTTATCTTTATCCACTTTGTTTTTGTGTCCTTCAAATTTCCAGGTATCAGAATTGTTTGCTGTTCCATCGATTCTGGTCGATAGACGACAAACAGATCCACACACAGTACAGCGCGCTAAGGTCCATAGTGGTGACCAACTATGAGGAGACCATCAAAATGCCCATCAATGAACCTGCAACAGGGAAGAAGAAGTCACAAATCCAGGTATGACTTTTCTTTCTCTCTTTGCTGTAGGACTCTCTGTTAATCACAGGGTTTCTCCAGTGCTTTTAAGCAACTTGGAAAAGTTTCAAACTTCAACATTTCATGGACAAAATATATATTTTTTTCCATTTATTTGTCCCTGGGTCAAGAACAGAAGAATTCATCATGGAATAGACTGGTCCAAAAACTGATTTAAATATAATAACTTTTGTCCCTATTCATGACAACTGTTCAGGAAATGCATCTTTACATTACCCACCTTTTAAGATAAGGTTTATCGCACAAAAAGGGGCGTGGTTACTTTTTCTGTTTTCTGTCTCTTGGACATTATTTTAGATTTTGGTGTAAAGGCTTGCTGTGAAGTTTACTGGTTTAATGGACAATCCACAAAGTGCTCCAGCTTTTTCTGTAGTTTTCTCACAGGAAGGAGAGTCCAAAGCCAATACAGTTCCCAGCTTTTTTAGTCAGATGACTATGACACTAATGAGCTATCGCAATAATAAAAATTTTGTCTTATGGGAAATAGTTTCTAAATTGCCAACTGGCATTGACCAAGGATGTTCCAAAGCAACTGATTTACGAGTCAGTGAAGAGGAAATCTTGATTTCAAAGCACCACTAGCCTTCAAATCTAACATGCCTTGATAATGCAATTGTGGATAGGTCATGTATACACATCAATCAAAGTGAAACTATTCTGCACTGACCCAAGGGTTTGCATGCTGGGTTTTGAGCCTGGATGAATGCATTGCTAGCAAGCTGGGTAGTTAACAAAACCTTCACAGACGAAAAAAGGTTGAAAGAAGACTAAACTTTTCTTACAAACGGCACAGAGCTGTAAAAGTGTTTTTTATTGTTTAAGGTATATTTTGTTAGTCTCATGCTAACGTGTTTTGCTGGCTATGTCAACCAGGAGACGACCCAATCGTAACAAGATGAAAGGGGACATGTTATCATCATTAGCAGAGCCAGACATGCTTCTGTCAGTAATCCAATTTTTGTCCAGTGCGTATAAACTGAGATAAGGAAAGTAGTCCATTTAAATCGCCTAGTCGAGCTTTAACCTGCAGCTCAAGCTTCACTGCTCTCTGTCACCGCCTTCTTGTCCATGATCACTCCAGGCTCATAAACATCATCATGGTGACAGAACAATGTCTAAGCGAGGCTTTAAAAAGCAGCTAACAAACTAATGGGTGACTTTGTGGTGGCTACATTTGTTAGTTATACAGACTGTGTTCAAACTTGGGCCAGTGGAGAATCAGTACATTTTTATAACCCTCTTTTCTGCCTTGTAGGAATATGTGGACTATTATGGAGGTGCAGGTGTTCAGCACATTGCCCTCAACACGTCGAACATCATTCAAGCTGTGAGTCTCCTTCATTTTATAACTTTCAAAGTTAATATACAGACTTGAACCTTATCTTTTTAACACCCCCCCCCCCCCAAACTGCAAGCAAAGGCAAGTTTTAGATCCTTCTTTTTTTCCTCTTTTTGTCATAAAACAGATAGTGAACCTGCGAGCCCGGGGGATGGAGTTCCTCGCAGCGCCTGACACTTACTACAAAAGCCTGCGGGAGCAACTCAAAAGCGCCAAGATCAAGGTGAAGGAGGACCTGGACCGTTTACAGGTGAGGAGACATGTCATTTCTGCAAGCCTGAAACCATTTTACCTGTACCTAAAAACTACCTGTATTTTGTTTCCAGGAGTTGAAAATCCTAGTTGATTTTGATGACAAGGGCTACCTCCTCCAGATCTTCACCAAACCTGTGCAGGACAGACCGACACTTTTCCTGGAGGTTATTCAACGGAACAACCACTATGTAAGTCTCAGAGATCAGTTGAAATAACTACTAGTTTGGCCTTTATGTCTTTGTGATGGGGTTTACAGGCCTGTACTCCTGTTTCTTATACCTTAACTATCTTTAAAAAGCAAAAATATAGCTGCCTGAACACCTGTTTCCAGCTCCCACCCAGAGCGAGCAGTAGAAGAGCAGCCCACTTGTAAAAGCTCAGTAAATCTATCACAGAAACAGATTAAAAGGCTTCACACTTCACAGCAAGGGGGGTGTCTGGATTGGGTTCCACCCTGTAGCACTTAATTTATAACATTCCTCTTGTCAAGACAGGCACATTGTGTCACTCAGCAGCATTTCTCTGAGTCTTTACATGTGGATACAATGCACGAAAGTGGGAAACTGACTCTGAACCACAGCAAAGAGCCTCTCAGAGCAACCACCAACACTTGATCTTTTGATTAGCTATGAAAATATTTACATGATTAATCTGCAAGCCCCTGGTGAGAATATTTATCTGCCATAATACCACATCAAAGAGTTCAACACCCTGAGCAGTGTCTGACTGAAGATCCCCCCAGTCATAACAAATGACACAGAGAAGGTAGATCTTTGGTAATTAGCCATCTGCGTAAGTGTGTTTGCTCTCCCTGCAGGGCTTTGGGGCAGGAAACTTCAAGTCTCTCTTTGAGGCCATTGAGAAGGACCAAGACGCCAGAGGCAACCTCACCGTGACGACACCTGAAGGCCAGGCCAAAGCCTTCTACTGATCATCCCGCTACTGCTGCTGCCAAGTGCACCTAGATTTTTAGACATACAACTGTACATTTCCGATCAATAACACCCATTACTTTAAAAACACAAACAGATCAGGCAGATAGTGCTGTCAGGTATGTTTCAAGTTTGCTGTAGATTGCAGTCTTAATAAAGAAGCCAAAGCTCCAGTTGTGTTTTTGATTTACAAGAACATGAGAAGATTAGTCCTGGTGTTGTGTTTTTGTGCCAATACCTGATTTTAGTTTTCTTTTTTAACAAGACGGTATGCAAGTAAATACACACGGACAAGTAAGCAAGGCCTGTGTAGTTGTTGTCAAACCTGCCACCTCTCAGATAGCTGCTTCCAGGTGTGGATCCCTGAAGGGGCCTTCACTTGCAGAGCTAGAAATGTTCTTGACTTAGACTGAGCTTTTGAGTTACCGTAATGTACTAGAAATTAAATTCTACTTTATTTTTGAGTGTTTTAATATTGGAGAATGGAGCAGATATTCAGATTGCTTTGATATAATGAAATGGGAAAGTTTAAAAACAGTAAGAGAGGAAATTCAAGGCAGACCAAATTATAGTTGTTGGCAAAGTAACTTCACAGCCTCAAGGTTCACCATTAAGTTCTCTTAAGTTTCACATAAACAAACACTGGGGATATTTCTGTAATTATGTGATATTTTCTCAAATTTGCATTTTCTGTCATAAAATTGATTCTGTTGAACTTCTTGGCAACTTGATTTCACCAAACTCAGCTTAAGATTTCTTTAAAAGTGAAAATCATGTTCTATTGTGTGAGCTGTTGAAAAGAGAAAGCTTACAATGCAATTTTCAGTTCATTTATTATTTAGCTCAAAATGTCACATGTCAAGATGACCAGTCTTTTTTGCCACTGCCATCTCTGGACACTGTGAAAGACATTAAAGGACATGGAGGTTGAAGCAGAGTGGAAAAGTGGAGGTAACTGCACACCAGCTGCTCCCTTGGTTTAGCATTTAAAAAGCCTTAATTACACCCTTATTAAAGGCTTATTACATTTGTTACTCAAGCCTTTATTAAGCCTCTCTACACCTTTTATAAAGTCTTTATACACCATTCATAAAGCATTTCTTAGGCCCCGATTACTAACTTTACTAAGCCTTTACTAAAAGGATCTATAGTGCTGTTGATAAAATCTTTATTCACTGATAATCAACATCCAAAGTTTACCTTTATCACACCTGTATTGAAGCTTTTTTGAATTTGTCAAACCTGGTTTAGTTTCTTCATGTGAAAGGATGCTCTTAAGAAACTTTGAGGATGAAATATCCTCCTTCAACAATAACAAAAACAACAAAAAAACTGAAAAATAAAATCAAAACCAGCCCAGAGCTTTTATTTCAAAATAATTTATTTGCATATAATTGGAATGAAGACAGGTTGATACATCTGTGATGGCACTGCTCAGTTTCCTCATAGAAACATTCAGTCTATACAGACAGCACTCTTTCAAACCTGGACAAAATGGATAAATATATTAGTAAATAAATATATTAGTGACATGTCACTATATTGAAATGTTCTATCATATATAAAATACAACACTATTTCATTTCTGTTTCTTTTGTTGTTCTCTTTTTGTACACAAAGTATCCAAAATATACTGACTCATCCCTTACAGTTCAGGAGGGATTTTTTTTTACTCATAGAAAAAGGCAGTTTCAGCTCATTATTCTTACAAAACATAACAAAACAAACACAAGAACAACACAAAGAGAAAGATCTTGAACAGGATAAAATCACATCAGATTTTCTGCAGCATCATTGAACGCTTTTCTGCATGTGCTGATGGTTTTGGGCTTGTTGTTAAGATAATACTTTTAAGTTTTATGTTTGATTTCAATATATAAACTCAGCCAAAGCCAAAGTGCTGCTCATTATTCAGTCATTTCCATCTCAGTCTCTGCAACAGTTCAGGCACGGAGAAAAATAAAAGAGGGAACCCTGAAAATTAAGTGGAGGGACGCTGTGTTGACACATTCATAGTGAGGTATTAGTGAGAGAGACTGCAGGTGAACATTTCTGTCTGATTGTCCCGAACATGAAGTCTAAAATGGTTTTCCATTTGATACAAGCACATCATTGAAAGCACATGAGATTCTTAGTTGTAAGGGGGGAGGGTGAAGCAGGGCAAAAGGCACAGCTTTTGCTATGTTTAAGTTCACTTAGTTCAAGATTTTGCCTCTTTGGTTTGACAGGTAAGAGCTTAAGAGTGCTGGGAGGTTCCTCATTCAGGTTTATAAAGGCCTGAATGAATAAGGCACATGTTTAGTAAGTGCTACTGGTTATACTGACCATTAGCTTGATGTCTGCTGGCGGCATTAAGACAAACTTTATCTAAAGACTGCCTGCTTTCACACTGGAGATGATTTAGTCAGTGAACTTTTGCTTGGTTAAAGTGTTTAGAGTAATTATAAAGAAATATAAAGACTGACTAAATGGGATACTATGATGGGAGGAAACTGAGATTGAGATCTTTATCTGTTCTCTACCTATTGAGAGATGGATCATCTTTTTTTTTTTTTTAAATGTATATGAATTAAAATGACTGTTGTTTGAGTTTGAAAGACGGATCTTTTCTGAACGCTATTGGATTGAAAATTTAGGACAACCATGCTTTAAAGGCACTGAGGAACTTTTAACTCATTTTGAAATAGTCTCACTCTTATACTGACACACTTCATGACCCATGTTGTAAAACAAAATTACAAACAATAAGACTGTTTATTTAGCACCTTTGTTTGGGTCAGATTTTCCATGGAAAGGCACTCACCCTTAAGTGTCTGCATGCATTGCTGGTGAAGTTTGGCAGTGAGATGTGATCTAGCAACATCTGGTGTGTGAATACATTACTGCTCTTTGAGGACCGAAGAGTTAAACCTTAATCATATCTATATCATAGGGACATTTACTGGGACACCAGAGTGCAAAGTAGGACACTGGGGCTGTGCTGGGTCAGGTAATACTGGTATGTCTGGTCACCTTTTGTAAGCCGTAATAAATCAGAGGTTATTAAGTTCTGCCTTTGGTTATTGTAAGCAATTTAGGTAGTTACTAATCACTGTTTTCTCATCGCTGTGCATCCTGCAAATGTTGTCTTAAAGAAAGAAAGACAGGATTAAAGAGAAGACGTGTATTCTATGTATGTTCTCCCACAGCAAATTCATGCTTCAGTAAGAACCACATCTACAGACATTAGGTGATGGTGCACATGAAAAATGAAGTTTCCTGATTTTGTTCCTCATCATAAGACACCTCCTCACAGTGCCTTTAAGCATTTTGATTGTAGCTAATTTGAACTCTTTTTTTCGTTATTTTCCAGTGTTTGATTATTCCTGAGAAACCTCTCAGGCTCTACACACTATACTTTGAATCGTGTCTAATGCTCACCAAGCTTACTTGAAACTTAGGCCGCCTAACCTAACATGGCTTTAATCCAGTTATAGAATTATAGAGGTGCTATTTTTTCTCTATATCTGCCAAGTAGAGCATTTCTCTAAAGCTTTAAATGCTGGAACATAAGAGGGGATAGGATTCTAAGATACAACATGAAGGGTGAACAGAAAGAGGTCTGTTTATTCTGCACTGAATGGGGCGTCAAACATGAAGAGAACTAGGCAATAGCTTGTAATGGTGACCACATAATTCAGTCAAACTGGTTCATTTTGAAAAATGAAAAATAAAAATGAAAAACAAAAAGGCAGGAAATGATCCTGACGACAAACAAACATGTTGAAAACAGCTGCCATCCTTGAAGTAATGAAAACAAGGCCCGTGTGAGGCTCAGCAGCCTCAGTGAATGCTCGGCTGAACTTTGAGGGGCTGAACTTTGAACTTTCTCTCCATTTTTAAACTTTTGATGAGTTTATGGGAGCTACATTGTTGTAAAAAGTAAGAAAATAAAAATAAAAAAATCACTACAGCAGTACCTTTAAAGCCCCCCTGTGTGAGGCATGTTAAGAAATCTGAGCTGAGGTAGGCTGGAGAGAAGAGCTTCTCGACGGAAGACAAAGATCACGCTAATGAAGCTGAGTACCTCTATGTTCATCAAGTTATTGTGTGATGGGCTGAGAAATGCAGGGATGGAGTCTCACTTCATTTGAGCCAAAAACCCAAAGCAAGGATCATTCATTGGAGCATGTGGTAAGAATATTCTTCTTTTTACTTGTAATAAAAAAGCCCGAAATATCTTTTTCCTCTTTGTGGTGTAAAGTTTTTTTCTCCAACAACTCCAAAGAATAAAGATTATTACTGTATGCTGAAAATATCATAAAGGGCCTGACACTGTTCTCAAATTTTACCCTGATTCATTGATACATATATATTTTTGTTTCTTTTGATGGTTAACATGATCAAAGTTTAAATAGCCTTTTAATGTGTGAGCATGGGGGATGCTGGGCCATTTATGGCAGGTAAATGTGGAAGACATGAGGAATTAGCCAACAAGAGGCTTGTCCATTCTGGCTCCTGTAGCAGCGTGATGATGGGGGATGCATTAAGTCCTCACACTCCGGACTCCTCTTCTGATCCTGTGGACACAAAAACAACAAAACTTTAGAATAAATAAAGACGACAAACGCCATAAAAATATCTTCATTTTCCTCAATATGAACAAAGTGCAAAACAAATTAAACAAACACAGGCTTTCAATGTACTATCAGGGATGATTTTTTTGTTTTCCTCTTCTTTTTTCTTTTTCTTTGTTCTATTATTATAATAATAATTATCTTATTATTGTAATTATTGTTTTGTCATGACACTTACTTTTTCTTCTTTCATTCTCTCCTCAACAATTATTACAATTTAAAAGGGGGGATAACCTAATACTCTGATTATGACAGCACTTTTTAGGGTTTTGGGTCCCTGGTCAGCCCTTGAAATCAACAGTTTTTCCCCCTGTTTGGTTTTTTATTCAGGCTTTCACTGTCTATGCAGAACCCCTTAAGAGGGAGAGCTTTTACATGACATTTAACTCCACTTTTGTGTCAATTAGAACAATATTGTCCTCCTTAAAATAGTTTTCTGGTCTGTCATGATTGGGAGCAATTATTCATATCCAAAAATACTAAAATTTTTGCAGTATTGTCTACAAGGTCTGAATGCCTGTAGGTACTCAGGGCAAAAACCTCTAATATGTAGACAGTTTGTGTGATTATAAACCTAGCCGGCTAACTTCTGTTTTAGCACTAACATTACTTTTCTGACAAGTTCGCTCCCATAGGCTAAGCTCAAGTCCCCAAACAGACTTCAGCATATTCCTCAGCAGTACATCCCTCAGGGCTTAGCTTTACTTTTATGTATTTCTCCCTCAGTCTTGCTGGTGACTGAAACTATGTACCACCAAATTATGGCTTCAATCTGACAACATGAAATTATGTCTATAAAAACAAGCAAAGATACACAAGAAGTCAAATGAAGACATGAGATGTAAACAGACTCCAAGACAAAACAAACTTATTTGTTCCTGATAAAAAACGATCAAAGACCAGATTTTGGTTCATTTCATCAGCAGGTAGGTTATTCTGGTTGAAGTTTGCATGATTGCCTGACAGATCATCCAACTACTCTTGATTCCTGTCCACTCACGATGCCCTTTGGTGTTGTTGCTGTGTTTAAATATAGTATCTCCCTCTGAAGTGCTAAAACCAGAAGCAATCAAAACTATAAAAAAAAAGAAGACCAGAGGAAGGAAGTGTCACTTTATGGAGGACAAACAAGTGGGACACCCACCCTGATTGTGGTGTAAAGTTTGGCAGTACAAACAAATGTCCGTGTTGCGCTCAGCAGCAGCAGCAGCAGCAGGGCTGTGGTGAAACCTGCAGGCTGGTCTGTCCATAGAGGTCCCTGGCCCCAGGAGCTGAGGCTCTGAGCGGGCCTGCTGCACCCGCTTCTGCCACACAACATGGGCCCCAGCACAACAGGGCCAGTCCTCCATACCTCCAGAGTCCAGGATGAGAGGCACAGGGAGCAAGGTGGGGTGCAGCTCAGGAGGGGAGCGGCAGAAACCAGGACCCTGACCATAGTGGATGTGGATGCTACGATCATCCTGCAGGTCCAGACTCTGGTGAAAGCGAACAGAGGGCCCTTCAAAAACACAACCACCAACTCGCCCCAAAGGGGCTGGAGGGAGTGGGTGTCCCTGGTGGCAGCAGTGGGGCTGGAGCTGTAAAGGGAGGGGGGACATAAGGACAGGAGGTCCTGAGGGGGTGCTGGGGTCATGGTCCTGACAGTCTGTCCCAGGACTAGGCCGGTCTGTAGGGTCTGGCTTTGGACACTGGCAGGGGCTGTGCTTGGGAGGGCCCACAGGAGAGTCTTTGTCCAGGACCAGAGGAGATGAAGCAGCAGGAGGAGCAGCAGTGGCCCCCTGCTCCTCATCTGAGGCCCTACTCGGACCCTGGCTGTGCTCCCCCTCCTCATAGTGGTGGTGTCTGTGCTGGTGGTAGTGGATGTGGCTGAATACAGTCTGCTGCTCCTCAGGGCAGCCTGCTTTGTTCACCACAGAGTCCAGAGACCTGGGCCGGGCCTGTGTGCAGGCCTCTAAGCTGCTCCTACGAGGAGCTCGCCCAGGCCCAGGGCCATAATACACAAAAGGATCATAGTCACTGCTCAGAGAGCTACGAAAGGTGGACCAGCTGCCATAAACCCCCTGCAGGGACACATCAGTACAGTTTAGAACTGAGTCACTGGATGATCCATGGCAGGGTCCTGAGCTGGAGTCACTCGCTGGTCCATCAGCTAAGTACCCGCTGCGTTCTGTGTGGTAGCTGCCCCCCGAGCAGCTGCCCTCGTCCTGCCGACCGTGGGGCGGGGCTCCTCGGGGCTGAGGTGTGGCGGAGGCTGAGTGCTGCAGCCTGGAGCTGGATGCACTACGCTGAGCCGGGCAGGATGAGCGGTAGTTATGGCAGGACCGACGTGGGGTGTGGTGATGTGAGGAAGTTCTGCAGTTAGTCCTGATCCTGTGGGGCCTCCCGGGACCTTCTTCAGGGAGGTGGTACCCACAGGAGGGTCCAAGCGGCCTGCTGGTGAGGAAACGTACTGTCTGTGTGTCTCTGGGAGAGGAGCCGCTGTAGTGGGCCAGAGAAGGATAAGGTCCAGAGGGTCCATGAGGGTAGTGGGGCCTCATGGAGAAAGGGATGGCGTGCTGAGGGAAAGGGTGGTTACGGGGGCTGCTGTAAGGCTGACGGTGGAGGAAACCCTGGCTCTGCTCTGGACTCTGCTGGAGTCTGTTCCTCTGCTGCTGCCGCTCCGTCCCTGCAGGCCACCACAGAAAACAGACTATTAAGCAAAATATTTCAGCTCAATCAATCACTTTATTTATTTAATCCTGATTTACACTGATATCATTACAAGCAACCAAAGCAGAGAGACGATAGAGACATTAAAATCCTGCAATAGAATCAAAGATGGTAAAATCTTACTGTGTTAGTTCAATTTCTGTTTGCCTACCTTCTTCTCTGAAATAGGACTTTTTGTTTTATCTTTTTCGGGTGCAGGTTAAGTTTCGTCTGACCAGCAAAACTCTATACGTTTAATTTATTTTTTGGTTTGCTATAAATATTTATTACATGAGCAAGTTAAATAAAAAAGTATAAATGATCAAAATCATCTTTCAGTACAGCAAGCACAGGGACATGTAAACATTTTTAGAATTTTACACCATACTTAGGCCACTGTAGCTTCACTGACAGGAGGGGTGAGCAAGGGAGCGTTTTAGAATTGGACTGATAGATATTGCTAAATATTTTCATTTCTACACACTCTGGCCTTACGGAGCAAACGACTTTTAATCTTAGTTTCCTGAGATTTACAATCTTTTATCTTTCAACAGACAGTAAGAGTATAACAAGGCCTTGCTCCTTGCACCAGTCTATACTCTAAATAAAGACATTCAAAGACCCTTAAAAAAACCTCTACATGTAAAAATACCATGCAATGATGAGGGTAAGGCAGCAGATAAAAGACAAAGTCATGCAGACTTCATAGAATCAAAGTTTTTTGTCAGAACTTAACTGTAAACATGTTTCTCCTCACCCATGATGTTGTGCATGCAGAGGGGACAGGTACGGTGTTGAAGCAGCCAGGGGTCAACACAGTCTTTATGAAACTCATGAGCACAGGAGATGATCCTCAAATGCTGGAATAAAAAACACAAACACACATAGATTTGATGATAAATGTTTGACAAGGACAGTTGTCTATACAGATTAACTGTCTTTCTTGCTCTGTGTCTTCTAACCTGGCCATCCTGGAACTCTTCCAGGCAGATAGCACACACAGGACTGGAGTTGGAGCTGCTGGCTGACCCCCAGGCCGCTCTGTGGCGCTGAGAGCTAGAGCAGCTTTGAGAGTTGTAGGTTTTTGTTTCCAGCCGACTAATAGCTCGCATGGTCTGCTGATGGACGGAGTCCTGTGGTCATGAGAAGCAGAGGTTAGAAAGAACTTTTAAGGAGAGATTTCAAACCTCCCTGTGAATCAAAACTGAAAATGAAACACTGACGCCCTTCACTTCAACCAAAGCTGTTGCTGTGACTCACCCAGGTTCTGTTGGACTTGCACTTGTAGCGGAAAGCAAAGATGAGGACAATGGTCAGAATAGCAAGGACGATGGTGAGCAGGATACCAACATCATAATGTGGCTGAAATAGAAAATGAAAAGAGAGAATATATTTGTTATTATATAAAGCACTTGCATGGCTAAAGCTCAAAAATTAAGTCTTAAAGATACATACAGGTCTGATGTTATCTCAGAGATGGCTCAGAAACAGCCCAAAACCTGAAAGCAGGTATTGGCATACAGGGTAGTACTGAATGCACAACATCTAAAGGTCCTTGAAAATTTACCCATTTCTTCCTCTAAAAATCAGCAGCTTGGACATATGTTATGTTTAATTTTCCATTTTATCTAAAATATGTTTAAGAGCAGCAAAAGGCAACTTAATCAGGTGAATTAACATATTAATGGAGCTAAAATCACCATTAGAGTTACAGCAGAGTTTAACAGAGTTTTATACCAGCTAGCTAAATGTTAGCCATCCATGTCTCTGTATGCTACTACTACTACTTTTTTCGGTGTCAAACAATAATGTGTTTTCAAATGTATGTTTGTCTTGACCACTTTTTAACACAAACAGGGTGATATGAGGATCCATATGCTAAGCTAATGTTAGCTTAGCCTGTCTTTGTTGCCTAGCTTGATTTGCGGTTGCTCTTAAGTACTGACAAGGCCATGCCGTAACAGTAGCAGTCATATGATATCATATTATAACAGTGTTAAAGGTATAAAGCTGTACAATAAAGTACAATAATATGCATATTATGTGACCCCACTGCTATTATTGAGGTAATGAAGATGAGGCATCAAAATCACAAAAGCTTGAATGCAAACCATGTGAAGGTACAAATCAATGCCCCCGCATGTGAAATTATGAAATCTAAAAGTGAGAAAAGTATCTCATGAATATATATTTTTTCCTGATGGAGCTCTTTAGAAAAGCATACACTGCAGATATTAATAATAGAATTATTTCAGAGTATAGTGAAAACATTTAACTGCAAACATCAGAGCGAAGTGGTGATAGGGAGGAGAGATGACAACCAAGAGGACTAGAGGACGATATGGAGTCACCACAGAAATGTTCCAGCTCACAGAAGTGAAGAGAGTTTACTTGAAAAAACAAACACAGTAAGGTACTTCATATCTATTCTGATAACAATGCTAACCTCTGTGTTTTCTGGAGAAGTTACATGAACCAAATGGCAAATCATACTATTATTCTGTGATTATCTTCCCATACAAGTCTATTAAGGATGAATATCTGAAAATTGCCCACAGTTTCAAACCATATAACTTGGCTACATATTTCAAACATGGTTGAAAAGAGAAAATGAATGTGCTGAATGTTCCCATTTCAAAAAAAGCCCCGACAGGGAAATGACTATCAAGGGGGGCCAGACTTGAAATGCATAGAAGGAGATTGCCGTGGTTACTACCAGAATGAAGCGTAACAATGTTTATTCAGAAATTGGAATGCTCAACTTCAATTTTGGAAAAATGGATTTACTTTGTGACTCCTCTTAAGCCGGGTCTTGTTTTCATGATTGAATAACTATCATGGAAACAAGATCGCCCCCGTCCTGGTTAATGAATAGTTTGATCTTTTAAAGCTGTAAAATTTCCTGTTTTCAGGGGACACATTCATGGGTTTGTCTCTCGTCTAAGGGAAATATTCACATCCATCATTGTTGATTCATCCTGATCACGTTAAAATAACTCAGAGCCTCTAACAGTCTCCCTGCTAACATGACAACACAGATGAGTTGAAGCAATATTGGAGTGCTCACCCATTTTGGCTCCACCAGGATCTCAATGCGGACCTTGGCCTCCTCATTCTTGTTGACCAACCCCATCAGCTCCTCAGCATCCTCCGCCTCCACCAGGACCACTGGACGGGGAAGAGAGTCTGTTTCTCTCAGCTGACAAAGACAAACAGACAGGAGTGTTTAATTTCTGTGTTTTTTTTAAATTAAATTTCTAAATATTTCTGCGCCCAGACACTCACCTCAGCAGCAGCATTGGCATCATCACTGACATCGAAGATAACGGCCTGAGCTCCTTTATCCAGAGCCATGCGAGCCTGAAGAAGACAGAACAGGAGACACTGTTACACACAAATCACACAGACAAAGATGTGACCAAGAAGGACGTTGTGAAGGGTTTTTAAGGTACAGGGGGAAACACTTTATTTTATATCAAGGCTACGTAAAACATCACTTCTTCAGAGGTCAGTTACACAGGAAATAGATTATGCGAATGCAGGAGACCACATCAGACTGTCTGTATCTTAAACCATCACTAGGTGGCAGTCACATACTGAGACTCAGACTCCACATTACAGGCCAAAGTACAGCTCCTCTTGCCTCTTTTCCACCTGACTCTGGGACGTTCATGCTTCCTGTGTGTGAAATCAAATCCTTATACCTCAAATTATTTCTCCATTTTTCAAAATTGAATAAGGGTCACCAAAATGGGTATCCAATTTTCTGACTTCTCCAACATACGCAGATAATCCCATAAAGTGAAGAGCACTTTAATGAACAATATCAATACTGTTTACTGACGCCAGTGGTGCACAGTGGAAACATAAGCAACAACCAACGCATCCAGTTGTTTTGTTTTTCTCTATTGTGATGCATAAAATACAATATTTGGATAACTATTAGATTAGAGTCAAATAGGAACACAATACTAGAACTAAATAATCCCAGTGCAGCCTGGTGGCTTTAGTATAATTTAATCTTCTGCTAACTTTCCCCTTAAGTCTCTAGAAGTAAGAAACTGTCTCAAAAAATAAAAATAAAATAAAATAAAAAACAACCCAAAAAGTTGTGCATCAGTGATTTTTGTGTCTAATTTATGACTTAAAGTATCATTTTTAAAAAATGTGTATGAAGCTGTGGTTAAAACACTGCAGCAGCACCTTCAACTATCCTGATAAAGTTCTGATTGTAGTAACATGCAGCAATCTACAATACTGTTATTTCACCTTTGCAATTCACAAATAAACGGAGATGACTATAAAATGGCACGACGACAAGTGAAAACACCACAAAATCATAAGCACGCAGTCTGTAGCTCCTCATTTAAGTAGTAGCTGATTTGACTCCTGGACTTAAACTTTTCCTAAGTCTCTACTCCTCACAGTTACTGTATCTCTTTACTGTCCTGTCTAATAAACGTTTTAAAAAATGTAAGAAAACTTAGAGTCAGGGGGCTTGTGGTTGTTGGACTACCTCAATATGTCAAGAATCCTAGCACTTTTTACTAACACATTTGCAGCCACAAGCCGCCTTGGTAAGCAAAGTTGAAGCAAATAATTTATTATTATTATGGAGGAAATTTATTGTCCTAGAAGTCAATTTTACATAAATAAAAGCCTGTATTTGCTATTTTGTAGTTACAAAGTGTTGCTTATTAACCCCTTGAGGAACAGTTGTGACTTGGAACGACCACGGCCCTCTGATTACTCCAGAAAGATGTGGATCACACATTTCAGAGACTATAACTACAGTACTGTCGTTTACAGAGAACCTCAGACATGTCTCTTATTTAACAAGGATACCCAGTGAAGCAATATTGAAATAAACAAAGACCTCCTTTGACATAAAAGAAACTGTTGCATCAGATCCTCCTTCTATTCAAACACAAAGACGAGTTTGTGTTGACTGTCATTTCAGGCTTTTTATCCTCCAATAGTAATGACGTCAACACTTTTAGAGATCTGTGTTCGCACCATGATTGGTATGTTTGATCTGACACACATTCAGAGAGTAGAAACACCGCCTAGAGTGTGTGCATGTACTGACCAGCTCCATCACAACAGAAGCTGGGCTGACCTGACGCTGACTTGTGTGTCAGGTCTCTTTTTGTCACAGACGTGCTCGCGCTGCAAAACCACAAATACTTTCTTTGGCATCATCAGGAAAGAAATCGCTCTCTTTTCATCAATGTCTCATCACCAGCTCTCAAGTATCTGACATCTGCCAACACCTAATGAGGAAGAGACACAAGTTTAAACACCTAATCACCCAGGTCAAACACAACACCAAACACTGATTTCTTTCAGCCTACAGGGCAGGGCAGGATGGCACGCATAAGCGCACATGCAGACAGGCGTACACACAAAAATATCTACAAAGAAAGTCAGGTACAGGAACATCACTCAGCTGATCCATTTATCGAGTTCATGAAAAACTTCTGCAGCGATGGTTTTTTAACTACTCTGAAAGGTGAAGTCATAACAAAGGAGACACAGACATCAACTTTACACACACACACAGCAGACCCATCACACTCCTCAACAGGAATTTTAAGCTGAACTGGGCACTATACCCATCGAAAAGAACACGGTGTGTTCCTGCTGCAGGCTGTGTGAAAACATGGACAACACAACCGCTCCCTGGGAGTGAGGCCAAATTTTCAGAGCTCCTTCTGCTGACTGGCTGCAGAAAAGACCCTAAAGCCTGCCTGCTTCATTAAAGCAGATCAAACATTAAATACACACCCAATACATTTCTTCAAGGTACGCTTTCTGTCATAGAAGTTGATTCTTATCAAGCTGATTTATGTGTAAATCTATTTATATTCATAAGTTTCTTTTGAGTCTGTTTTTTACATAAAAAAAGAGGAAATGTGATGACCTTAAAGCTCCATTAGTGTTCTTTGCTGGATCAGCAGATCGGAGGGTGAGAGGAGAGAGAAATCATAACCAATACAGAAACAAATTTCATCATGCTGTCTAGAATTTGCTCTATGGTTGACTATAACAGCTGTTAAATGTGTGTTTTGGTAAGTGGGTGGACGTGATGTCCAGAACATGTCACTGACTTAATCTAGGGACCCAGGCTCAACAGAAGACGACATCGTCAACAAGACTGGCACAAAAAAGGTTGTGATATGTATCGATATCAACTGATGAAAAAAAAATATTTTGATAAACTTTTTCCTACATCGCTCAGCCCTAGTAGTACTTTGGTAATATTTGTGCTGTTAGATTTAAATGTGCCATTTGAAAGCAAAGTGGGGGTATTATCTTCTATCACAGCAGTATCAAGAGCAGGGAGACACAGCTGTGACTTTACTTCGCGTACAGGCAGGGAAAAGAAATGGCATGGGATCAAAAAAATTAATGCTTCAATTTCAGATCATCGTCACACTGCGATTTATGTGAATACCCTGACAGCTCTAATCTCAACTATTTAATGGGAGATAAAAAGTTGCACAGACATGCCTGGCCCTCAGAGGATACTGCCTGCCAATGTGGGTAATTGTTATCCCCTATCTTTGTGGCATCATGAAAACAACACAAGTGGTTTAAGTGAAATATCTACACCTGACAGCTATGAATACCTTACATCTTAGTAAACTGATTTATGTTCATTGTAATCGTCCCTGGCACCCCCTAAATTTCCCAGGCGGGCTTAATTCCAATTTGTCAATTCGACATAATCCGAGATATAGTCATCTGTTGGTGGATTTTGCACACTAAACACACATACCAAGATTGTCCTGCAGAAATTCTGCTGGTTTCCAAAGGCCATAGTTTGGCTGGTCAAAAAGGGGTCAAATAAAAAAATTCACATATATATCCCCTCCTTTGATCTGACATCCAGCTCTGGTGCAGCAGCCTTTCCCCTGTTTCTGCAGAACACTAATTGTAGTACATGCATGGGCTTAAATGGGGTGCGGTCACACAGGACTAAGAAAAAATAAAAGGCTGGATCCTTGACATGTGGGAATTTGCTTTACCTGGGGTTCAAAAGTTCCTTACCCAGCAGTGAGCTTGTACGTCCTCTAATCGAGGGAATAAATGAAAGGAAGCAGGATTTTGTGGTCTTGCACTCACACGCACAGACACACACAACCAGTTGAAAGATTCACATAGTTGCGTTCAGCTCAAGAATATATCATGATACATTTCTCCACTGGCTGCTGCTGTGGTCTTATTATACCTCAGTATTAGCAGAAGAGATACCACAGAGTGGTCGCCAAACCATACGCTTCTACTGAGCCTCCTGACTCTTATTATATGATGAATGGGAGACAAATTTAACCTTAAATGATGCTTTAAAAACTGCAGCTCGGACGCTGACATGACAGCCAGAGAGTTTCAACATTTCTAGGTTTGTTTTAGACGGAAGTGAATCAGACATGGCTGCGGTTGAGTAAACACCCATCTCCATGCTGTGCAGTTCCACACGTGTGATTAAACACTACTTGGCATTTGAGGAAAAACAATCGCAGTATCGGAAATGACTGTGGTTTACAGCAGAGACGTCATCAGTGAAAGACTAACAAACAACGCACAAACCACAACAAGCTGTTTCTACTTTTAACACTGACGGGGTTTGACAGAGGTCGCTGGAAAACACAGGACATGTTTAGCTGACAAAGGCTCAGAGGAGGCTGCTGAGGAGGAGCAGCAGGTAGTGAGGAGGCTGTCACAAACATGAACACACCGGAGGGCACAGAGCAAGAGAGAGGTACTGTGAGGTCACATGGGCACAAGAGGTAGTATGTTTTAATGCAGACAACACATGCTAACAAACGCGTGAGTTACTGTAAGAAAAAATGTACTGAGTAAGAACACCACATGTGTAGCTAATAACATGCTGACTTTGTTCTATTTCAGTGTCCCACTGAGACAGCGTGGGCAATACCGCAATCATGACACTGAAGCCGCTTAATGGATTTCAGATGTCATTCATTTTATTGTTTACATTTGTGCTTTTCCACTGTCATTTCTACAGTATAAATCAACATTAACTGTCTTTGGGGGTGTCGGTGAAATATCTTCCAAATCAAACTATTCCCCTTTTTTGTTTGTTTTGTACTGTATAATCAACCATGCACCGGCCATAATTTGTATTCTGTTGTGTTACTGTTTTAATGTGAACCGACCATAGACTGTATATACTATGGACAACTTGGCTCCGCCTTCCGCCAGTATATGAATTTGGAGCCGAATTGCTCTCAGTATTTCCGGGATTTTGTCCACTTCCTGGAACCGCCACTAGCGCAGTAGTGTTGTTCGCATTTGACCACTTGCGCAGTAGTGTTGTACGCATTCCGCAGGACAGTCACTGTGGTGAACGGCTCAAACAGCATATCCCCCCCGTGTGAGCTATGTAAACTTTGTACGCCCATAGGCTGTATCGAGTGTCAATAATAGAAAACGTGATAAATTGAGAAAAACTAAAGACTAAAAATAGGGCTTACAATCTTAAAATAACTACATATCAACATTGCAAACAAGGGGGAGAAAAATTTATATTCCATGGAATTAATTTCTAAAGTTTGTCCACAAATACAGAAGGATTGCTAGAGGAGGCGGGATTTACGACCTATACTGCAGCCCGCCACCAGAGGGTGCTGTTCTCAGGGTGGCTTCACCCAGCTAGGAGGCAAACAACGTCCATTCTATATACAGCCTATGGAACCGACCCTTGTGCCATGTTAAAATCAGAGCTTACAAAACCCACAATGCAACTCAAGCAATTACTTCCAAGGTTATGCTTTGAGTGCTTTCTTATAGGAAAGAAGAAGAGACAAGTAAAGGGTAAAAAATTCTGCTAGGATCACCTGTCTTATCTCCACAGTCCCAAGTGTTTTCATCTTCAGAGTTGTTAACCTCGTATTCTTCTCCTCAGATGCTTCAAAACATTTTTTTACACAATTGCACTACAGTAGGTCCCAAAAAAGATATTACAACAGGTTTCATGTGTAAAGTTAAAACCAAGGAGCTGTTCTGTAACTAAAAGTGTATTTAACTCTATCTGTTAGTGGAGACCACCTGTAATAATAGGGGGTCTCAATTATGACCTTTGGAACAGTCTGCCAGGTTGCTCATCATCTCTATCTGCATATGTTCTGCAAAACTTTTCATCCACATCATTAGAAGTTTCGATGAATGAGTTCTTCTTTCATCAGAGTAATTTCAAAACTGAGATAAACAAAAGTTCTACAAACAGAGGCTTATTACTTTTACACACTGAAGCCAATTCACACTGACAAACCAACCAAGACTCTGTTTCCCTCTTCACTATAAGCAGACCTTGGCTGACTGTGTTATTAGCTGCAGCTCATCTTTCATAGACCTCAGATCTGAAACAGCGACCATGCCCTCGCCAGCATAAGGTGGCGTGTTCATGGCCGGGCCTTGCTGTTTGTTTACATCTCTGCTTAAGTGCGGTCTGCGAGCCGGGCCTGGCATCACAGTGTGTTCTCAACAGGACAGAAGTGAACTACACTGTCCTGACGTCTTTATTTCACATTCAAGTCAAGCCAAGGTTTTTCCATCGTCTGACGAGATGGCTTTGCATGTTAGCGGCTTAGTGTTTGTATGGATTTAATGCCAGAGCCCTTCATCTGCAGCCATGTTTAAAACTAACAGAGAGAAAACAGAGAGCAATAATGACAACATGACACACAGACACATTCACCACAGAGTAACATCTGCTACTTTCGTTAAACATCTATGATTACAAAACTATATTCAGAGTCTTAGTGTGACCCAGTGGCTCCATAACCTTTGACTTTTGACAACAGATGTGATTCAAGTCTGAGAGAGTCAATAAAATACTGAAAATACTCTGAAAAATTCCTTAAAATAGTAAAAGGCATGCATACTATTTATCTGAATCTGCGTGGAGGTGATGTTAAAAAGAAACACTGAGAACGGCTGGACTTCTGCTCTTGCTTTGCCTCCAATATGTTGCTTGCACAATATGCTTGGGCGGTATTTTAGCCTCATTTCTTTTTACACAGGCCGGTCCAAAGTGTGTCACACTGTAAACATTTACATTTAGTGGGCTGAATAGATGTGTAGTGTTTGCGACTGCTTAGTTTTTACAACAGATCACTGACTAGGACTTCCTCCAGCCTTAGCTCAGTTTCGGGAAAGGTAATAGATGTAATCTCCTCTATTTGGATGAACTCTTGTTAACTTTATACAGATGCTTATCAAAGTGAGGTGCATACTGAAGGATAACTGGTATAATACTGGCACATGAAGGTCAATAATGAAGTTCTGCTTTTTCCCTGCAAAAATTCGACATTTAAGTGATCTTTCGTGGAACTATTTTCTCAGATTTCCTTGTAGTGTGAGGTATGTTGAGAGTGATACTGCTTGGAAGATCATCCAACACAAATTCTTTGATTAAACAAATCAAGTATTCACTAGCAGATATCCTCTTTTGTGGGAAGAAGCCACACACTCTTTGGATTTTCATGTATTAACAATATAAATGAAAAGCATGAACTTAAATGGCTTAAAGAAACAGAGGACCAACTGTGGCATCAAGACAAGTACTTGTCCCCGTAAGAAGAGCACAACAATCGACTTCTTTGCTACGTGTCCTAACTCTAAGGACATGTTTGACTGCGAGAGATTTTTGCTGATTTCCAGCTTTAAGAGTCAGGGCTCTGGTTTTTTGTGAAAGGAAACTGTTAGCGTGTGATTTGCCATGTCATTTTGTTGCACCACACACACCATAAAAACCAAACTGTTGAATCTGTCATTGTCATCATTTTGGTCCTTTCACATTTGATCACATTTGAGATTTTAAAACTCTTTATTGTGTTGGGCTAAACATGAACATAAGAACACGTAGCAAACATTTTGTAAGCTGTCGTGCTCTTTGGTTCTTTGTGGCTTTACAGGATTCACATGTATTAGTGACAACACAGCAAAAATAAATCTGGCAGAGACAGACAGAATTCCTCAAGCCAGCCTTAAATATGTTTTTATTTACTGGTAAAAAAAAAAAGAAAAGACAATAATAATCTGCCGATGTAGAGAGAAAATTTAATGTGTTCCAGGAGAATAAAAACAGGCAGGACAGAGCACCAGTATCAAAGAAATGTGAAACTGTTTTTCACTGGAGCTAGATTTAGTAATTTGTAGTCATCAAAGTTCCTAAAACTCGCCCTTTTCACTCTTCTTTGTACCACCACTGATGGTGGTGTTTGGATAACTTTAGAAGTAGGCCATCTTAGCCTAGATTTAAACAAATGAATGATTATTCAGCATTGTTCTATAACATTTCTCCCCTGAATTACAGCCCATCACACACTCATAACATTAACATGCTCGTGTAGCATCTCCTGCTCTCTGATAACTCTTCCTGCCTCTCTGAAACATGGCACCAAAGTCTATTTACTCTCTTTCCCAGCGTGACTGTTCACATTATTGAGTGCATGAGTAAACGATACCATAGAATAACACAGTATGTGTGGGAATAAAAGAGTGAGAGTTAAAGAGGTGTAGAAAAAGAGAAAGTGAGGGGGGAGGAGTGAGGCGAGCGGTGAGGAGGCTGTGGTGCTGCTGCTGCATTAAAGTGTCTAATGACAGAGTACAGAGCTCCGGCCTGCAGGTCTGAGGCAGCCCGACTCTCTGCTCTGTCATTTCTCGAGACTGGCCCGGCACACTGGAACCCGAACTGAGGCACTGGGACATACCGCATGGCTAAATGAGGAGCAGACGGGGGTGGGGTCTGATGATTTGGAAAAAAAGGGGATGGAGAGGGTGATAAGGGGCATTGAAAACAGGTGCAGTGTTGATAAAATGATTCAGATGCATTGATCAACTCATTTAAGTCTGCAGAAACCACAAAGCTCTGTCTTTAATTGATCCCTTTTCTCTGTGATATTAGCACTTAATAGGCCTGATCAGTTTATCTGTTACTTGATGAAATTATAGAGAGGCTTTAGGTATGTCTTCTGCATTCACTATGATGAGTAGCTTTGCCTTAAAGGTCAGAAAAAGTAAGTACTAAGGCAGATAACCACCATGTAGACAAGCAAACCTACATCTAAAGTTAGCTTGCAGCTCTAAGTCAAATCTGTGCTCGGGTTTTCTTACATATTAGGCCCTGAACCTGAGAACTGGACCGATTCAAATGTTGAGTTAATGATGAACTGAGATGAAACGAATCTTTAAGACTGGCTCTGAAGTGAACATAAGTATGTGTATCTTTACTCAATGTCATAGCAATCCATCCAGGAGATGTTTCCACTCCAAACCCGAGACCATATATGAGAACCTGATGTAGCCAGGGTTGATGTCACCCCTTGGTTTGTGGAGTTTTAAAGCCGCCAGTCTGGCATTTCGACTGTCGCCATCTTAATTTTTCTGCACTAGAAGTGCCCATGTTTGGAGGACGGAGTGGATTTAAATCGTCACATCTTTTACTCTGATGATCAACTGACCAAAGACCATTAAAAAACATTAACCATCAATAGAACAATACTGAGAACATGGCTGATAAGAATAATCACTTTACAGGAGCTTGACTTTGTTCATATGTTAGATTTTAGAGAATCGGCTGCATCAGTGGATTAATGGACTTTTCTGAGAGCTCTGTACCATCCAATGTTCTTACAAGAAATGCCAAACCCAGCAGCAGGGAGAGCAACCCTCTCTCCTATTTGATGTACATTTATAAAAGCCAGGGCAGGGAGAGCAGCAGCAAAGACACCGGGGGAAAAGAACAGAGCACAATTCATTTGACACAGGTACAATCAGACTTAGCACGAAAAGGACAATGTGCCAGCAGATATCCTCTACTTATGTGTGTTTTTTTTAGACTAAATACCCATCTACCTGTCTTCACACATAGACAGACTATTCATTTGAGATATTTGCTGCAGAAAAGGTGATAAAGGATGTTTTCACACCGGAAGTTAATCACACTGTCCGTCTCCTACCCTTGCCATCAGTTTTGGACATCAGGATAATTATACAATGATGGTAAATCTTCATGTTGATCGTTTTCTTCTCTGTTCCCTTGGGTCATAAGGGGACTTCAATAACAATTTAACTCTATTTCATGACCAGATTAAAACTTCAAATAGGAGCTTTAAAAAGAGAAGTCCATGCAAAGTTTTAGCCCTCAATCTGTTAGCATGGGTTCATAGATCATTGTGTTTATAACTTCGAAGTCTGATAAATAAGTATTAGTCAGTTTAATTGCTTAGTCCTCACTGAACAAAGCGAAAGCAGAAGCAGGAAGTCCTGAATCTTCACTGTGACTACCTCTTACTTTTTTCCATGACACAGTGAGCTAAATGTTGAAAATTGCAGTTTAGTAAATAACTACAAAAACCAGACCAGCATAGTTTAGCCTTAAATATTGTTTACCTAGCTTTGAAGCTGTGTATTTAAGTCTAATTGTGTAAATCATTGCTCTCGCTTGCTCTGTGTGTGTGTGTGTGTGTGTGTTTTCTGTATGACTACCACTGGTTGCACAGAAATGGAGTTTGCTGGAGGAGGGACGGGCGTGGCCCTGCTGGGTATCCATTACTCACAGGGGTACTTTGATGTGGGGTTGCTTAGGAGGGGGGGTTAATAATGTATGAACAGGAGCTGGTGGGGGGGCAGGGCGGGCATGTCAGGGCAGGTGAGCAGATTTTACGCTCTCAGAAAAAGTATTGAGCCTGAGGGGGGTGGGCCTGAATCACACACACACTCCTCCTCTTTCTTGGAGCTGTACCTCCCATTCATCCTGACACACACACATACACACACACACACACACACACACACACACACACACACACACACACACACACACACACACACACACACACAATCCAAAGCCTGGGCTTGGCCACCTTTCTCAAGAGAGACACTGGAAAAAGTTATGAACCTGATCTTTCTGTCTGGAGGTCATTCAAAAAACTCTGAGCACTGAAGCTCAGCTCTCTCTCTCTCTCTCTCTCTCTGTCTCTCTCTCTTTCTCTTTCCCCTGCTGTCCCTCTCCCTTTTTGCACTTCCCTTGTCTCTCACCCCTCCACCCTCCCCTCGTCCACAGTGCCCTCACTGCACTGTGTCCCAGATTTGAAATGCAAAGCACAAGGTGACAGAGAAAGACCGAAGTCATCTGATACACTATCTCTTGCTAAACACATCCTCAAACATCAAAGAGCCGGGCAGCCTGCAAGGCAGATGAGACTGATGTGGCAGCCAGTGACAGCAGTGATGATGGAGCCGAGAGGCACGACCACATCGCACACACATACGCCACCACCTGACCTCCAAATACACCCTACAAACCTATTCACTGAGAGGGTAGGCAGAGGGTTTACAGCTGAGACCTACAGAGATTTTTAGGTAGATCTAAAGCCTTTAACTCAAGATTGCATGAAAAGGCAAAACACCTCCCCAGAAGTGAAGCCAAAGGATTTGGGGCTCCCCCTTTTGTCAGGCTGCAGGATTACAGACACTGCTGCCTCCATGTTAACCAATGGGATATGGGCTAAACGTCAAATTAAAATTCATGTCCAACAAATTTTCTCAGGTGTGGTTTTTCGTCACTCTAGGTTTGTCTCATCAAGCTGATTTATGTGTAAGTGTTCATTTTTCTGAAGTAGTTACAATCATCATTATGAATTACTTGTTAGTAATATGGTTCTGTCGTTAAAAGGTTATGATGCCATGATGACAGCTCTGTGGAATAATGCGGTTCCTACAGCACTGTTTGCAGAAAGGAATAGCAAGAAAAATGTAACAAACACAATCAGATTAGAATAGGAATAAAAATGACTCATGTAAACACTCAGATTAAAAAAAAAATACTGCCAACCCATTTGTAATTTTAATTAAAAATAGAGTTTGTATGAAATATTCTAAAATAGTTTCATTCTGGTTGTATTCTGTCAGCAGCTGTTTTAAACATGCTCTTTTCTAATCCCTCAAGTACGGTGACCGACAAAGGCATACGTGCCGCAAACTGAACGAACGGGCTGCAAACGGCCAAACGCTGCAAACACAGGAATGATGCACTACCAAAAACACACAAACACATCAAACAAATGCAACAGAAATTCGCTGCTCAAAGAATGATGTAATCACAGAAATGACGCAGAAGCAAAAACATACAAACTGACTAAAAAAAGCGTAAGAGAAATGGTGCATACAAACCCCCAAAACAACTGCAAGAGAGAAACACTGTAAATTCACCCCACAAAACGGAAGTTCACCAAGCCACTAGGGGGAGCCGACCAGAGGGATGACCCAACCCTCTTTACAGACATGAGCGGGATAGCCAGGAGAGTGTTGGCTTAGAGGAAAGCGGGACACTCAGAAGAAAGTTAGCAAACATTTGGAGAGGAGATTAAGAAGGTGGGCTACACTGTAGGTCATACTGCTAAGTTGTGCTACTAAGGGTATGATTGGTGTTGCAAGCACATAAACACCAGACTGAGGTAGCTCCTAGTTCATGTAAATGGAAGACACAGGTAACTTCATCTCAGTAGCAGCATGTTTGATGGTTAGAAGACAAAACGAGGAGATTTGATGTCAGAAAATCTAGCATGTCCATTCACAGAGCCAGATCAGCAGAGAAAGGCTGATCTCTACAGGGGTGGTCAGTGTTTACTCAAACAACAAGTTCCTCACAGCAGCTTTAAAGATATGGTCAATTTTGGGAAATACACTGATCAATTTCTCAAAAACTACAAAAAGAAAACAATCTGTGCGCCCCTGCTTCTATCTAAGGACCTCGAGTCAGGGGAGGGTTAGCCAAGCTTTAACTTAAAGATTAACTGGAGGGGATATCAGCTGACAATGATCTGTCAAATATAATAGGATATAAAATAACTGCCTTCAAGCAAGTCTTAAGCTCTATCATGTCACATCTTGTCTGTTTAATTTGTACATGAGCAAAGTGTAGAAATGATGAGCTCAGCACCTGATAAAACCCCGGCTACTTCTCTGCTAGTTCTACATTTAAATTAAGTAAATACTGTAGACTTGGAGAAAAGACAAGTGTGTTCACAAGAAAAAAAGTCTTCAAGTCTGACACAAAGTGCTTTATCTGTCCGACCAGTACTAATAATAATAAAAAAAAACTATCATTAGCATATGTGCATGATGATAGGATGGAGATACAGTCAGACTAAACATCACTAGAAGCTTTGTTATTGAAAATGAAAAAAAATATATATCGCATTTTATGTCTCAGAATTAAAAATTATTAGACTGTTGGATATGCAAGTGAATTCATAAGATAATTACTTGGTTGATTAAATTAAAAATACTCATTAACTAAGAGAAAAAGAAAAAGGGAGATCAAAACAAAAGTAACATCTAACAGCAGTTACAGGAATAACAATTACAATTTAGAAATTGATAATCTTGTTGCCAATGGTCTCATTTGCTTTTTTTTTTTTTTTTTTTTTTACATCACAAAGATCTAACACTGTTCATTTCAGTCTGTTCTATAACCGTTTAAAATGTCTCACAGGAGCTCAAAGTTGTGTAATTGATGCAAGTGAAGCAGATTTCAAATCATAGGTAATCATTTTTCATAATCACAATCTCTATATCACATCGATAGCACAAACATGTTTTTGCATTTAATGAGTGGCCAAATGTCTTTGGAAGAAGAAGAAGAAAAAGAAGAAGAAGAAGAAGAAGAAGAAGAAGAAGAAGAAGAAAGTGGTTCTTGTCATGTGCAAAGGGATTTCTATTGATAATTTTGATTGCAAAACTTGAATCACTGTAATCATGCACCACAGAAGCATCTAGTCCTTGCAGGCCACCCTTTTTAAAACCAGGGAAGCATTTTAAATAGAATCTGACTCCTAGATATTACTTAATGGTCCCGTTTCTACACGCTCTACCTTAACCTGAAAGTAACGATACCATCTCACAAAGTGTGAATCCACTTAAAACACAAAAATGACGCACAGTATGAGTGTCTCCTTCAGGACATCTGTTATGAGTTGATTTCCTCAGTTTTTAAGCATGGATACAATACTTTAAACTTCAATGTCTGTGTGTTTATTTTTTGATAATTGGCTGCACTTTGACTTTTTTTGGCTTTTTTTTTGCAACCCACACAGACTGCGATTACACCGAACCATGACTATAATTAAATAAAGCTGTGTAAATACATGAAATAGATCTCAAATTCATTACAGCTGTTACTATCCTGATGCACTTTAATTACAGCTTTACTTCACGGTGATACATGTAATTAAGTAAACTACCTCTGTTTTATGGCAGGGACAGAGATGTAGAGATGCAGAGTTTAGTCCCTGGATGTATGGACGCTTTGGATTTCACCAACATACTCATAGAGCAGCCACTATCTTTCTGTTGTTTCTACCACTCTTACTCAAGAGATTCAGTTGGGAGTAGTCCTCCTTTGAGAGGAGGAAAACACAATTTTCACCATTTTGAATTTTTTCGATTCAGTATCAGTGGGATGATACATTCCTGCTAGAGTGATCAGAGTCGATCACCAGGAGGGAGAGAAAGTGTCCTGGGTTCATTTCTTTCAGTTTGTGGTCACAGCACAGTAGACGATCTTTTCCTTCACCAACGGGCGGCAACACAGAGACTATGGGGAAGCCAATTAGAGGGCCTTTCCCGGCCTTTAAAGGGGCAGATAATGCCTTTGTTTTCATAAAGCATCCTGTTATTTAATCAAGCCCGTAAGTGAGAGCCTGACAACCCTCCTACAGCGCCTACAGAGCAGCCTCCCTCCTCTCCCTCCTCTCCTTCCCTCCCATCATTCCTGCCCTGAGCCCTCCATCTCATTCAACAGCTCTTGTAAGCCTCCAGGAATTCATTCTTGGAACAGGCTGAGCAGTAAGCCGTGTCTCTCTGCAGAACAAACACACAAACACACACACACACACACACACACACACACACACACACACACACACACACACACACACACACTCACACACACACACACACACAACGGAGTGACAACTGAACACACACACTGCTGGTAAATGAGGTAAAACTGGACACAAACACAGTGAGTTTGAAACACTGCGCTTATAAGACCCTGTCTGCCATTGCACAATGACAAAAGTTTAATGCAAATCACATGTCTGATGTGTCAATGGGACGTTTGTTTATGAAAATAAGACCTAACACATCTTTGACATTTATGGGAACTATTTACAAGCACTGAAAAAACAGATTTTACAGCTACTGGTTCTCACCTCAAGGCTACGACATTTCCCGCAGGCTATTATAAAAGAAAGATTAAACACAGATGCCTTTAAATCACATTTTGGCAGAGTTGGAGAAAGTTTTAAGAGCCTTTACCAGCGTAAAAGTAGGAAAACTGAAATTCAGACATAGCACTTCCAAAAAATATACATTCACGTACAACAGCAAAAAGTACTTGTACAGCTTTTTATTCTATTTTCTGGTTTAATTTACTACAGCATGACATTTTTATTAAAATTAAATTAAAGTACCATTCCTTATATGCAACATAATAGATATCTGTGTTGGTAAAAAGTGACAAAAACTTAATAAAGTCATGAAGCCCAATAAACTACAGTGCTTAAATCTCCTTTAAAGAGTTCAGAGGTAGTTATAAAACAGACTAATATTAACACTGGTACTACCTCATGAGCTACAAAAGCAAACAGAACCATCACATTAGGTCTGCCTGTCTTGGTTTGGTTATTTTTAAGTGCCTGTAAAAACACTGTCAGGAGAATAGAGCTCAAAAAACACGTCTCAAGAGACACCTCAAAATCATGTGAATGTAATCTACCAGCTCGAGATTTATCACAAATTCATAAGAGGTATTTGGAAGAAGC